GACTCCTCTTTTTTGTGGCATTTAAAAGGGGAGATCTTTTTGAAAGATCTGTTGCGCAGTATTAAAAAATTAAAAGAACCCTAACTCCAGCATTCTCTATAAATATGAGAGAAGGTGAACAGATTAAAGGACAGCAAAAAAAAATCAATCAAGACAAAAACTCTCAAAGTCATACTGACAAATTCAAAAAAGATCAGTTGATCTCAAAAGCCTTCAGATTCTGAAGCAACCAAAATTCTCTGACCCACAAGAAATAGATCAACCAAAACTCAAGTCTCTGACTTCAGAGAAACAGTTTTCTAAAGTGAGATTTCTCTCGTTACAAATTTGGTTTGGCACCAGTCAAGTCAAGTAGAATATGAGTTTTTACAATATGAAAACCCCAACAAATTTATAAGAAGTCTTGATCAAGCAGAACATGCACTATACTGTAGCTCCAACTCAGCAATCCTTAATCCAGCCACTTCTGCTCCCTTTAGATTGAAGGGGCCCCAATTTTTCCCATTCATCAAGCCTTCCAGGGCTCAAAACAGATTGAAGCTCTGCCAAATTCAAACATTAGCAACGATTCCCAGTTGAAACCTATCAGTTGAAGGTGCTGACGATTCAATCCAGCATAAACACATCCAATCCAGCCCAGTTCAGAAGCAGCTACCCAGGCAAAAATCGAAGTCCAACGTTCAGTTGTCTTTCTTGGACTTGGCAATTCTCTTTTAAGTTCTATAATAGACAGTTCTACTTAAACAGTCTTGCTCTCTTTTAATATTTATTCTGGCCAGAACTACTAGTTTTTGTACTGTGAAAAATTATGAAGTCCTTACCAGTCTGAGGCAAGAAAAGAACTTACTTGGAAGATATTTCTCACCCAAATTCACAATTGCTCGTTTAGAATCAGTAACTTGGGGCTCAAGTTATCTATTTTTTAGAAGTCTGCTAGGGTTTTAACTACTAGCAGTGGCACGCTCATACACAAAAGAAAGTTGACTTGTTAACCACCAATGGTTCTCAAGTTAATGGGAAACTTTACCATACCATCACAGAAATAGATAAATAAAAAAAAGGGTGAACAAATACAAACATGCTACATTCGTTTTTCTATATCACAGTACACACTACCAAAAAACTGATTTAACACTCATATCTGGAAAAGATGTTAGGCACGAGAAGTAGCAATGCACTCATAAAAAAATTTCATAAAATAAATCATATAGTCATCCAAAAAAGAAAATAACTCTTTGCAAAAAGTATAGATAGCATTCACAAAATCACAAGGAAATTTTCAAATAAATAACATAAAAGGATTAGGATCTAAATTCTGAAACATGGTAGTTCTGAATTCAAAGTCATACTCATGCATGATTTGAATAAATCAAGATATTATGCCTCTAAATTATGAAAAAAAAAAAGCCAAAACTAAATGTACTTTTAAAAAAAAAGAAAAGAAAAAGTACAACACAAATATTTATTGGGTGCCTTTTGGTTTCGAACCTTTGCCCACATAGGTGAAGGTAAAAAAACTCAATCCTCTAAGTTATATCACACGGGCTTACTAATTAATCCATCAAGAAGCAAACACTAGGTTGTATGGATAACTAATATAACCTTGAAGTCAAACATGCCCATATTCATTTTTCTAAATCACATGCACTAAAAATAAAATGATCAACACTCATATGTGGAAAAAATGTTAGGCACCAAGTAACAATAAACTCAAAGAAAAAAAAATATATATATATAATCATATAATCATCCCAAAAATGAAAACAACTCTTTGCAAAAATTCCGTATTAAATATCCACAAAAGCATAGGGATAATTTGACTACACGGTAGGATTAGGATTAGGGAAAAAGATCTGAAGTGAAAAAGTGAGAAAAATCCAAATATAGAAGGCGAAAAGAAGAAAAAGAAAATCAGAACCTCCGTAGTTGAGCGAGGTTGGGAGGTAGGAGTAACAAAAATTGAAAATAAGAGTTGAAATTGAATAGTTATCAAACATGCCATGATTGTATGATCTTGCAAAGTGCCTCTAAAGTGATTATATACTGCAAATGTATGTGATTGTATGGGAGATGGTGTTCTGATTTTCTTTTTTGGTGACACAAGCGATATTAGGGGGAGGGGGAGTCGAACACGGTATCTTGGGTGCATGGATATGGTACTGCTTTTAACCACTCGAGATACAAATCCTTACTTATTTAATATGTTGTTGTTTTATTCTTTTATGTTCATTTAATAAAATATGTGTGTTTTAATATTTTACTTTACCAATGATATTTTTTGGGGGGTTTTTGACTTGGCATCAAACAGAAGGTAAACCTTACCCTACCAAATGAGAGCGTGAATGTGGTACCGTAGTAAGGTCACATGATATTACTCGTTCATGTTATAATACAAGTGGATATTTATTGTCATTGTACCATGTGGTTAGGGGTGGGCACGATCCAATTTAGATCAATTTCACCTCAAAATCATGGTCGAACCAATTACAATATAATAGGTTGGTTCGATTCGATTTTAACAAAAATCATTAAGAAAATCGAACCAAACCAAACCAATTTAAGACCGTTTGGGCCTAAGCCCAATTCTCTTTCCTTTTACATTTTTTCAATATTGTTAGCCCAATTACAACAACAAATTCATAACTTGCTTTATACTTAAAATCATTTTGTAGAGTATGAAACCATCGTAAAGCTCAACATGCCATAAAACTTCAAATTTCAATTACTAATATAGCTCAATTCAAATATTCATATATAGTTATTACCTAATTAGGGTATTACACATGTAAAATATAATATAGATAATAAGTACACACATAAAAGGTTCGGTTTGGTTTAAGCCGATCCAATTTGGTTTTTAAGCTGTTCTCTTTATTAAAACCAAATCAAACCAGTAATTACGATTTAATTCAGTAAATTTCATCAATTCGACCGAATTGATGCCCACCCCTACATGTGGTACTATCATAGCAGTTCTAGCAACAAGGGCTGGGGGGGCGGGTTTAGGCCCAAAAACTGTTTCCAGCAGTAAGAGCTAGCCCTGGCAGTAGATGGGGCCCACAAACCCAGGCTAGCCCTCAGGCAAGATCTGCCTTAGTTCCAGCCCAAGTTTGCTGATGTCAACAATTTTTTTTTTTTTTTTTTTTTTTTTAATCTAAAAAAATACAAAAAATTTCAGATTTAAAAATAAAAAATAAATACGTAGTTGTAGTTTTCACTTCCCATACCAAACTCTATACAAATTTCTCTCCTCATATCTCATGTGAATAGTTGCTGCCATGACAATTGGTGGAAACACCACAATCTTTTGCAAGGGCAGCAACTATTCACATGAATAGTGGCTGCCCTATCCCCCTTTGCCATGGCAAAGGACGAATAGGTGGAGTTGCTCTCATGATACCATAAAATAATTTCTCTCCCTATATATCACTCATAAATAAATAAAAAACAAAGAAAAAAAACTAGGAACAGGTAGTCAAGTAATTTCCTGAGCCGGCCATAAGAAATTGTCTCCCTAACATTATCCGTTTGGACCCAAAAACAACAAAACCAAAAGAAACCAAACCACATCGTTCTCTCTCTCTCTCTCTCTCTCTAACCAGACCCTAAACACGAAGACTTTCTTTTCTCTTTCTGAAATTTCAAACTCGCAACGATGTTCTAATCCGACAAATCTCTGCGTTGATCCTGTTTACATAGGTGCGTTTTTTCCCCCTTCTTTTATCTTTCCTTGATTTTATTTAGTTTAATAATTTTTGTTCTTGTTTATTGTGGGAAATGGTTGAGCTGTTTGATTAGGTGTGCTATTTTGATTTAGCGGATCTGTTGTTATTCGTACTTCTTGCTTTGTTTTTTTTAATATTTTTAATTGATTGTTCTCTTCTTTTATTATATCTGGCAATTTTTCTTTCTCCTTTCTTTTTTTGTTCTAAATTCAGGAAAGGAAGAGGAAATAGAAATATAATTGGAATGGTGTGATACGCAGCTATTGGTTTTGGAAGCCGTTGTTTTCTAGGTTTTTTCTTGTTTTGTTTTGTTTTTATTTCCTCTCCCAAAATCTTTCAGAAATCAAACATGGGTTTTATGCAATTATTGTTTCATATCCTAATTCCTAAGCTTCTATTTTAAGAATAGAGTTGGAATGCTTAATCTTTTCATCCGTTTGTACGAGTAATGCATATGCGGAACGGTTTTGTGACCTGTGCTAATGCTATGACAAGAAGCAACAGTTTTATGACTGAGAAATCTTTTCCCATGGTTAGAAGGAACATGGTGACAATGTGGTTGAGCTCTTTAATAGTCATCATTTTGGTTGAATGGATTAGAATTGTTACAGAGGAGTATTAGAAACTGTTAATGGTATTATTGGGTTTGTAAGATATTTGGTTTTACAGTAGAGATTTATTCTTTTTGTACGTGATCACTATGCTTTTAAATTTTGTTTTGTTCTAGATGGTGTATCCTTGCAAGTTGTACAATGATCTAAAATTTACCGCTGTCTGAGGACTCTTTCCACTATTGTCTCCTTCGTTGATTGAATTTTTTTTTATTTTTTATTTTTATGGCTTTATTCCTGGGTGTATACATCAAAGTTTTCTACTTAGTTCATCTTCTCTTTTGGGATTTTAAGGCATGACTATTCCATTATGGTCAATTGGCCTAGTTTAATTTATTTTTTTTCGGCTTGAAATTGCTCGAAATTCTTCCCGTTCTGTTTATATTTTCCCTCACTTTCTATTGAAGCAATTTATTCTTGTTTTGATTGTTTTTCTGCTTTGCCCCTACATATTCTACTTCTTATTGTAGATGTTGTTTTATAGGTTGATTATGAATTTGGGTTATAGTCATTCCATTTCTGTTTAGGCAAAAAGTCCTGAAATGGTTCAGTATGCTTGAATTGTGTTTGTGTAGAGACAATCCAGATGTATGGGTTTATTGTTACAGTGCTCTGCAAATTGATTGACAGCTCCAATTGAACATATGCTGCAAAGGTGACCAAAATGAACTTTGGGTTTCTTGGTAATATCCCTTGGTTTAGGGCCCAATCAAACAATGATTTGGAACCAGCTCTACCAACAACTTCCCTTCTTGAACAACCTCAGCAGAAGGGTTGTTTTGATGTCAAGTTGTTGGGTTGGCCCCTTCTTTCCTTTGTTCCTTGGGTGTCAGTGAATTCTAAAGATAAGATTCATACTCCATCCACTATTAACCGCGGTTTGAGAAGGCGTGCACAACCTCGTGGGATGTTCAAGAATGGTGATTTCAATAACTTTTTGCGCTTTAGGCCATATGTTTCTAGGGTCCCATGGCATACTGGCGTAAGAGGTTTTCTTTCTCAGCTATTCCCAAGATATGGGCATTATTGTGGGCCTAATTGGTCAAGTGGGAAGGATGGAGGATCTCCTCTTTGGGACAAGCGGCCAATTGATTGGTTGGATTTTTGTTGCTACTGTCATGACATTGGTTATGACAGTCATGATCAGGCTGATTTGCTGAAGGCTGATTTAGCTTTTCTGGACTGCCTTGAGAGGCCAAATATGGCTACCAAAGGGGACGCTGGCATTGCTCACCTTTATAAGACAATGTGCATCACAGGTGTGAATAGCATTAGCACTTAAAAATTTCATATTTTGCATGGTATATATTTCTCATAAATTAAATTTTATATGGAAACTACAACTGGTACTTTTGTAGTGTTTTACTTACTTCTTGAGTTGGTTGGTGGAGGTCTTGTTCTTTTTAGTGTTGATGAAAATTGTTCCCTGGTATTTATTCTGATTGTCGTGCCAACATGAATGGCAGGTCTCAGGAATTTACTTATCCCTTACAGAACTCACCTTTTGAAACTGCGAGCAGGACAACCCTTGATTCAATTTGGATGGCTAAGCAATGTAAGATGGAGAGGTTGGAATTTTCAGAAAACTTAAAAAGGATCATGAGCTTCTGGAAGTAGTAACCTACAATACTCAACTAGTGCCCATTGCAACAGATGCCCCCTTTCAAAATTTTGATCTCTACTAAAGCTTTTCTGTGCCAGGGGGAAAATAGCAATGTTGAGTGTTGTTAGGCTTTTATGTATATAATTTTTTTATTGAGACTGTCAGAGATGCTTCTTTATAATGCATTAGCATTCTTTTTAGTTACCCCAGCTTCCAATTGGCTGGTGTTAATATCTGTAAGTAAGTAATGAACAAGCTTTTCTTTCTTTTATCTTTAGTAAGATGACTAGGGTTCGTGCCTGTTTGGTATTTGATTGGTTTGGTGAAAGTGACTTTCTTTGACAGTTTTGTGTGTCCACCTGTTTGTTACAAGGAGGGACGTCTGATTTTTTGTGAAAATTCCTGCCAGCAATAGCAGTCTGGAGAAGCAGGGGCGAATGTGCTTTTTATTTCTGCTTTTCTGAGAATCAGTTTGGAACCTGCGAGCATCAATGAATTTTGAAAGAGATAGAAAAAGGTAATTGTAAATTAGAAAACCAAATAGAAGGATTATCTAGAATATGTCCATGATTTGCTAAGGAGTCTATCACCATATTTACTTCATGAAAGATATACCGAATATTGAAATCTCTCCAGTAACAATCCAAAACAAAAGTAAAAGAAAATTACGATGGTAATAAATTATAAATAAATGAAAAGGTCTTTTGCACTTGAGAAAGCAAACCCAAGAATCTTAACAACAAATATTCAAATTCATACGTCAAAATCAAATTAATAAAATTAATCCAAGTAATCCCTGATTGTATGGATAACTGATATAACCTTGAAGTCAAAGGGAGATGAAGCACAATTTCGAAGCCCACATGGGCAGAACCACCATGTGGGCTCTGGTGGGCTGTAGCCTAGTGATTTTTTTGGTGAAAAAAGATATAAAATTTATATAAGCCAGCATCTCAACCTAAAAATATATAAAAATATACAATTTCATACATTGGCAACATCAATATGCATAGTCAAAGGTTTTTCACGTTCGTATACGGAATCAAAGATTGTCCCAACACCAATGACCCACAATAAGGGTAAAGTCCTTAGCTCTAACTCTCCAATTTTATTTTTTTTCATTGATTTGTCTCCAAAAGATAATATTTTTTCTAAATGAAATTCTTCCTTTCATGAATAATATGGCTCTAATTCCATTTTTTTTTCTTGTGTTCATAACTAGTGTGGTTTATACTAATGCATACTTTTATTTATATAGAGCCTACATAAATTGAAAGTAAAAAACATGATAATTGGATTTTAAGCTAATAACTTTAGCTAGCCCACCCGCTGATAAATTCATGGTTCCGCCCTTGCATAGATAAAGGTGAAAAGGCTCAACCCACTGTGTTACACCACAAAGGCTTATTAATTAATCCAACAAAAAGCAAACACTGGGTTGTTTGGATAACTAATACAACCTTGAAGTCCAACATGCCCATATTCGTTTTTCTAAATCACATGCACTAAAATTAAAATGATAAACACTCATATGTGGAAAAAAATGTTAGCCACCAAGTAGCAATAAACTCAAAGAAAAAAAAACATGTAATCATCCCAAAAGAGAAAATAACTCTTTGCAAATATTCCGTAGTAAACATCCACAAAAGCATGGGGAGAATTTGGAAAGATTTAAATAGTAAGATTAAAATTAGGGCAAAAGATCTGAAGTGAAAAAGTGAGAAAAATCTAGATATAGAAGGCAAAAAGAAGAAAAAGAAAATTAGAACCTCCAAAGTTGAGGGAGGATGGGAAGGAGGAGAAACAAAAAGTGAAATAAAAATAAAAATTGAAATGGTTATCAAACGAACCATGATTCTATGATCATGCGAAGTGCCTCCAAATTGATTATATGGTATGCGAATGTATGTTATTGTATTCTGATTTTTATTTTTATTTTTATTTTTTTTTGACACGAGCAATATTGGGAGAGGGGGACTCAAACACAATATCTTGGGTGCATGGGTAGGGTACTGCTTTTTTTTTTGTTAGAGGTAGGGTATTGCTCCTAACCACTTGAGATACAAACCCTTACTTATTTAATAGGTTGTTGTTTTATTCTTTTATGCTCCGTTAATAAAATTTGTGTGTTTTAATGTCATGCCTCGAAATTTCAACAACAAGTAATCATTGAGTTTAAACAAAACAACCAACAATCTGGGACGTGAAGCTTTGAACCTTCAACAAAAGTACCTGGAATTTTTTTCTTAATACGACACCATTGTTCCGAACCACATTGTCAATATTGACTCAACTCTTTTGAGTCAAATATTACATTACAAACTTACATAATAAAATGAACAATCATCATATTACATAATCTGCTCCTCATAGCTCATTTTACACAACGAAAGTCTAACACTCACAAACACTCTCACACCACACTTTGCACCATGTGGAACCACCAACGAGCCTCCTGCTTCTTACCTTAATTCACCTGCTCACGGTCTCTACCGTCTACAGGATTTGCCCCTACACCATCGAATAGTGTACCGGGTTCATCACATAACAACCCAATAAGCTTTCTAAAGCTTGTATGAGTAAACCACGTCTAGAGTATAATATGTCAATTTACACATAATAAACAAACACATGCACTTTCATTAGCATGCCACAATCCTTGTATAACCAAGGTAATCATAATCCTCAATATCATCACAACCACATTTCTTTTATTTTATTTAAAGAACAGTTTCGATCACGACTGTGACTACACCAAAACTTTTTATTTCAAAAGCAGTTTTCACACATCAAATATTTGACAGACAGAAGAGAGAATACTATAAACCTCTAATCTATAACACTACAAACCACCAAAGTAGCGTTCACTCATGATTACACATTATTCATGAGTACTAGATGGCGCCATACTTGAGCTATAACTATTCTTGGGTCTTACTCCCTAGGGTAATTTATCCCTCATTATTTGCCATGAGAATGCCCACCTGACAAACTCAGAAGGGATTCAAGGTATTCTCCCCTAAATCCATCAACACCAAAACAATATAAAATGTCATTTCACATTAAACATTGTTTTATCACCAAATACATCAATCACAACAATGTATATTTATTATATATATTTATGTGGTTATTCACGAATGAATTTCCACCAGACATCCACAACATATGTTATATGGTTCAACACCAAAATCTCCAATAAAAAGAATCAATTTAAAACAAAAAAGATTTCACTTACCTCATGAACCATTGATGAACAAGTTCATGTGCTTTAAATCAATTAAAAATTTTTGTAAAATCACAAACAACATGTTAATTATAGACATTAACATTATCCAAGGTCACATTATAATAAATATAAGGGTAAAGTGTCGAAAACCCCACTGAACTATAATGCTTGTCGAAATGTCCACCATAAATTATTTTTTCAGCCAATTTAGCCCTTATAATAAATTTTATCGCTAATTTAATACCTACCATCAAGTTTCTACACTTTCATCCAATTTTCTGTCAATTATAAGGGTAAGTTTGTCATTTTACAAAATACAATATTAATAAAAATTAAAAAAATGTAAAAACAAAAACAAACAAAATTCAAAATAGAAAACAGAAGAAGAAAAGTAACCTAGCCTATCACCAACACCACTCCTCCTTCTCCTCTTTTACCAGAAACTCATTTAGCCCCCAACCTTTGAAACTCAAATCACTCAACCTATCTTATGCTACCGTAGGCCATCAAGCCATGATTTGTAAATTTCTAAATCGAAAACCTAGAAAAATGAAGGAGAAGAAATCCCTAAGAAAACAAACAGTTTGAAAAATTAGAAAAAACACAACTTTATTAAAGAGATGGAGGCCAACCGTACCCTCCATACACTGCATCCCCATTCTGATCAATTCCTTCATAGAACCTCAACTCTAGCTCCTCCATTCTGATCAATTCCTTCACACAATTTTAAAGATTTAATTATTTTTAACAGAAATTTGGATGAAACTACATGGAAACTAACGGCAGGGGCTAAATTGGCCATTTAAAATAGTTTGATGGTTAAATTGACTGAAAAAATAATTCAAGGTGGACATTTCAACAAGCATTATAGTTCATGGGGGTTTTTGGTAGTTTACCCTAAATATAATAATTTGTAATTTTACTCACGATTACAATGGTTTTACTCACCTCTCATCCAAGCTGCGTTTTATCAACTCAACAAAACAATACTCACAATCCTCAACGAGCAACTTTGGCTCCAACAAAACCTAAGCAAGTATGAAACTCAACTTAGAATCCAAAACTTCAATAATGATTGAGCTCCCAACTCAACTCAACTATCGTGCACTTGCTTGTAAACCGAGGCACAAATCATTCTAGGCGAACCTCCTCCGTGACTCACTAAAGTAACTGACGACTCCAAAAATCCACCTCGGGCCCACAACCTCAAATTTCAAATATGATCCACCAATGGACTCTTAATAGTCTTGACATCATCCTGCATCAATTTGGGCCCGATCCAACGGTCGGATCATTTTAGATTGCACGATCAAATGACGATCACTAGCCTTAACTTTGAAACACAACCACTTAAGATCGGGATGTTTGATCACCAATCCGTCTATACCTACAAACTCCTCACAACACCATCTACGACATATATAAAATCAGACACGATCCAACGGTCCAATCATTTTCAATCATTTGCGGGGCTTCGATTGTTGATCAAACAACATAATCTCGCAATTTCGAGCACACCAACGTGCTCAGGACTACGAGGACTACAAACTATCTTCACACCTTAGTCACAGCACGATCGCCACGAGCGTGGTGGTTCAGGTACTATTCCAGTAATGGAAAAATCTTAGAATCACCAGTCCAAAACTACACTTCCTTAAAGAACTCGATGAGATAAACAACCTTAAAACTTAAGAAAATACATGAATCGACGTGGAAAGAGATCTAAACCACGATTGAAGTTTTGAATTCGAATAAGAAGCTTCACGAAGTTGCTGGGCTTTACACGGCGGTTGAAAGCGTCGATTGATCCCAGAAATGGAACGGCATCGCCAAGAGCTTTCCAACAATACCAAGATCACCACCTACCATCGCCGGAAAAGCTGGGTTGGGTCGAATCCTCTACCCGAGTAGTGATTTGGGTTGGGGTTTCTGATTCAAGTCGTGGGCTGCTGTGCAATTATCTGATTTTTTTGCACTGTAGTCCCCTTATAAATAGTAACCCGAGAATAGCACTGTAAACTGTACACTATTCACTGTTTAGCCCTCCAATTAAATTTCAAAACTTTGAAATTTAATTTATTTTTCGTTATAACTTCGATCCACGAATCGTTTGCGCCTACACGTTCGTGAGATTAAGCTTTATTTTTCTAGTCCAAAATTATAATTTTCTCACTTCTGTTTCTTGAACATGCTTTGAAAAATCATAAAAAGGGTATTTTTGTCCAAATTGATATTAAACACTCTTAAATCCAATATTCTCACACCAAGTCAAGTTCAAAATTTATGCATAATAACCACACAACTTAATATGATTTTTTTTTCACAAAAATAATAAAAGAAAATATTATTTTTGAGGTCATTACATTCAATCTTTAAAGGAATACCATCCTGAAATTCAGCCCATCTCATCCTCAAAGACATGAGGATACTTCTTCCACATTTCAGACTCCAATTCCTAAGAAACATCACCCTGGTCATTGTGACTCCACAACACTTTGACCAAATCCACTTGAGTTGTCCTAAGCTGTTTAGTCATCCTGTCCAAGATGCGTAGAGGTGCCTCTACATAAATTACATCTTCATTGACTTCAACTGTACCGTAATCAATTACGTGTGAAGCATCCTTCACATACTTCCTTAACATTGACACGTGAAACAAATTATGGACACCTAACATCATTGGAGGTAATGCCAACCGATATGCCAACTCACCAACCTTATCTAGAATTACAAAAGGTCCAACAAATCTGGGAGATAACTTTCCTTTCTTCTTACCAAATCTTATCACTCCCATCATTGGTGAAACTTTCAAAAACACATGGTCACCAAATTCAAATTCCACACTCCGTCGTTTCTTATCTGCATAACTTTTCTGACGGCTCTGTGCTGTGTGAATTCTATCTCCGATGATAGAAACCATCTCCATAGTCTTTTGAACTACATCGGTACCCATTACTTTATTATCACTTACCTCAACCCAACAGATAGGTGATCTACATGTCATTCCATACAATGCTTCATACAGTGCCATATCGATACTAGAGTGATAACTGTTGTTGTAGGCAAATTCTATCAAAGCCAAATGTTCATCCCAACCTCCCTTGAAATCCAAGACACATGCTCGAAGCATATCCTCCATCACTTGATTCACTCATTCAGTTTTACCATCAGTTTGAAGGTGAAAGGCTATACTCATATCCTATCTAGTTCCCATGGCCTTTTGGAAACTACTCCAAAACATAGAAGTGAAACAAGCATCCCTATCCGAGACAATGGATACAGGAATCCCATGCAGTTTCACCACCTCACAAATGTAGAGCTTACTCAACGTGTCAACTGAATACTTCATAGATACATGCAGAAAATGTGCAGATTTTGTTAATCGGTCCACAATAACCCAAACTGAATTGTGACCATGCTTAGTCATAGGCAACCCCACCACGAAATCCATAGCAATGTTTTCCTATTTCCAAATAGGGATAGATAAAGGTTTCAACAACCCTGATGGTTGCTGATGTTTTGCCTTCACCTGTTGAAAAGTTAGACACTTAGTCACATACTCTCCCACCTCTTTTTTTCATAGAAATCCACCATAATTGTCTCCTAAGATCCTTGTACATCTTAGTACTTCCTGAATGAACTGTATACTTAGAATGATGAGCCTCTTCCAAAATCTCTCTTAAGATTCTTAGATTCAGGCACACACAACTTCCCTCAGTATCTCAAACCACCATCATTCTCAATTGTCCACTCATAAGGACTTATAAAAGTTAGTTCAATTGTTAACTCAACCATTTGAGCTTGCATTCTCGCATCCTGAGCTTACTCCTGAATCACCTTACTAATCAAACTAGGTTGAACTATCATACTCCCCATAAAAATATCTTCTCCATCCGTAGTTGGTATTAGGTCCATCTCAGATGCAATTTCCACCATCCTCCACTCATGTGCCATTATAGATGCGACTACTCTTATAGGCTTGCAACTCAATGCTTCAACAACAACATTGGCTTTTCCTGGATGATATTCCAAGGTGAAATCATAATCCTTTATGAGTTCCATCCATCTCCCTTGCCTCATGTTCAGCTTCTTTTGAGAGAAGAGATACTTTAAACTCTTACGGTCTGGAAGAGTTCAAACTTCTTACCATACAAATAATGCCTCCAAACTTTCAAGCCAAACACCACTGCAGCTAATTCTAAATCATGTGTAAGGTAGTTTCTTTCATGAACCTTCAATTGTCTAGATGCATATGCAACCATTTTACCATTCTGCATCAACACACATCCCAAACCCTGATGAGATGCATCACTATAAATTACCAATCCTCCTCCTCCTGAGGGAATTGTCAGTACTGGAGCAGTAGTCAATTTCTTCTTCAGTTCATTGAAGGCTTTCTTGCAATCCTCATTCCAAATGAACTACACATCATTCCTTGTCAACTTGGACTAAGGTGCAGCAATACTTGAGAAACCCTCAATAAACCTCCGATAATAGCCAAACCCAGAAAACTGCGAATCTCAGTCACAGTAGTAGGATGTTTCCACTCCATAACTGCTTCCACTTTAGAAGGATCCACGGATACCCCATCCTTGGAAACCAATCTCAGTGTTTCCAACACAATCTCAAGATTCCTATCATGATCTTTATCATTCTTTCAGTAGATCAAGATATCATCCACAAACACCATTACAAAATCATCCAAGTGAGGACTGAATATTATGTTTATCAAATCCATAAACACAACAGGTGCATTAGTCAACCCTAAAGGCATGACAACAAACTCATAATGTCCATACCTGGTTCAAAATGCAGTTTTAGGAATATCTTCCTCCCTCACCCTAACTTGGTGATATCCTAACCTCAAATCAATCTTGTTGCCCCCTTCAACTAATCAAACAAATCTTCAATCCTTGGTAATAGATACTTATTTTTAATTGTTACTTTGTTTAACATTTTGTAGTCCACACATAACCTCAGTGCGTGATCCTTTTTCATCACAAATAGGATAGGTGCACCCCAAGGTGATATATTCAGTCTAAAGAACCCTTGTGCCACTAAACCATCAATTTGAAGCTTGAATTCTTTCAACTTGGTAGGTGTGATTCTATATGGAGCCATTGATATTGGTGACGTTCCTGGAACCAACTCAATAGTAAACTCCACTACCCTCCTTAGAGGTAAACCAGAGATATCTTGGAAAACATCTTGATTAAAAAATGCTTTAGGAACATCTTCCAATGCTAGACCTTGTTCTACTCTTTCCACAAGAGCTAGAAACCCATCCTTCATAGTTGCATAAGTTTTAATGCACCTTCATACCTTTTATATGTAGGAGATGCATCCGGGCATGATAACGAGAGCGAATTGTGCGCTGTTTTATGACACCCCACCTAGCTTGGCCCTCCACAATTTTTGAAACTATGTTTGCATGAAGATTTTTCCAAAACATGGTATTGCCTCGACATTGCTGCAGGCCATGTACCAAGTCTGCAGTAAGTGAATTTGCTGACTTGGCTAGTGTTTTAGTCTCCCCTCCTTCAGTAATTGAAAGCGTTGGGTTTGATGTGAGGTTAGGGTCCATGGTTTTGGGTATTTATTATGGGTTAGCGTGGGGACTTAATTGGGGAAAACTGGAACTTAATGAGATGTGAGTGAAATGAGTGGGAAAGGTAATGGCTGCAAGCAAGAGTTAATGTGATGAAAGTTTTCTCTTCATGCAGCTAGGTTGAAGTTAATATATGGAGATATTAATGAGCTGGAGTAAATGAGTGAGTACTTGGCGGTAGGGATTGGGGGGAGTAATTGGCTGAATTCATTAGCAGGAGTTATTACCCAATTGCCTGTATGACTATTTTCCTATATTTATAATTTGGAATTTCCCAATTTCATAGTTTTCCCATTTTTGTATTTAAAGAATTGCCTAATTTGGCAAATTTGCCAACTTTCAAATGCTCTAACTTACAACCAAGGAGTAAATGGTGTACAGTGCAATCCCATCAAATTAATGCACCAACTACATACCCAATTTTGTCATATATAAAGATCTAACTAACTCCTTCAATAGAATATAAATTAGACAAGTTGTTATACATAACATAAGCATACGCACCTTCTTAACGTCAAGTTTGGGAAAGATAATTATTCTTAACTTACTCAAAGGCAAACATTCTCCAGTAAAGCTGATCATATTGTTGTTTACAAGTTTTCAGAAGTAAAAACTGCAAACTAAATCTAACGTTTTATTTTTTTACAGACTAGAGCTGTGAATTGTCTCCACCGATACTTAAAGACGTCGAATGTACGCCCTCTAAATGACCATGTCAGTTACCTGGGAGACCAGTCATGGCATGTGTCGTTCCCATCTCCACATCTGACTCCAAATCACAATCCCACTTCATCTGGAAGTGTGGCTGAGAGCAATTATCCGCTTGACAAAATGTCTACCATGAAGCACGACCTCCAATATTTGTCTAAGGCAATGGATTGGTGGGAGAGCAAATGTGATATTCATGGCCAAGTGATGGGAAACTTGGCCAACAAGTTGAACAAAACATATGCTGGAGAAGTGAAGCAAACTCTAAAAGCAATAAGTCGGAGCAAAGAGTTAGAGTCTCTCAAGTTAAAATTGGAAGAGACAAAGAAATATAATGTCCAGCACTTCACAAAATCTGAAGACTATAACTATGAAATGGTTGAATGTTTCAACAACGGCTTTGAAATGTTCCGAGATTATATGCTTCAGTTGTCTCATCGGACTACAATTGGAGCGAAATTGATGTAGTTGGTGTCTGGCAAGTGCTGAATATGGGTGGAGAGGGAGTGGCTCATCATAGCCTCGTGCATGCACCTAGGATGAAGGCCAAAGGCATGGATCTTTTTATGGACCTCTAATAATTTGCATTTGGCAGGGTTTGTGCAGCTAGGTGAGGGTAAGTGCTAGTTCGCTTCATGTTGTGGTGGGTGATGCGATGTGAATGTGTTCCCTTTGTTTTCCCTTCGCGAGATAGTATTGTTATGGTTGGGTGGCGATTTATTTTGAATGTCTAAATTGAAGATGGTCTGAAATGGATGACTTATTTTATATATATATATACGCATATATAGGTAAATGAAATCAAATGAATGCGGTTGGAACATTGGAGTCCATACGGCTAGGCTCTTTAAATTGAAACTTCCTTGCCCTATTTTACATATATATATATATATATCATGTGGCGGGGGGTTATTACCTTTGTTCACCATTAGGCCATATGGAAGATCTCAGTTGATGAGGATGCTCGCCCATATATTATTTCTTTCCTCTTTCGTCTCCTTGTAGGATATGAGTCCCTCCCGCCAATTACTCCCCCTAATTCCTCCCGCCAATAACTCTCTCAGTTACTCCAGGTCATTAAAGGCTGCCTATATTAATCAACCTAGCTGTTTGAAATGAAAACTTCCATCACATTAACTGCAGCCATTACCTTCCCCACGGATTTCCCTCCCATCGCATTTAGACCCCTTTATTTCCAATTAAGTCGTACACCAGCCTACAATAAATATCGAAGACCATGGACCATAACCTCACACCAAACCAAACGCCTACATTACTGAAGGAGGGAAGATTGAAACAGAAGGCAAGTCACCCAATTCACTCACTGCAGACTTGGTCCATGGCATGCAGCAATGTCGAGGCAATACCATGTTTTGGAAAAATCTCCATGCAGACATAGTTTCAAAAATTGTGGAGGGCCAAGCTAGATGGGGTGTCATAAAAAACCGCACAATTCGCTCTCGTTATCATGCCCGCATGCATCTCCTACATATAAAGGCAATGAAAGGAAAAATTGAAATTGCCCCTGCCACTGCAATTATGGTATTCAAGGAATCAGAAGAAATGGCCAAGTTGAAGCAACAAGAAGTGGAAAGCGGATTCGAACTATTTCGTAAGTTTGCAAAAATAGTGGATCCGGCAGGAAACTGGGACAACATGACTGTGGCCAGGGTCATGAATTTCATGGGTCGTGGTCGCCGCACTTGAAGAGTATGCAACTTCGAATTTGTCAATAGCAGGGAAATGGAACTATGAGGTCGCTCCAGGGCTAGATAATTCGAGAAACGATGATCTAGGCAAATGAAGAGATGCTCCCTAGTCATCTCCTGGCACTCATAGAAAAATCGAAAGCAATCCTCAACATAATGCTTCTAGCGTGGGGCATTGAACAAGGGCGGCCCCAGAAGAGCTTTATCGTTGGGGCAAACGGTGGTGGAACTTAGTTCTGAAAAATAGAGCTGGAGCCATAATTGAAAAATTCATATAGGGCCAGAAGCATGATAATCCATGGGTTTAGTGGTTACCTCGCAGAGCCTTCTATAAAGATAGGCAAGAAAGATTGGGCCCATGGCCACTTGATGGCCATCCTCAAGTACCTCCGCCAAATTCCTTAGTAATCTCGCCGAATTTTGGGCATGCCAAGAACTTGCACAACCACATCACAAGAAAAGCCACATGCTCAGTGTAGGATATGCCATTGATGGAAAAAGGTTCAATGGGCTCTCTGCTATGGCCAAGATACATCTTCACCAACTCTCGGAGGTCTTGTTCGACTTGTGAAAATCTAAGCCCACTTTAGCTTTTGAAAGGTTGGCACCCAAGAAATCATCTCCATGAGGGCGAAGGCCGGTGATAGCGGCCAAGTCATCATCCCAAAACGGAGCCTCATGCAATTGGTGGAGAAAGACCAAAATCATAGCATTGCAATGACGAGAGATCGGTCGCAAGGAAAGGGGATTCCCGCACATAGGAGCAACGTATCATATATTACGATTTTCTTCCAATGGCCCTTCAATTTTGGTTCTAATGCCTTGAACAAATGATACCAATCAAATTTGCCTTTCGCCGAACTTGAGTGGTTAGATTTCACGGCAGTAAATGATGCTTTCTTTGATAGGGCCTCTTTAGCTGTGACGGGATCCATTTTGAGGGGGGTTCCCGTCGGCCAACCTTCAAATGGTTTGGAGCTCTCCCAAACAGTTGCCCATGTGAAGTTTGAAAAATAAGTTGGGCCATTTCTCAGTTGCTTGCCCAAGTCTTTGTCCATGGCCACTTTCATATCTTCAAAAAATTGGGCACCTATTATTTGGAATGGATTCCATCCTACAAACATGAAGTAAAATTGAATCAAAGAAAAGTCTAGTAAAGAAAGTGAGATTCGAATTAAGAACGCGAAGAACATCATGGCACTATTCATACATTCAAAAGCATCAAAATCATTCAAGAATTAGTGCAATGTACCTAGAAACTTGCAAATCTCAAGCTTGACATTGATTCGGGTGGATTTGGTGTGCGAAATAATGAATGTGAAGATAAAGAGGATATGGGTTTTGAGAGAAAACCTTATAAAAACCTATGGCTGTGGTGGAAGTGTTTTATGTGAAAATGAAGGAGAGCACTTGGATATTTGTAATATCTGGGGTTTTTAACGGATAGGAAGTTCAAAAGTCCCTCTAATTTAATTGGTGTCTTCCTAAATTCCAACCCGATTCAAAATTTAAATAACGTGCAAGGCAAGCAAAGAGTCTCAAACTTCAGGAATTGAAAGGTCTTGGGTTTCGATTTGCTTACCTCTACACCAATTATGAGCTAAACAAGTTGGGGGGCAATGTTTGGGGGTGGTGAGAATTCTCCCAATCTGGGTAATTTTTGCAAACACAAAAGGCCCGAGATATTGGAACTTGGCAGTCGAATTTGTGGAACTTGGCCGGAACCTAGGAAATTTGACACAACCAAGTTGTGTTCGCAGCAGCTAGGGCTTGCAAAAATCCGGTTGGGATTGGAGCTGGAGCTTGCAAATATATGGCCGGGTCTGGAATGAATGGCGGCCAGATGGAGCTTGCAAAAATACGACCAGGTCTGGAATGAATTACGACAAGATGGAGTCTTGCGAAAAGTCGGCTGGGCTATATCAGGGGAGCTGGGCTTTATGAATACGACCGGATAGCTCGAACTTGATTGAAGAGTTGGCGGTCAGGCTTTGCTCGAAATATGGTTAGAGTTGGCGGCCGAGCTTTGTTTTGAAGCGAGGCTGGAAGATTGAAGCCGGGTTTTGTTTTGAAGCGAGAATCGAGTGAGATCGGGCTGGGAGTTCAGGATATGGCCGGGATGTCGAACACCTTGGCTGCTGTAGCAATTTGGGGTGCGCAAGATTGCAGCCGGATGGAGCTGGGAGGCCAGGAGAGCGGTGGGGATTGCAACTGAAGATTTAGACTGGGATGTGTTCTAACGCGGTTGGGGTTTGAAGGCGACTAGAGAGTGCGACCAGAGTTGCGGCCGAAGATGTGCAAGCCGGATTTTTCGGGTGGATGAATATGTGGCCGGTTTTGCTAGAAATTGCGGCCAGGTTTTTGGTTTTGAGCAAACATAGTTTTGGAGAATGGCGGCTGGGGTATTTGGTTTCTTTGCAAACTGGGTTGAAAGGGTTTTAAGTTTCAATTTAAAGATCCCAGTCGTATGGACCCCAGTGTTCCAGCCGCATTCATATATATATATATATATAAATACAAGCAAATAAATACGAATATGCAGCGGGGGGTTTTTGATAGGGCTGGATTGAAGGATTTTGGGCAATTGAAATAGAAGAATTTTATTGGCCCTTAAGAGAGCTTGGAGGTCCAAGTCCAAGCCACTTATTCGAGCCCAAGATTTCCGGAAGGATTATGGGCACGTGACAGAGGCCTCACAAGGAAAGAAATCAAGGAGTTAATAATAACTCCGAATGTTCCAAAGCAAGGAAGAATCAAGCATATCAAAATATTTCAATCAATGCAATCTCACGGATTTAGGGGGGCTTCGAAAGGAAAGATTTTTAAGAAGAGTTGACATTTGGCCATTCAATGGCCAGCCTATGGGCTGATGAATGCCCTATATAAACCTCACCAAACAAAGATAGAGGACACACAACATCAAACAGACAAACCTATCTTTCGTCTTGCACTTTTCTTTTCCTAGAATTAGGATTTTACTTTTCAAGCACCTAGTGTAGCAAGTTCTTCCTTTTCTTAGTGTAAGTTTAAATTCTTGTTAAATTTTATTTTCTTGTCATTTAAATTCAAGTTTATTTCAATTGCTTTACCTTTCATTGTTATCACACTTCAATTAAGTTTAATTTCAAGTTTATTTTGTTTTATCGTTCTTATCATTCTTATCGCTTTTATTTCGTTCTTGCTTTATTTATCGCTTTGATTTATTTCGTCGCACTTTAATTCTTGTCTTTACGTTTAAACGCACATTTATTTTAATTGTATTATTTTTACTTAAAACCCTAAAAATCACAAAACCATCGGTACGAAGCCTAACCATCCTCTAGCCCGAGGAAGTGAAAGAACCTAGGCCAATAGGAGGTTCCTTGCTTAGTCGATCAATCGTTTGATCAGAAGTTCGAAGCACAACACACCCATCTACTCACATTCCATTCAAACCCAAATTCGGGGCTTGGTGGTGGGACGCTCCGCATTCAAAAGAAGAAGGACCACAAATTCCTTCTGTTGGCAGCCTCGGCCGAAAAGAGGGAAATAATAATAAAAGCTCATGCAGCCTTAACACTCCGCAATGGTCCTTCCCACTTCTCCTCCTGCTTAGCAGTTCCTCCCCTTCCTGACTGGACTAAGCCCTTTTTGTCTTTCTCTTTTCAAATTTTTTTATTTTTTCTAATGATATATTTTAGTTTAATTGAACTTTTAATGTATTTTAAAATTAATACAACTTTTTATTAACTTCAAAAAGCTTTATAGGTTTTCAAAATAAAATGAAAAAGATTATCATGTTCATTTAACAACTTTAACGGAATAGACCAAATTGATTAATGGTCTTAAACACAGGGATCAAATTGGCCAAATTAAAAACACATGGACTAAATTGGCCAAGGTGATAAAACACAGGGACCATGTTGACATTAAAGCCAAAGAAATAATATAAAAGTGGAGTAAAATTAAATTAATGTATGGCAAGGGTAGAATAGGAAAGAGAAAGAATAAAAAAGAAAAAGATTGATTAAAAATATTAAAAAGCAAAAGAGAGTGTAAGTGGAGAAAAGGGGAATGGGAAAATCAACTACCTTCTATATCTATAACAATACATGGGTATTAGCATGGGTACTGATTTCTGTATCACATTAATGCATTCCAATATTGCTATATCTATAACAATACATGCCTAGACGTTTACAGTTAAACTAAAAATTGAGAAGAAGGGAATGAATATGGCCAGCAGCCATGTGGCTTCCTTAGTCATGTTGATATTGTTGGCAACAAATTTTTTAAATATATACCAAACACAATCCAAAGCATACAGACAATCCAAAGTAGGCTATTGGCTTCTTTGTAGTAGGTTACCTGTATGGCTTCTTTGATATTTCTATAGAGAAAACGTATTGAGGATTTTTTCTCTTTTGTAGCTGCTGTTGAAAACTGATATATGGATTGTTAGGGTTAGCAAAAAACCGAAATTAAAAAAAAGGCTTGAGTTGCAAAAGAAATAATTATTTTAGGCTTTCCCCCATTTTTTTGGACAAGCGGGAGTTTAATTGCTGATTTGTTTAATATATTTTGTTATATAAATTAATTAATTTAAAAAAAAAAAAAGGGTTTTTTTTTTTTTTCTCCACCCAAACGAAAAAGCTTTCAATACTTCGTTTTGTGTAAGGTAGCTTCAATGTCTATGAGTTCTACTTTATATTAAGTGTCAAATAGCATTTGAAAATTTGAATACAATCCAAATTCAATATGGTGTTGCATTTTAGGCCAATGTAATCCAAATCTAATTCGTTTGCATTAGTAATTCACTTAATTCATCTAATATCATGATGAGGGAAATCAAACTTTTTGATGTTATATGATAATTTGATATCTTTATCAATCGGAAGATCCTTGTGAGCAAGAGTATTTGAAAATTTAAAGAAACCATTGACGTGTTAAATATGATAATTCAAATCCAAATTTGATATGGTATTTCATTTTAGGCCAATGTAATTAAAATCCAATTCGTTTACACTAATTTAACTTAATTCTTCCGATATAATGATGAGGGAAATCAAACTTTTTATGTTATTTGATAATTTGATATCTTTATCAATTGGAAGAACTTGTGAGTAAGAGTATTTGAAAATCTAAAGAAACCAGTGACGTGTTCAATATGATAATTCAAATCAAATTCGATATGGTATTGCATTTTAGGCCAATGTAATCCAAATCCAATTCGTTTATAATCCAAATTCGAATTTGGTCAACTGAATCGAAATTCATGGCGTCAATAGTCTTATTTCCCATATCACCGTGTTAAGGAATTCAATTATTTTTCCTTTTGTCAAATATATCTCCAAAATGATGTTGAAGACAATGAAATTGATTGAAGAAGGGATGTATTCAACTTACAATTGTGGGATGAGTTGTCATGTAATTGTGATTGTCTATTTTTTTTTGGATTGGCTATTTTTTAGTTATCTATTTTGGAGTGTGATTGGTTATTATCAATCAAATTATTTTTACTTATTCTAATGGGAAATTGACCTTCAAACTTTTTTTTGAGAGGACATCTAACCTCGAAAATAGTCAAACAATTTGGATGAAAGGAGAAGCCCCTCGACAATAGTCAAACAATTCTGATAGAAGGAGAATCCCCTGAGATATAGTCAAACAATTTCGACAAAATGAGAAGCCTCTCATAAATAATCATGTTATTTCCGACAAACGTACTTTTGGTCATTAATAAAGTTGGCGCCAAAGCTTCCTACCGAATAAATGACATTTCCGACGACCATACAAACCTTTTCCGAGAGCATTTCGTTTGTTAGAAATAAATTTCAGGCCCGTGACATATTTCCAACGGACAACATATTTTGGACAGAAAAAACACTTTTTGCAACGGATGTTTGGGACCCTTAGAAAACTTTGGTTGGTAATGACCTTATTTTTTTTGTAGTGAGATGGCCCACCTCATTGCAATTATAACACCTAATAGGCCCAGCTTGCTTAGCATGTGCATCATTTTTTGTCGCAGTCTGGTACCTAGTTCTCTGCTTCTTACCAACACCTCCCTGATTCCCAGTAGTGCTACTTTGTGTTTGCTTCAATAGACGTTGCACACTCCACCACATCAACAAATTTCGTATGGTGGAAACCAATCACCATCTTTTTGACATAAACATTTAAATCCTTTTGAAACTTCTGGGTTTGTTGCAACTCACTCAGAGAGTCAGCAAAACGAGACAACTCAGCGAATCGTGCCTCATACTCCCTCATAGTTAGGAACTCCACTTGTAATTCCTCCTTCAGAGTAGTAGGAAAGTACTTATTGTAAAAGAGTGCCAAAAACCCTTCCCAGTCCATTTGGTCCACATTCTGTGATCTTTCCACTGCCTCCCACCACACTCATGCCTCATCATGTCAGTAAAAGGAAGCTGTGCTCCTCTTTTCAACACTGGTCATACCCAAATCTTGAAGTAGTTCTCAAGATTCCGTATCCACCTGTCCGCCTTCATGTGATCGACTTTACCCTCAAAAGTTTTAACTCCCAATTTCTTGAGGTCACGAATCAATAGGGACATTCTGAAGGGATCTGTGGGTGGCATCGGTGGTGGTTGAGGAACACCATGCCCCCGTGCCTCCAAGAACTCTGCAAATAGATAAGTTGTACAATCATGCATTTGCACATTGCGCACCAGCAGGAGCTTTTTCCCCAATTTCCTCCTCAAACTCCTCACGAATCTCAAGAGTAGGCTCTACAGCTCCGGGCTGTTCGCCCTTACCTCTAGCTCTGCCTCGGCCTCTACCTCGACCTTGACCTCTGCCTCTGCCTATACCTTGGTCCATTCTCCTTCTGGCATAAGACAAGCGAACTGTTAATTCCATACTTGAGTATTATCTCAAAGTAAACAAGCTTGAAAATAACATGCAACCACAACAACAACAAAGGACCCATTCCTCTAAATAGTCCCGACGTCATCCTGCATCAATTAAGGCCCAATTCAATAGTCGGATCATTCTAGATTGCACGATTGAATGACAATCGCTCGCCTTAACTTTGGAACACAACCACTTAAGATCGAGATGTCTGATCACCAATCTGTCTATACCTATAGACTCCTCACAACACCAGTTGCAACATAATAAAATCAAACACAATCCAACGGTCCAATCATTTCCAATCTTACGGTCCAGATTTGCGAGACTTCGATTGTTGATCAAACGACAGAATCTCGCAATTTCGAGCACACCAACGTGCTCAGGACTACAAGGACTACAAATTATCTTCACAACTCAGTCACAGCACGATCGCCACGTGCGTGGTGGTTTGGGCTACTATTCTGGCAATGGAAAAATCTTAGAATTGCAAGTCCAAAACTACAATTCCTTAAAGAACTAGACGAGATAAACAACCTTAAAACTTGAGAAAATACCAGAATCGATGCGAAAGGAGATCAAAACCACGATTGAAGTTTTGAATTTGAAGCTGAAGCTTCACGAAGTTGCTGAGCTTTACACGGTGGTTGAAAGCTTTAGCATTGATCCCAAAAATGGAACGTCGTCGCCAAGAGCTTTCCAATGGTACCAAGATCGCCACCTATCGTTGTCGAAAAAGCCAGATCGAGTCAGATCCTCTAGCCAGGTTGAAATTCAAGTTGGGGTTTCTGATTCGAGTCGTGGGCTGCTGTGCAATTATCTAGTTTTTTTGCACAGTAGTCCCCTATAAATAGTAACCCGTGAATGGCACTGTACACTATTCACTATTTAGCCTTCCAATTAAATTTCAAAACTTTGAAATTTAATTTATCCTTCTTTATAACTCCGATCCACGAACCGTTTGAGCCCACCCGTACGTGAGATTGAGCTTTGTTTTTCTAGTCCAAAATTATAATTTTCTCACTTCAATTTCTTGAACATCCTTTGAAAATTCATAAAAAGGGTATTTTTGTCCAAATTGAGATTAAACACTCTTAAATCCAATATTCTCACACCAAGTCAACAAAATTTACCCATAATAACCACGAAACTTAATATGATTTTTTTTTCACAAAAATAATAAAACAAAATATTATTTTCAAGGTCATTACATTTAATATTTTACTTTACCAATGATATTTTTTGGGGGGTTTTTGACTTGGCATCAAACACAAGGTGAACCTTACCCTACAAAATGAGAGCGTGAATGTGGTACAGTAGTATGGTCACATGATATGACTCATCCATGATAACAACTAGATATTTATTGTTACTGTACCCTAAAAGTGGGAAATACCAACCAACCATGTCATCCATTATATTATATAATACGTGGACAAATGATTCCATGTGGTTAGGGGTGGACACGGTCTGGATTAGATCGGTTTCACCTCAAAACTACAGTTAAATTAATTACAATATAACGGTTTGGTTCGGTTTGATTTTGACAAAAGTCATGAAGAAAACCACCAAATCAATTTAAGACGGTTTGGTCCTAAGCCCAATTATCTTTTCATTTGCATTTTTTCAATATTGTTAACCCAATTACAACCAACAAATTCACAATTTGATCCATACTGAAATCATTTTCTAGAGTACGAAACCATTCTAAAGCTCAACATACCATAAAATTTCAAATTTCAAATACTAATATAGCTCAATTCAAATATTCATATATAGTTATTACCTAATTAGAGTATTACACATGTAAAATATAATATAAGTAATAAATATACACATAAACAATCTGATTTGATTTAGGCCAGTCCAATTTGGTTTTAAGCCGTTTTCTTTGTCAAAACCAAATCAAATTGGTAACTACGGTTTAGTTCAACATGTTTCATCAATTCCCAATTGATGCCCACCCATGTGGTACTATGGTACCATAAAATAATTTCTCTCCCTATATATCACTCATAAATAAATAAATAAAAACAAAGAAAAATAACTAGAAACAGGTAGTCAAGTAATTTCTTGAGTCAGCAAACCAGAAAAAGAAAAACAAATAACGGACGGCCAATGGATATATATCATTTATCAGGTCCAAAACGACGGCGTCTCTTTGCTAGCCGCCTGAAACTAAACCTGGTAATAGCTCTAAATAAATAGAAAATGCAAAAAATGAACAGAAAAATAGAAAAAGCAAACGGAAAAGAAAAAGAAATTGTCTTCCTAATCTCATCCCGTTTGGACCCAAAAACCACAAAACCAAAAGAAACCAAACCACACCGTTCTCTCTCTCTCTCTTTCTTTTTCTCTTTCCTCTTCTCTCTCTAACCAAACCCTAAACACGAAGACTTTCTTTTCTCTTTCTGAAATTTCAAATTCGCAATCCGATGTTCTAATCCGACAAATCTCTGCGTTGATCCGGTTTACATAGGTGCGTTTTTTCCCCCTTCTTTTATCTTTCCTTGATTTTATTCAGTTTAATAATTTTTTCTTGTTTATTGTGGGGAAATTGTAGAGCTGTTTGATCTAAGTTAGGTTATGCTATTTTGATTTAGCGGATCTGTTGTTATTCGTACTTCTTTTTTTTTTTTTTTTTTTTTTTTTTTTTTGTAAATTGTTCGTTTCTTTTATTATATCTGGGACTTTTTCTTTCTCCATTCTTTTTTTGTTCTAAATTCAGGAAAGGAAGAGGAAATAGAAATAGAAATTGGAATGGTGTGATACGCAGCTATTGGTTTTGGAAGCCGTTGTTTTCTAGGTTTTTTCTTGTTTTGTTTTGTTTTTATTTCCTCTCCCAAAATCTTCCAACATCAAACATGGGTTTTTTTCTTTATGTATGTAATATCCTGCATGCTTAAAGCATTATGGAATTTGGGTTTTTATTTCTGAATTGTTGATGAATATTAGGTGGTTGTATGCAATTATTGTTTCATATCCTAATTCCTAAACTTCAATTTTAAGAATAGAGTTGGAATGCTTAATCATTTCATCCATTTGTACGAGTAATACATATGCGGAACGGTTTTGTGACCTGTGGTAATGCTATGACAAGAAGCAACAGTTTTATGACAGAGAAATCTTTTCCCATGGTTAGAAGGAACATGGTGACAATGTGGTTGAGCTCTTTAATAGTCATCATTTTGGATGAATGGATTAGAATTGTTACAGAGGAATTTTAGAAACTGTTAATGGTATTGTTGGGTTTGTAAGATATTTCGTTTTACAGTAGAGATTTATTCTTTTTGTACGTGATCACTGTGGTTTTAAATTTTGTTTTGTTCTAGATGGTGTTTCCTTGCAAGGTGTACAATGATCTAAAATTTTCTGCCATCTGAGGACTCTTTCCACTATTGTCTCCTTGATTGATTGATTTTTTTGTTTTATGGCTTTATTCATTTGTGTATACATCAAAGTTTTCTACTTAGTTCATCTTCTCTTTTGGGATTTTAAGGCATGACTATTCCATTATGGCCTGTTGTGATTTTCTTAGAGTCAATAACATATTGAAACATCTACAATTGAGAAGTTGTCAAATAAAATTTAGATATATACATATATGTATGTGCGGGTAATAATGGATGGTTTTCACAATGATTGATCTAGGTGGATGTTTAGCATGAAATCCGTCAACTAAATATGTTGCTAAAATGATGTGGTTTTATTTTATGTTCTTCATCCTTTCCTTGACCGCCTTTTTTTTTTAATTGAGAAACAATATCTGGTTTATTAGTTTTTCATCCGATGATGGGGTTTTAATTTTCTGCAGATTTAATGCTGTTTTTGGTTAATCAAACATACTTGATGGACGATGATTACACATATGGATAAAATGTCAGCTCCTTCATCAAGGGAGCGTGCCCAACGCCTCTATGACAAGGTATATTCTTTTCCCTCATAAAAAAAATTATGCTTTTTCTTGATTACTATTTTTTAAACTGCCTATATGCTTAAACCCGTAACTACCACGTGCTTGATGCAAATGTTGAATGGAGGTTCTGTTAGATATACTGAAGGAATCTGTGTATATGCATGCTTGTGCGTGTGTGCTGTCTGTATTTATATGCAATCATGCTAGTTTCCTGTCATTTTACGTTCATATTTTTACTTTGCAGGTTATTGAATTGGAGAGTAGGCGTCGGAGGTCTGCTCAAGCTCGAATTCCCTCAGATCCCAATGCCTGGCAACAGATACGTGAGAATTATGAAGCAATAATTCTCGAGGATCATGCTTTTTCTGAGCAGCACAATATTGAGTATTCTTTGTGGCAGCTGCATTACAAGCGTATTGAGGAATTGAGAGCACACTTTAGTGCTGCTACGGCTTCTGCAAGTTCAAACTCATCTCAGGCTGTGAAGGGCCCTGCTCGGCCTGATCGGATTACAAAAATAAGATTGCAGTTTAAAACATTCCTTTCAGAGGCAACTGGATTTTATCATGATTTGATAGTGAAGATCAGAGCAAAGTATGGGCTCCCTCTCGGGTATTTCTCTGAGGATTCGGAAAATAAAATTGTTATGGACAAGGATGGAAAGAAATCTACTGAAATGAAGAAAGGCCTGATATCGTGCCACCGATGTTTGATCTACTTGGGTGATCTTGCACGCTACAAAGGATTGTATGGGGAGGGGGACTCCAAAACTCGTGAGTATGCTGCAGCCTCAAGTTACTACTTGCAAGCTGCATCTCTCTGGCCATCAAGTGGGAATCCCCATCATCAGGTATTTGTTTTGATATTTTTCTTCATCTATTTTTCTCTGGATGTGTCTGTTTATGATGATTTTGACTGTTCACTCTGACAAATCATCCTTCTTTTTCAGCTTGCTATTTTGGCATCCTATTCGGGGGATGAGTTGGTGGCTGTTTATCGATATTTTCGTAGCCTGGCGGTGGATAGTCCCTTTTCAACTGCAAGGGATAACTTGATTGTTGCATTTGAGAAGGTATTGTGTTCTTAGCGTGACCTATGGAAATGTTGAATTGTTTCCTGTGCTCTTATATTGACCCTTTTGAGGAATTGCCAATCCTTTACCCTGTCCAATAATAATTCTTCTCTCAAAATATTAGGCCATAATTAGAGGTCTAATGGTTTTTCTCTTGGCTTGTCAAGCATTAGTTCTAACTTTTGTTCACTAAGAATCATATAGCTTTGCGAAACTTTTGGTCATACTTAGGACCCATGCTTCTTGCAGTATTGACCCTTGCCAACTTAGCAAGCACTGGTGTTTGAGTATAATTGATTGAATAATGCTACTCTTACCACATTTGTATACCACATCCCTACACCATCTTATGTGGCAGCTGGGATGGACAGCCACGTCAATTAAAATTATTTAATATTTTCTTTTCTTTTATGATTTATTCCAGTATTTGTTTTTCAAATTGTCTTAATTAAAATACACTTCATTGATTTAATTGAAGTGGCATATAATATAGACATGCCATAACATGTGGTATAGAAACGTGGGATAAAAATGTGGTAAGTGTAGCATTACTCTAATTGATTATGCACCTCTGGACTTGAAGTGACCTTTGGTCCTTTGATGTTACGAATGTTAGGGTAGTTTGTCTTATTTCGTCAGGGTGACTTGAGTTGTCATATCAACCACTTCTATGTTACGAATGGTAGGGTAGTGCTACCTCCCCCTCTTTAAGAAGGAGGTGGTTTTGAGGTAGTCAAACCCTGATAAGGTGTTGGGAGGGATTAGGAAAATGTGAGCGGTACCACCTTTTGGCTTGAAGCTTAAAACTTAAGAAGTAATCAGATATATGCTTCTTTCAAGTGTAACTGTCTTGAAATTAATATCACGTAAAAGAATATGGGACTGTTTACCAATTAATATGCTGATTTTTAAGCATTAAAGCCTTTATCCAGTGTAACATCTTTTAATTTCCTCACCTGGGTTCCCTATTTTATTGCCTGAAATACTGTATGTGTTGTTGTTTATATATCTTTTTTTTTCTGGTGTAGAATCGTCAGAGTTACTCTCAGCTGCCTGGGAATACTAATGCTTCTGCAGTCAAAGAGTTGCCTGCACGATTGACAGGCAAAGGTAGAGGGAAAGCGGAAGCAATACCTGCATCTAAAGATAACAATACAGAAGCGAGCCTTGTTAAGGAAAAAGCATCCAGTACTCAGGAAACTTATAAGGCTTTTTGCATACGGTTTGTCCGTCTAAATGGAATTCTTTTCACACGTACTAGGTAATTTTTTTCTGAAGTATATCGATATGGAATTGTTTCTTATTACTTGGACCTCCCTCTGTCTCTCCTTTTCGCTTTTATTTTATGTTTGGAAGATTACCTCCTAATTATGACTGTTTTGTGTAGCCTGGAGACATTTGTAGAAGTTCTCTCTGTGGTAAGCAGTGGTTTATGTGAGCTCCTGTCTTCTGGAGCAGAGGAGTTGCAGAATTTCAGTGCAGATTCTGTTGAGAATGGACTTTTCATTGTTAGACTTGTCTCCATATTGATATTCACAGTTCACAATGTGAAGAAGGAAAGTGAAGGTCAGACATATGCTGAAATTGTACAACGTGCTGTCGTACTGCAGAATGCATTTACTGCTGTCTTTGAGTTGATGGGGCACATCTTAGAGAGATGCGTCCAGTTGTGTGATCCTTCTTCAAGTTTCCTGTTACCGGGCATTCTGGTGTTTGTAGAATGGTTAGCATGTTGCCCGGATGTTGCAGCTGGAAGCGATGCAGATGAAAAACAGACTAAAGTTAGATCAAAGTTCTGGATGGTTTGCATCTCCTTCCTGAATTGTATCTCGTCAACAGGGCCGGTGTCCATAGATGATGATGAAGATGAGACTTGCTTTAATAATATGAGCAGATATGAAGAAGGGGAAACTGAGAACCGTCTTGCTTTGTGGGAGGATTTTGAGTTGAGAGGATTCATTCCACTTCTTCCAGCACAAACTATATTGGACTTCTCAAGGAAGCATTCTTTTGGAAGTGACGGCCACAAGGAAAAAGGGGCCCGTGTTAAACGGATTGTGGCGGCAGGCAAGGCTCTTGCAAATGTGATTAAGGTTGACCAGAAGGCAGTATATTTTGATTCAAAGGCAAAGAAATTTGTCATTGGTTTTGAGCCTCCAGTGCAAAATGATTTTGTTCCTACCTCCTATATGGGCATGGCTACTGAAAATGATAATCTGCAAGAAAATCAAGCAGAGAATACAATGAAGTTGGGAGTTGCGCATCCGAAGCCTGAGTTAACCACAGAAGGGGATGAGGAAGATGAAGTAATAGTTTTTAAGCCAATAGTGGCTGAGAAGCGGCCTGATGTGGTAAACACTACTTGGGCAGCCTATGAGGGCTTGGTGCCTGGTAAAAATGCTTCTCCAGGTGATCTTAAAGTTAATGGCACTTTTGTCACTGCCCCTTTTGATAATCTTCGCCATCAAACTGCTTTTAGTGCTGGTTCACAAATACCTGTATCTGTTGGTAATGGTATACCCCAACATTTGCAATCGATTCAGTCACATGCTTCCAAGCTGTCAATGGAAGCTGGTTTTGGTGCTAGTTCACAACTACCTGTATCAGTTGCTAATGGTATCCCCCAGAATTTGCAACCAACTCAATCACATGCTTTGAAGTTGTCAACAGAGGAAGAAATGTCTCTTGCTCACAGCTTAAAGAGTATGGGATTTATGGGGAATGGGTATGTACTTGCATCTGAGCCTGTGGCAGTTTCAGTTCCATTCCAGCAGCCAGTGAATGGTAGTCCTAGTGGTATGGTCTACAGCCACACAAAAGCTCCAGAAGCTATGTTGCCGTTTAAGGTTGATGCTATATCATCTTCTGGAGCAATTGCTGACGGTTTGACTGTAAAGACATCATCTAACCTGCCCACAGGTATCCGAAAGAATCCAGTAAGTCGACCTGTTAGGCATCTTGGTCCACCACCTGGTTTTAGCCCTGTTCCTCCTAAAAATGTGAATGAATCGATTTATGGCTCCGACTCAATGAGTGAGAATCTACTGATGGACGATTACAGCTGGTTGGATGGATATCAGATGCCATCTTCAACAAAAGGAAATGGGCTCAATAGCTCCATTAATATCTCATCTCATTCAAATCCCAATCGCTTCATTAACAGCAATGGCTTGAATGGGCCAGTGAACTTTCCCTTTCCTGGTAAACAGGGTCCACCTATGCAACTCCAAGGCGAAAAACAGAAAAGCTGGCAAGATTTTCAGATGCTCGATGAGCTCAAACTACACCATGAAATGCAGCTGCAGCAACAACAACTTGTAAATGGAAATCAGCACTTGACTCCTCAGCCTGAGCAATATCAAGGACAGTCTGCTTGGACAGGCCGTTATTTTGTGTGAAGTCAGTATGGTTATGATGGTGAGAATTTGTTTTTTCTCTGCATCTGTTACAATTGCTGCCCTTCTGTTCTTTATGTAGATTTTTCCCATATTGTTGTTAAGGTTCTTGAGGATGATCCTGGTGAATGTCCGCATTGCCTTTTGCTACCGAATTCAAACTCCAAATTTGAAGCTTTGTCAATGTTAATTTTCTGTTGGAGCATTGGTGGCCTTGGCTTCTTGCTGGCAGTTACAACTACACAGGTGCGTATTTGTGTGAAGTTATGTTCGTCTGTTCTGTTTTGCATGCTGGTTTATGGTTGCATATTCTGTTGGTGAAAATGAGTTCGATAATTAATAGGTAGGTTGCTTTCTAGTATATACAGTAACATTAATTAAGAAATCCATGACTAGATCTCCAGTGTCTCTTGGAATTAGCTTATAATATGCTAGGAGATCCTTTCTATGAATGTAAAAAAAATTATTTTTGAAGTATTATAGTCACAATCTTCTCCATTCCCGAAATCATGTATAGCCTAAATCTGTGAAATTTGTGACCTTAAGGAATAGTTATTGATAACCTCTTCTTTCTAAGCAAAAGATCAACATTGGGATTTGCACTAGACTTTCTAAGCACTCGACCAGGAACTTTTATCATATATTCCAACCTTGATATGGTTGTGTATAACCTTTAGAAGCATAAACCTCTTTAATTAATTTTCCAGAACCATAAGTAATGAATCTGCATGTCTTAAATCAACAAGCCAATCATTCAGTTCACCAGGATATTCTGGAGGTGGTGGTGGGTTTTTTATTTGTTTGTTATGGGTGGGTTAATGGTTATTTTATTTTTACCTTGAATACAGATTTTGCGAAAGCTCTCCAGCTCGGAGGATGAGAAATATGGATACATGTTTCGTGCTGCGAAGTTCATAAGAAGTAAGTGCCTTGTCTGGTTACATGGGGGATGGATAGAGAACGTGTTAATAAGATCATCTGTTGGTTTTGAGGCTTTTATGCCTCCAGCAATTGGTGGAATAAAATTGGTGTACTCACTCTTCTTCTGAACTGTTGAAGCATATTTTGCTGTGGATACTGGTAATCATCAGCTGGGAGGTGGTTTAGTATGTAATTCTAGTTGAGGTTTCTTGCACGACAAGCTTCAGAGGGCTCTGAGTTGCACAGATTATTGGGAATGTGGAAGGAAATCATACTATGTATCTGAAATGGGATGTGGTAGGTATAAAATATTTCACTGTGAAGATTAAGAGTAAGTCATGTCGTGAGTGCTACTACTACTAGTGTGGTGAATGGTCATGGTGTCCCAATTTGAGATTTGAACAAAAAAAATGTTTTTATTGATCTTAGTATGGTGGCGAGCGATATATTCTACCCTTTATGAAGTCGGGGTTTGCTAGAACTTCATATAATTAAAATAATATATGTGAACAATATGCATTGTTGAATGTTAAAAACATATTCAAGTTTTAAGTTTTCTTGCTTTTCTTCTGCCTGTATAGATTTGAAGGTTTTTTTATGCTCCTGTTTGTATAAACAGAGCAACTTTTTCATTTTCGTTGCTGTCTGCAATGCCTTGTTGCTGTCGTAATTTGCAGAGTTGGCTTCCTTGCCATCTTTAGTCTCATCTTACAATGTACTTACTGTGGGGGACTTTGATTATGGGTTGGTTCCTTTGAGGTAATATAAGAACTTGCAAGGTTAGGTCCCTTGAACCCTGATTTGCCTTCCCACATAAGCGATTTCCTGAGTAGGCATCAAAGTAGCTAAAATATCTTTTTCTCACCTAATTAATATGATAATGTGGTTGGTAGAATTGCATTGCCCAGTCGTTTACATATTTGCATACACGTTTCTTTCTCATCGCACGATTAGTCATATCCACGTAGAGCAAAAGGAATTATCATATATGGGAAGGGGAGCAGGGTTTTTTTAGTTTGTTTGTATGAATGATCCTTTGATCGTATAAACATCCTCACCGGTCATCTAGCCTTACGACCCAATGACTGAAATTATTTAATTTCAAAGTGATATTTTAAGGATAATCTTTGCAAACTATTAACCAATCGGTAATCGTTTGGCCATGGAAAGTGTGAAAATAAACACAATATGGTTCATAAAATTCAAATGATGATGATGATAATCAATGAGTACTCGATTTTTAATGTCTCTTTATTAAACCGAAAGTGTCACTAACAAAAAGAGATTCTGATCATTGAACTGCAAGTTAGAGGGACGGCAAATATGCAAAGATATTTAGTCATATACTCATTCTTAGCAATAAAACTATAAATAAACTTTATACTATTTAATTTCTATAAACAAACCCAAAAAATGACAACTGACCATATTGAATTTAATTTTAATTATTAAATTACTTTGATGCCCTATTGAGTGTTTTGAGTTTTTTTATGAGGTTTTTGGGTTGAGTTTGTTTTAAGAAATCAATGACAATTTTGTAATTTAAAAGAAGTTAAAAGTCTTTTGTTATGTTGTAAATGGACTTTAGGTGTGTTTCTAAAGTCCATTTCATGTAAGGTTTTTTTTTATAATTTGAGCTCCTATATTGGGTATAATAATGAATCTCCCTTATTGATAAAAAAATTCGTCCATTAATAAAGGACAAACGTCCCATATCGAGTATTTAGTCTAGTGATTTTTTTTTCCCAATTTTTAAAAAGAGATTTTCAAATTCAACTCTTTTCTTTGTTATAGTAAGTAAAAGTTTCATAAGCAATAATTTTTTAGACCAAATTAGGGGTGGGTGAGGTCAAGTTAGGTTCCTCGAATTGAAATTGAAACTGGAACTATTTAACCAATCTGATTTGGTCTAGTTGATAAGTCCATAAATTTACACATTTATGTACCTATACTTAATTTTTGTAGGAGAATTGAATTTAAAAAGGACTTATTACTTTATTTTCTCAATTTTCAGCTTTTCGGAGAAGTTAATTGATTTTCAACTGAAATACGACTGTTTGCTGGAGTTTTGGTACAAGACTAGTTGGAGATGAAAGCTAAGATCTTGAAGATGATTGTGGAATTTTTCTAGAATTTTTGGAATATCCAATGAGAGCAGTCTTTAAAGTTAAGTAAGCATAAGGTGCAATCCCATCAAAACTGTGCTGCTGTGGAAGAATTATTATTTGAAGGCTTTCCTAATTTTTTCTCAAGGCGTGCGATATATGGCTAGAAAGATAAGACAAAGATCTACAATTTACATATTTGTCCTGAATTATCCTGAAAGAGGAACGACCCCAGACGTGCGTACAAAGAAACTGATATGCTTTCCTAGTAAAAGAAAGATTCTTAGTCAAGACTTTCCTAGTTTCAGTGCCAGTCTTGAATTTTTCAGGGCCCAGGGCAAAAGTAAAAAGTAGTGAACTCACTCTTATTTTTCAACCAAGATCTAACCTGTTCAAATTAACTAAAAATTTAACATTCAAGGCAAATAAATTGTATCAATTCAAACTTCAATATATAAAAATTTAGAATAAAAGGCTATAATATATAAACAAGATAAATACTTATAACAATTCAATAAGTTCTTTTTCATCCAGCAACCAGCAAAAAAAAAAATCTCTAAATGCTGAATAGCTGAAGCAAAACAACATCAATCTATTTGAAATCCCTTTGCATCCTTAGCAACCAGCAAAACAAAAATGTCTTTACATCCTCAATAGCCAAAGCAAACTGCAATAGCCTACTTGAAAACAGAAACAATACAAGGAAAGCCAATGCAATTTTAATACTTCAAAGAATAAACAAAGAACAACATAACCTGGAATTTGCGAAATCCCGCTCCACAGAAACAAACTTGATATTTCCAAATTTGCAATCAATTAGAGCTTTCCTGCAAATACACAGCATCAATCTACACAAAAAAAAAAAAAAAAAAAAAAAAAAAAATATATTCCCTTTTCAATTGATATCAAATCATAAAAAATTACCTTCAATTGATATCTACAAGGACCAATTTTGCACTGAATAAAAGCCCACACTTTGAATTTTTGGAATCTCCCCAATCTACCAACAGAAAATTTAATTTAGGGATTCACAAATCACAAGAAGCAGCTTAGTTAGATGAGGCTTAGTAGAGGATTCAAACTCTATAGAAGAAGAGAAAGAAGGAAAAGAAGAAGAAGAAGAAGAAGAAAAAGTGACCTAGAGGAGTGGAATGAGTGCACAAAAGCGTTCTCTCTTCTTGAGGAGCGGAACAAACCAGATCAGATCGTTGGTCTTTTTTTTTTTCAATATATTAAATCAGTTATAAGTTATAATAATCTAATATAATACTTACTATAAAAATAAAAATAAATGTGGGCCCCCTTGAATAATGGGCCTAGGGTAGTCGCAATGACTGCCCCTGGCCAGGGCCGGGCCTGATACTAGCAAATTACGTTTCTGTTTAGCTTATGCATTCGACGTTCAGCATTCATTTTCAATTGTGAAAAACTAGAACAAAGCTTGGCTACTTAAAATTAACAGTCCACTAGCTGGGTGACCGGTTCCGACACACCTCCCTACCTTCCGTGTTTTTTTTGTGGACACTCCCCTAAGGAGCCTTCCATGTGTCCCAAGTATCATAGTATCCATATCGAACCAAGGGACGTACAATTGTAATTTTTTTCGAAGTCAGGTACAATCGTAATTTTTGCGAAGTCAGTTTTTAAAAACCTGAAACCTCTAACTCCTCCCACGCGTGAACCACTCTCTCTTTCCTCCGGTTTGCCCTGCCACGATCCAGCAAAATTCCGACCACGATTCCGACCGTTTTTGGCCATCTCCGGCCATGAAACCGGTCTCGTTCTCTTCGTCTCTCTCTCCTCTATCTACTATACCAATTTCCAGACCTAAATCCAAGAGAAATATACCCAAATTCGCACGAAAACTCAGCAAAAAAAAAGGGCCTGTCTAGAAACCGTGATTTCCGACGGGTTTTAAGGCCAATTCCGGCTGCCACAGCTCGTATAATTACACCAAAAATACTCTCCTACCATCCCTTTGTGTTATCCCTCGAAAATCCAACGAGAATCCATTCCAATTTCAACCATTTTGAAACTAGAAGTTTCTAGGTTTTTCAAGAGACAAAAAGGTTCATTCGAGGGCCTCAAAGGTGGAATTGATCGTCGAGCCTATGTATAAAGTTACTCCTCTTGATGTGCTTGATCTGTAGGTATGAATATTGGCCGGCGGTTTGGAGTTTTCCGAACGCTGGAAAACTTCTCTACACACCCGTCGCTGGTGGGGACGCGTCTGTAAGGTGTCAAGGTTGGATTTTTGTCCTAGAATGTTCCCCACGTCATCCCGAGCATGACGGTATGCTCGGATTTCGATTTGGTTATCATTTGATCATCTATTGGATATCGCATATTAGGAGTTATCCGGGTTCGATATGTTCAGCCAGTTGGATCGACTTCATTCGCGGATCGAGAATTGGAGTCCCAGATACTCCGATTCAATAATTTGAAGTTAAGATAAACGATAACCGTCTGATTGTACAATCATGAGAAATTCGACCGTTCGATTCGGACCAAACTTGTAGGGCATTTTTAGTAAAGTATGTTGAACTGATAGGAACTCTCGGATTGGTAATTGGAGGTCGTGGACCCCACGGGGTACCGGGTTGACCAATATGGAAATTTAATCACCCTTATTTAATCTCGGGTCTTTTCAGACCATTACACTTGTCAGAAATTTTGAAAACGGGCCTAGAAACTTTCTTAAGTTTGTTACACACACTTTGGAGGCCCTCAAGGTTTTGAATACATATCTATGGTTGAGGTATTTTATTAATTAAATGTTTTAATTGCTTAAATAGGTACTCGAGCTTCGTTGAACCTGCAGGAAGGACCCTCGAAGGGTCAGGCTAGCTTGGAAGCTCAGTGAGCGGACTTTTGTTTTATAAATGGATTTTATGCAATTAAAGTTTCATTGATTGATTTTGAATGAATTATTTATGGTTATTACTTTCCAAGCATAAATATTTGAATTCAAATACTTTTATTATATTATGTTTATGTTTAAAATGTGAATAGCTTGGAAGGTAGAAAAGGAAATGATAACAAGATTTAAGGATTTAATGAGGAACAGTGTTATAATTTTCCAGGAAAAGTTTTTAAACCACCATAGGTACCCAAAGTGTTGCCTTCGGATAATATGTTGCCTTCAGATATAATGATGTCTACGGACATTCTAGTTGCCTTCGGTTGAGTCAGCGCGAGTTTGACAGTTGTCCCACGAGTCTTTGGGATATCCAGACCATGAGGAGCGAGGATGCGGCTCAGGTTGATCAAGTGTCTTCTGAGTCTTGCGAGGAATGCAGCGCGGGTGACTTTGTGTTTCTGAGGCCTGCGAGGATGTGTCGCATTATGTGACACAAGAAATTGATGGTATAATGTTGTAATTAAGTATAAAATCATGGAATTGACAGATTTATAATGGGTACACCTAGGTGGAAGGAAACTATCTCTTTTTAATGCTTTTAAAAGGTTTTTATGATTTGATTGAATGCATGATCAATTATATGTATATAAATATGCATGTCTTAATTCTTGTACGAATATAGAACATGGATATAATTGGATTTCTAAATGTTTTAACAGTGGGGTTAGTATGTTAATAGTGGAATCTTGACTGTCATGCTCGGGATGATATGCGACTCATTCTAGGTCCAAGCAAGTCACCGACACCCGGCGCACGTGGTGTCTTGAGTGATTTTTCGGCGATCAAAAACTCCAAATCGCCAGTCGATAACTATACCAAAAGAACAAGCACAACAAGGGGATTAACTTTATACCTTGGGTCAAATTCTAATTCAACCATTAACGACCTCAAATGGTGGGTTTTCTCGCAGGAAAACCTAGAACTTTGCGTCATTGATTGGAGCTCTATGGCAACGGATCACGTCTGGTTTTGGAGGGAAAACATAGAGGATGAGCTAGAGAATGTTTTCGTACCAAGATCTCAACCAGTGGTGGTTGAAAACCGTTGTTTTAGGTTGTAAGTTCCGATGTAGCAGGTGAGTTTGTTGTCCTTGACTTCTAGTCCAATTCACAACTCGGTGTCGGGTTTTTTCTTTGTCGATTGGTGGCTGTGCTTTGTAGAGGAGGAAGAGATGAATCTAATGGTACCAATGGTACGGTTTGGGGTGGTTGGACGACGACAAAATCGTTGGCACAATATGAGGTTGCGCTGCACCTGCGAGGAAGGAGAGAGAGAAAAATTGCGAGAAGAGAGAAAGTAGCGAAAATCTGATTGCGTGTGCCAAGGTTTTGGGGTTTTAACCCAACTTCCAAAATTACCATTTTATCCAAAACGTTTGGATCCACTTAACTCGGAGACTTTGAGTGTGCTAAGTGAAAATCTCCATTAAACTCATATTTGGGCCCACTACGTGTCTACGAACTCGTGAGACCGAGCTCTACGTAATGGTGGAACTCAAATTCCCAAAACTAAATCATAGCTGAAGATGTGACCAAAATTCTATTAACTCCAGGGGTAAAATGTAACTTTTCCAAAACAAAAAAATAAAATAAAATTTTATATTTCTTTGGCATGAAATCCGTTCAATTCCGCGGGGCTTTTTATCTCATTCCTTTTCCCTTTAATACAGTTGATCCGGTGGGGGTGGCTTTTTGTCCATCTCTTTGATCCCTTTTTATCTTTGGCATGAAATCTAGAGTCAATTTGACTTCTTTATATTTTTCAAATTTCACTTTGAAACAATTTTTTCCGTCCCTTTTCCTTTCCTACATTTGATCCATGGGTGGGATTTTTTTTTATCCATCTTCTTTGATCCCTCTTTTCCCTCGTACACATTTTATCCAACCGTTTGAGCCCTATTTTTATCATCAGGAGTCAACCCGTGGGGTTTTTTTTTATCCTTCTCTTTTCCTTCCCTAAAGCCTTAGCTACAAGCCCACACCAATAGGCTTTGCAATGTGAACAATGTAAGTCCTTATAAACCTTTGTATTCCCCCGATGTGGGAGTTTTTGTAATCAAACTATTCCTTACCCACTGGTGACGCTGCCTCTAGAAGTGTCAAACGGGCAGTGTCCGGTCGGTGCTGTACCATTGGAACCCCGAAACCAACATTTCCCAGTGTGAAAAACCTAACTCCACCTATCGTTATTCCACTTAGCAATCGCTTCAAGTTGACCCCTACCTTTCTCAGCCACAAAACTCCTTTGCCCCAGAACCAAACACTAGCGATTCAGTGGAACGGAAGATGCGGTTTGGGCTCTTTCATCCGATTGTTTCTCTGCTATTCTTTGTGAACCACACCTTTCCGGTGCCATCGAACCCAAGTCCAATCGCCCATGGTTCGAGGCTAAGAGATATGGACGATGATCATTTATCACAAGAAGGTGTGAACAAATAAAAATTGAATAGTGTGCAAATTATCATTAAATTTATAATTCTTTTTTCGCTAAATAAAATTTCACAACCAACTCCCAAACCCAAATGCATGTCAATGAGTTTAGACCATTAAAAAAATAACTTTGTTTTGTTGATCAAATAGTCTCAAGTTGAAATTTCATGATACCTGTGTGAGAAAAACTCATTTCCTTCTTAATTTTGATGAAGGAAAAAAAAACCAAATGTCTTATTATTATTATATGAGGCCCCGAATCAACATCAACCTCACAATCCGCCAAAAACCCATCCAAGGAATCCCACTAGTCCCAACGGATTTATTATTATGAGAGTCCCTTTTTCCCTTTCTTTTTTGCATTTTCAAACAAGAACTAAGCCACACAAATTGGACTTCAAAGCAAATCTCAACCAAGCCACGTACTATTGTCACTAACCATACAAAAGAAAAGAAGGAAGAAGAAGAAAAAAACTTTAAGCATTGACGTGTACACTAACCCCCCACCCATTCTAGCTGCTTTTGGTTTCTTCAGTTCAGATAAAAATTAGTTTCACAAGCTTGTATGACTTAAAAAATGGGAGATGATTTTGACACTCCAAATGTCACCTCCCACACTCCTTTACTCTCTCACACAAAGAGGAGTGCCAAATTCATATGGTCCTCTTGTGTGAGAGGTAGAGGAGTGTTGGAGGTGATAGTTGGAGTGGCCAAAATCGTCACCCTTCGAAATATATGAATTCCAGAAAAGGCAGAGTGGGTTACAAATGCTTAACTGCTTTAGTCTTTATCTTCCTCTTATGCAATCCTACAGAAGCACTAGGATCCCCGAGGCAAAGCTGTGAGTTTGTTTACATTACTTTCTGCTAAGCCAGCCCATAGTGAATTGTACTCTTTTCTTTTATGGCGTTGCAGCTCAAATTTATGAGGAAATGGGCTTCAAGGTTGATCGTGCCAGCCCCATATACAAGTCTTTTCTCAACCTTACAGATTCAGTGCTGCAGATCTCTGGACAATATGTCGTTAGTTAGTAGTACTAGTAGACATCATCAGTTGAGGCTATCCCACCTTCCACCATCAGTTCAGTCCACCTCCATAATCTACTCTTTTATCTATTCCAACTAGGTAGAAAGGCACTAGACTTAGAGAGATAATATAACCAAAAGGATGTATAGTAAAGAATTGAGCAATAGTAAGAGAAATTTTGAAAAAACAAGTTTGATGGTTGATTTATATTCTAGAGCGGCATTTAATACATTCGATAGCTGTTTTATATTTTTGTAATTATAATAACTCAATACCCGAAAGGCTTACGCTTCAACGCTTTGAGGCTTTGAGGCTTACGCCTCGCCTCATAAGGCATAAAACACCTCACCCTAATGCCTCGCCTTTCAAAACAGGTCTACAGCCACACAAAAGGCTATGTTGCCATTTAAGGTTGATGCTATATCATCTTCTGAAGCAATTGCTGACGGTTTGACTGTAAAGACATAATCAAACGTGCCCACAGGTATTCGAAAGAATCCAGTAAGTAGACCTGTTAGGGACCTTGGTCCACCACCTGGTTTTCGCCCTGTTCCTCCTAAAAATGTGTAGAATCGATTTATTGCTCCGACTCAATGAGTGAGAATCTACTGATAGATGATTACAGGTGGTTGGATGGATATCAGATCTCATCTTCAACAAAAGGAAATGGGCTCAGTAGCTCCATTAATTTATCATCTCATTCAAATGCCAATCACTTCACTAACAGCAATGGCTTGAGTGGACCAGTGAACTTTCCCTTTCCTGGTAAACAGGGTCCACCTATGCAACTCCAAGGGGAAAAACAGAAAATCTGGCAACATTTTCAGATGCCCAATGACCTTGTACTACACCATGAAATGCGGCTGCAGCAACAACTTGTAAATGGAAATCAGCACTTTGACTCCTCAGCCTGAGCAATATCAAGGACAGTCTGTCTGGACAGGCCGTTATTTTGTGTGAAGTCAGTATGGTTATGATGGTGAGAATTTTTTTCTCTGCATGTGTCACAATTGCTGCCCATCTGTTCTCACAAAAACTTTGATCCCGAAAGCGACGCGCACATAAGCCAAGCCAGCATGCTGCATTTACAGTGAGGAGAAAATGGAAAATTATCACGCATCAAGTTGTCCACAATCAGACTCAAATATTACCTGACAACAATAGTTGTAATATCATTTGATCGGTCTCCAAAAACGAATAAGGCAAGAATTGTGAAACTGCATATACTTTTTCAACATATTCTGAAGTTTACTAACTTAAGTTTCCAACAAGAATTATCTCTGGATTTAAAATTATAATATTAATGGTAGAGGTGTCAAAGTTTGAAAGTTTAAGCTTCATATTAACCTTATACCCTAAGCTTCATATTAGCATTAGAAAATTTAAGCAGATTCAATCATATAATTGTAATTAGCTGAAAGTTTGAACTCACGGTGTTAGCAATGGTACTCATCAGTACCCTTCTCAATCCAAGGTGAGACCATGATGGTCGAAAACCCTAACTCCCAACCGGTCGAACCCAAAAAAGACTTCGGCCCCACTATCCCATCGGGGCTAGGGACTTCATGTACGCTACAAATCCAGGATTTGAAAATTGAGTGAGCTAAATTTATCTTACGTACATTCTTTAAATAAAAAAAATAAAAAAAATAAAAAAAAACCTTTTGTACAAACCTACTAAGAATAGAAAAATTGACTTAGGGGTGTTAAAAACTTATAGTCCTACAATATAATGAGTTCCAAAATGTGTTTTCCTACCCTAAATAAACCTATAAACAACACCCATATGTAAGATATGAAGAAAAAAATTCAAACAAATTAGGTGCGTTAATCTCATTCATTGCCTTGGCACAGAGGCATTAGGTATAATGTCAACCATCAATTTCATATTATGTCCTAAGCTGACATCAATTTCAGCATTAGATGATGTAATAAACCATATAGAAGGAGACATATTTGCAATATTTGTTACAGAGAAAAGCAACTAAAGAATATATCAACAAAATCTTGTATAAAACAAACAGGTAAGAAGAAACTACAATTTACATGAGTATTGAAAAATAATAATAAAAAATTTGTATGGGCTACATGTAACATTCCACATCGACCAACGGAGAAGGGGTGATGTGCCTTATATGTACATACCCGCCTCCATCTAGCACGAGACCTTTTGAGAGCTCACTGGCTTCAGAGTCATGGGAACTCCAAAGTTAAGCGAGTTGGGGCTAGAGCAATTCCAGGATGGGTGACCCACTGGGAAGTAGCTCGTGAGCTCTCAGAAACAAAAACGTGAAGGTAAGGGGGGCCCTAAAGCGGACAATATCATGCTACAATGGAGCCGATCCTGGGATGTGACACTACAACCCATACAACCCACAACGTGGGTTCATCCATGTGTCAAACGAACTAGGCCAGTCCAAACACGGCTCGCTTAAGTAAGGTCCGGCACGGTACGGCTAGTATCTTTGGGCTAACCGAGACGAGGTAATTAGGCCCAATGGCAATAGAATTATCACTAGTCATTTTATATTTAAAGGTACTTTAAATAAAGTTATTTGGCCAATCCAAACACAGCTCGATTAAGTAAGGTCCGGCACGGTACGACTAGTATCTTTGGGCTAACCGAGACGAGGTAATTAGGCCCAATGGCAATAGAATTATCACTAGTCATTTTATATTTAAAGGTACTTTAAATAAAGTTATTTGGCCAGTCCAAACACAGCTCGCTTAAGTAAGGTCCGGCACGGTACGACTAGTATCTTTGGGCTAACCGAGACGAGGTAATTAGGCCCAATGGCAATAGAATTATCACTAGTCATTTTATATTTAAAGGTACTTTAAATAAAGTTATTTGCTTCTTTTTTCAACAAATAATAAATCTTGTTAGTATATACATAAGTCAAATTTAGCGTGGGCCCATCTCGGCCAGTTTAATGGCTCGGCTCGAGCCCATATGGGCTAGGGCTGTGGGCTCAGGCCTGGATTGATGATTTTCATACATGCACGGGCTTGGTCCTGCCCGTTTATTAAATGGTCCGACTCTAAACAAGTCGGCACGGTTTGTTTGACACCTTTAATTAATGGCCGAACCGCTAAAAATTTAACGTTTTTGTTTGTTTTGTAGAAGTACCGGGCCATTTGATGAAAATTTCTATTTCCAGTTTTCAATTTTTTATTTTTAATTTATGGCCATACATAGTGCCACAGAGGGCTCTTGCAAACAATAAAACAACCATTGCAAGAAATAAGCAAAAACAAGCTCACCATGAACTAAAAAACATAAGAGGATACATAAAACCATTGTAGTCGGTGCTGTAGGAAGATCACATGAGAGATGAGAACTCTCTACCAGCTTGGAATTTAGGTATAGGAAACATGTACAAGTGGAAAAGCAAATCTTGCTCAACTTCTACCAGGACAGATGGTCTCAACGTCTCCCAAAGACCCCTAACCCAAAGCACCAATTGATAGTAGATTCACAAGATCAATCAACTCTACCCTTCACCACATAGATCTGATGGAGGTACACTTCATGAATCCTAAAAGTGCAAGGATAGCATAACAGAGGCCAAAGAAAGATAGATCTACACAAATCTATAAATATCCAACCAAAAGGGTTGGTAGGAAAACCCTAGCACAATTAAGGGTGAGCCAAACCTTGCAAAACACAAGGGAGACAAAATGCTAGCACAAAACGGCTAGGAAGAAAAGCCCTCCACAAGTATAGGGGAAATAACTTGGTTTATTCGTATGATGGGATGGTTCTACGTGGTGATTGAGGGGTAACAAGTGGATTCGCTTGCTCAAGGTAGCCAGTCCCATATCATAATTTTAATTTTTGACTTAGTTCAGTTATAATGAAACTTTCAAGTAGCACCTATTTATGTAGAACTTGTAAATAAAGTTTTTATTGGGGCCTAATTGTGAATTTGAGTTCATTGAATAAAAGTTCACGTTACAGTAATGTTATACCTTTTTTTTTTCAGTGAATTTTTTTGGGTGAAATTTATGTCTAGAGTTTCCAGGGCTGGGACCAGATATGTTCGAATGCAAGAGTCCAACGGGTGAGTTCAAGTAGGGGTGGACGCGGTGAGGTTCGGTGTTGTTTCTCCTCGAAATCGAAATCAGAATGATAATATTTTTTCTATTCAGTGCTGTTTTTCCCAAAATAATTAGAGAAACTGCCAGTGCGGTTCCGTTACAACATGAAACCAATTTCTAGTTGTGAATCGGTTAACAATATATCTAAAGTGAAACATATGCGAGAGCACGAAATTCAACTACAATATATTATTGCCCTAATCAACCTATTTAAGAAATGTCACTGAATATATATAGTTTCCAGGCTTTAATGGACAGAGAAAGATCTCTAGTTAGCAATAAATATATATATATATAATATTAAATAATCAAAAGAAAAATATGAGAGAAAGATCTCTCTCGAATAAGTTTATTTGAGGGACATCCTTGTAGGGTCCATTCTGTATTGTATTTTACTAATCCAAACCATCTATTTTGTAGATACTCGTTTAAAGATCATTTCTACAAAAAATCACTTGAATTCAATATCATTTGACCACTTAATTGAATTATTGAAATTTTAGTATTTTCTTGAAACACTGTGTTCATTGATTTTGAAAGACACAATTGGATATCGAAACGATTTCCGATTTGTCTAATTTTTTTGCAATGATTATCTATGAATGTATACTTAAATAGTAGATGGTTTAAATCGTTGAAAAAAAAATCGTAGGGAACCCTAAAGGGTGTCCCTCAAATAAAATTATTTGAGAGATTCCTCAATAAAAGGGGACTACATATATATGACCAGTCCGATTTGGTCCAATCTGGTTTTTGGAGGTGTAAAATCGAGATTGGAATCATTGGGATTGGTCCAATTTGGTGTAGTGCCAATTTATTAACTTTTTAGTTAACTAGGTTTTTGACAGTGTTTTCTAATTCGTTCCGATTCAATTTTTCGGTCTCAATACCCACCCATAAGTTCAAGTTGAGAAGTCTCAAACACCAAATTTTGGGACTGGAGTATGATGCACGTGTTGTGATTTTGAATTGGTGAATAAAAAAGGTGGGCAAGAAGAAAAAATGAAAATGAAAATTGTGTTATAAAAATAAAATAATCAGAGTATGAAAAGTAGCACTGAATATTAGGAGTAGAATTGTATTTGGTCTTGTGATATTTACACTGACAGAATTTCCTCTCAGATAGAACTCACTCTCTTTTGTCTCCTCTCACTCTTCCTTTCTTCTCTTCCTTTCTTTCCTCTCTTCTCCTTTGGTGTGTTTTGCTAAGCACTGGGAAGCTTATTTATAGGCAAATTGGATGACTTACCCAACATCATTATTAAGCTTTTTGAATATTATTTCGTTCTTTTATTTATTTCGTTATTTCGTTCCTTTCTTTACAACAAACTGAAAATTAAAACATTTTAAAATTGTTTTCAGAAAGTGTTCAGATGATGACACTATTGTGGAGTGAATCCGAAAACTTGACAAGTGTATCATATTGATACAAAAGAAAGGTGTGTTGGGGCACACGCATCTTGGTATGAAGATGTAATCATACCAACACCCACATGTGCTATATGTCACTAGAATCTCAATATGAACCATTGACAATGTAAACTAGGTAAGAAGTGCGGGAGACCATTATCCACATATTCAATGTCTTGGTAAAGAAAAGTTCCCAGTCTAGATTTCGTGCAGGGTTAGTTTTCTAGTTAAAAATATTATTCTTGTGGACCTAATCCAAAATTTCTACTTCAAAGTAGAAACTAATGTCAAAGACTTCTGACAGAGAAATAGAGTGACATCGATGTAAGATCTCAAGAGGGAGTCCATATCTTTGGAGAAGTGTATACATTTCTAGCCTTTTGTTTTGGTCGAATACAACGTAATGATCATTTTTTTGGGTTGAATACGACCTAATAATCTTCTGTTTTTTATTTATCGAATACGACCTAATGATATCCTTTTTTGGTCGAATACGACCCTGATGATCCTTTGATCATATAAACATCCTCCCCTTGGTCATCCTAGCCTATGACCTAATGATTGAACTTATTTTATTTCAAAGTCAATTTTTAGGGATTATCTTTGCAAACAATCAGCCAATCGGTAATCATTTGGCCATGTGAAGTGTGAAAATAAACATGGTATGGTTGATAAAATTGAAATGATAATGGTAATCAATGAGTAATTAATCAATTTTTTATAACCAAAAGTGTCACTAACTAGAAGAGATTCTGATCATATTGAACATTAAATTAGAGGACGGCGGATATGCACTTATTGTTTATGGCCATGACGGTGCACATTTGAACATGCCTATCCTATTGAACTGCACATAAGAAAAGTTAAGAGGGTCTGTACTTCTCATTGCTTTGAAAGAAAAAGGGTAAATCTTAGGCAAGAAATGATTTTCTTGGAGTTTGGGGCTTGTAGCTTAAGTCACTAATATATTTGACCTCCTCCTCCTCCTCCTCACACAAAGATGACTTCCTTTTCCTTGCAAGGGGACTTGTAGTTGAGTGGTTAATAGTATTGACTTATACACCTGAGTTTCATTTGGTTCACGGAACGAATTTGAGAGGAAATCATTTCCTATGTCATTTTCTGAGGAATGAGAAATGAAATATTCTTTTTTCACGTTTGCTAATGTTAGGAAAGTAACTGGGAGATGTCACTTTATTTCATTTCTCATGTTTGTTTTGAATAGGAATAGAAAATAAAGTTTGTATAATTTTTCAATTATATCTAAATTAAATCAAATAAAAAAAGAATGCATTTAATGATATATTGTAATTCTAAATTCTTAATTAGGACAAAATGTTAATGAAAAATATGCATTTAATGTTGGTTCATTTTCCCAAACATTCCTATGAGGAAGGAAAACAATACCTAAGGAGGGAGGAGGGTTTCACTCTTCCCCCTACTTTTCCAAGTGCAAGACAATCATTTTTCATACCTGGACTTACCAAATATGAGAAAACAATTGATTTTCTATCTCCAAGCCTCATTTCCCATGAACGAAACGGAGGTCTTCTCATTCCCTTGAATATAATAAATAAATAAAACATTTCCTTTTTCCATAATTGTATTAAATGGATATGTTTGACCAGAACAAAAATATTAAATGGCGTGGCCCCACCATAAAAAAGTAGAAATGAAAGCAGACCACAAGTCATTGTTTTCCAAGATTTTTAAAGAAGGATTTACGACTCCTCTCAGCAATTCATGTGAACAAAATATTTTTCCTATCGAAAGGAAAAGGATAAATTAAATTTATGTGAACAAAATGTTGTTCACGTGTCTTGCATCATGTCTTGCATCATGTCTAACAAATTATCTTTTACTAATTTTCTAAAAACAAGTTACTAATAATACTTTTCCCCTCATCATGTGGTTACTCAAATATGGTATAAATAAATACGCATCATGCGATACTCAAATATGATACACACACAAAAAAAAAAAAAAAAAAAAAAAAAAAAAACTTTCTAACATTACTCTTTTTCTCACACTGACCCTGGCACCAGGAAAAAAAAGGAAGAAAAAGGAATAAAATTTGTATATCTAGATGGTAGAAATAATAAAGTTCTTATCAAAGGCCTTTTGAAAATGCAAAAGCTTGTGGTCTCATCTCATATCCTGCTGGCTAATTACTTAAATGCACTGCCCCACTGACCACCACACTAGAGGTGCTCACGGGCTAGCTTCTACTTTGGAAACTGAAAATTTGCCTATAAATTAAATAAAACCCACATAACCCAAAACCTCTCTCACTCCATCTCTATCTTTCTATCTCCTTCTGTGCCATGCAACAGTAAAATTGGTCACCAAAAATCTACAGAGTCCTTCAATCCAATCTAATCCCATTCCGTTAATCCAATGGGCACTAGCACCACCATTTCAGTCCTGTTCTTGATGCTCATAGCCCTTCACAGTCCAATCCATGCCAATCCCATCAAAACCATTGTTGTAATTGTGATGGAGAACAGGTCATTTGACCACATGCTGGGTTGGATGAAGAGAATCAATCCAGAAATCAACGGTGTGGATGGCTCTGAGGCCAACCCTTTGTCCACAACTGATCCAAACTCCAAGCGCTTCTTCTTCAAGAATGAGTCTCACTATGTGGACCCTGATCCTGGCCACTCATTTCAGGCCATCAGAGAGCAAATCTTCGGCTCAGATAACACCTCAGCTGACCCGCCTCCCATGAATGGCTTTGCCCAGCAGGCTTTCTCCATGGACAACACCACCAACATGTCTCAAGATGTTATGAATGGCTTCAACCCGGATATGGTTGCTGTCTATAAAACTCTTGTTTCTGAATTTGCAGTCTGTGACAGGTACTTATTCTTTTTGCTTTTTCATTGAACTTAATCTTAACTGATTAATTTAGCAAAGCATAAGTTTTTTTTTATTTTTTATTTTTTTTATAAATTTTAAGCGATAGATTGCATTCATAATTCAACCTAACCAAATCGGGTTAATACAAATACGTAAGCTTCGTTGTTGTATATGAATGAATTTTTCTTAAAAATATATTAAAATTAAGAGAGAGAAAGCTTTTGGGAAATGAATGTGAGAGAGAAGGAATGCTTTGCTTCAAAGTATCATTTTGTTTGTACTCCCAAATTATTCATAGCTGTTAAAAAAAACAAGAGATTCCTCTTTTGTATTTTTTTTCATTTTCTTTCTTAAAGCTTTCAAGATTAATCTGAATTTTAATCTCTTACCTCTTCCTTTGCTGCTGCCAACCTGCCATGCAATAATTGCGGTTGACACTTGTATGGGTTGTTAGATTACGACTTCTGACACTGTCTTTTTACTTTTTTACTGTTTTACATTTTTACCCCTACTTTTTTATTTTTTAACTGTCCCAAACAAAAAACATTAAGAATTTTGTGTATGCGTTAGGTGGTTTGCCTCAGTGCCATCCTCAACACAGCCGAATCGCCTCTACGTGCATTCAGGGACATCAGCTGGGGCAACAAGCAACATCCCAGCCCTTCTAGCCAAGGGCTATCCACAAAGAACCATCTTTGAAAGCGTTGACGACGCCGGAATATCCTTCGGAATATACTACCAAAACATTCCGGCCACACTCTTCTATAGGAACTTGAGGAAGCTCAAGTACATAACCAAGTTCCACCTGTATGACACCTTCAAGAGCCATGCAAAGCAAGGGAAGCTGCCAGGCTACACTGTCGTAGAACAGAGGTACTTCGACGTCAAGATTGCCCCGGCAAACGATGATCATCCCTCGCACGACGTGTTCCAAGGGCAGATGTTTGTCAAGGAGGTGTACGAGACACTGAGGGCGAGCCCTCAGTGGAACGACACCTTGTTGATCATCACTTATGATGAACATGGAGGGTTCTATGATCATGTAGCTACGCCGGTACATGGAGTCCCTAGCCCCGATGGGATCGTGGGGCCGGAGCCTTTCTTGTTTCGGTTCGACCGGTTGGGAGTCAGGGTTCCGACCATCATGGTCTCACCCTGGATTGAGAAGGGCACTGGTGAGTACTAATGCTAGCTCCTTGATTTCAAACTTTCAGCTAATTACAATTATATGATTGAATCTGCTTAAATTTTCTAATGCTAATATGAAGCTTAGGGTTTAAAGTTTAGGATTAAGCATTTAGAATTTGTATTAGCACAATATCAACTCATAGAATAGTTCAAAATGCACTTTGATAATCCCACCTAATAAACTAGATGGCACGAAAAGTCAACAATGTCATTTTAATCTTAAGAGGGTAATTTGGTAATTACACACTTGCGCATGATGTGATTTAAGAAATGTTATCTCACTCACAAAGTTACGTGATCATGTTAAAATCTTAAGTTGTCTCTTATGATGTTAGATTTTTTGTCGTGTTATACAGTTTCATTTCATATATAATGCATTGCTTGTACTCAAACTATTTAGGATTCTGTTGGGTTGATAAACTTGGTTAAACAGAACGACATAAGCTGCTGATTTCACACTACATAATATGCCACGCCCTGAATTTGTCGGCATTGCTGTCCCATAACCATATGTCGAAGGGAATCTAGATAGAAATCAGTTGATAACATTGATGGCTGGCTTGCTTCCACCTGTACGCAAGCCACAAAGAATTTGCTTCCCATTTCACACTGCTTTTGGGAAAAGAGGACCTACTCGTACGGATTCTTTCGTTAATGCTTGTCAAGCTTACCAACAAAACAACAAAGAGATTGGCTGTCTTCGTTTCTTATCTCAACCAACAAGTAGTTTGGTTGATGACTTAGCCATATGATGGAGAAGAACTTACATGTATCGGGAATGCCATTGTGGTGGTATTCCAAGCCTATCACGCATGTGTCATATTGGAAAGTTAAAATACATGGCAATGTGTGATTGGCTTGGGATAATGCCACAGTAGTATCCCCGTTATAAGTAAGTTTTTCTCCATATGAGGAAATTAAAATGTTGGGTGTCATCAATGTTTGAGATTTTCTATTTTTGTTTTTCACTAAAATTCTGCATAAAGTGATGGGAGTTTGTTGAAATTGTTAATGGGGGATAAGTTATAGGCAAGCACACCACACAAAAGCTAGCAGATAAAGTCTTACTAACTGACATAAAACTCTTGAGGAAAGTCAAGTATGCCAAGTTGTAGGAAAAAGTATACCTTCAAAATGAACCAACTGATAAAATCTCTTAAACTGTTTAATACCTCAAGTGTTAGAAGCATTTTTGAAGGAACCTAATAGATTGCCTTATTTTGCTGGTTAGTGCAGAGATAAAAATAGTTAAACTTCTCTCTGTTTACATTGTCGGCCAAATTCAGTCAATATTTTCGTAGCAACAAATGCTCATTAGCTTTGATTTCTAGCAAGAACAGAATAAGTTGAAACCTGCATGGCTAACTGTATAGAACTTTCTAAAAACCTATGGTTAATGGCATATTTTCTCCATTGACGATGACAATGAATCGATTATGCAGTCCTTCATGGACCTAACGGATCACCATTTCCAACTTCGGAATTTGAACACTCATCCATTCCAGCAACAGTTAGGAAGATCTTCAACCTATCTGCACCCTTAACAAAGAGGGATGAATGGGCTGGTACCTTTGAGGGCATTATTCAAACACGGACAGAACCCAGAACTGATTGCCCAGGTTAGTCACATTCCACTCTCTAACCAACTGGAAAAGATTATATGTGTCTTATGTTTGTCTCAATTGCTTGCAATTTTGAGCAGAGCAACTACCAACACCAGTCAAGATAAGAACAAGTGAGCCTAAAGAAGATGCTAAGCTTACTGAATTTCAGCAGGAGATGACGCAACTTGCGGCAGTTCTAAAAGGAGATAACATATTTACAAGCTACCCCAAAAAGACAGGGAAGGAGATGACCGTCAAGGATGGTAAGGAATACGCAGATGACGCAGTTAAACGATTCTTCGAGGCAGGGCTTTATGCTAAGAGAATGGGAGTTAGTGAGGAACAGATTGTCCAGATGAGGCCCTCCCTTACTACAAGACCATCACCCATAGTTAACCAGACACCATAAATAGATGAAATGAAAACTGGTAGTGGATCCTCAGGTGCATATGTAAAAAAGCAGTCATCTTTTTCTATATCTATACAAATCCAGGGAAAGAAATTAAATTATCTCATGAAAGTTTAGCATTTCACGATGTTTATATTCTTCAGTTTGCGGGCTTGTGTATCAAATTATTTTTCCCATCTCAACTTAGAAAAGTTTTTAAATGCGTATTTGATTAAACAAAGGCTAAAAGACAAGTTCTTAAGCCGTGTTTTTGTATCAGGGCAGGAATAAATAAATAAAATTCCAGTCTTAAGTACAGTTTAATCCCCTTCTTATCACTCAAGTTAGGAACAGAAGTCTGATCACATAGATTATAAGAATTTGGAGTAATCAATTTGAATACAAAACTCATGAAGTGCTATCAGGACTTTTATGCTTTTCGTTAAGGGAACGGTAGCTGATACTATCTTAAGCTTTCTGTTGTAGGGAAACTATCAGCACTTTATAGACTAATAAAAGGGCATAAAGCTTTCACAACAAACACCTTAAACTGTTACTCACAATTACGAACATCTCAGAAAAGTAAACTGCCCTTCTTTATTACTAATTTCTGATTAGCAAGGGCTCCAAAATCTTATTGTTGAAAACTTTCAACTAAGTGTAAGTAATTCCATCATGTGAACGTATACAAAAGAATTTAGTAGCTTTCATGGCTGTATGTAAAAGAGCACCAACAAGAAAAGATCCTTTTTGACTCATCAAGACATTCCTTTTCTACCTATAACATTCTTTTGCTACGTTAAATTCCGTATCGACAGAACTCCCTGACAGGCTTTAAAATATCAGTAAGCGAGAGAAGAATTCATGGGCTTATATCTTACTTTTCATCTCAGCCACTAGTTAATGTGTTCCACCCAGGAATGTTTGCTGTAGCCTCATTAACCATCTTCACGAGCCTTATCTGCAAACAAGATCAGTGCAACATCTATCAATTGGAGACAGAGGATCAGTGTAACATCAATTAACTGGAGAGAGAGTGTCTGTTTTACATAATTTGCCTTCACATCCAAGACAAACTAAGTATTGGATGATGAATGACTCGTACAGACGCTATCTCATGGCATTATGGCTATCTCTGTTTATTTTTTCTAATTCCATTGGCCTCAGTTACTGAGACCAATTTATAATCACGACAAATAAGACGAAAGCAAAGCTGATTCAACCTTCTTGTTCTGATATCATTGTTCACAACCATGCTTATGGGTAGGGAGAAAAATTAAAGCAGCCTTAGACACAGATGAGCCAATTAATGCAGCCATTTAGCTGAAAAATATTTGTTAAAAAAATGTTTTCTTTCTTGCCTACTGATGACAGCATTCAGCACACGGGCTCAATGAAACAGAATCAACATGCCTCAAAACATATTAGTGATAGACTTACCACACTTTCAGGAACTCCTGGAGGGGGCAAGGAGAGGTTTCTTGGTGGAGGACCACTAAGATATGATCTCTTGTCAAAACGCCATTCTCCAATCTTGCCATAAGTCAGTTCTCCCTAAATGTTAGAAAAGAAAAGCCATTCAGTGTAATTAAAAGAATTCATGCAGAAGAGAGATCACTATATTAATTAAACGAATTCATGCAGAAGTCAAGAGAACAATGAAACAAGTGCAAACGTTTCATAACATAAAACCAACTTTTTTTTATAACAAAAAAAAAAAAAAAAAAAAAAAAAAAAAAAAAAAAAAAGAAAGAGAGAGAGAGAGAGAGAGACCTTTAAATTATAGTCGCATCCGTAAGTATAATGAATGATGAACGTCTTTCCAACTTCCAAATCCCATGGAGGCTGCACGCTTAAACTAAAGCATATTAGATCTTTTTATGACTTGAGGCAAAAGTGGAAAACCACAAAAATAATAATGACATGAATAAAATAAATAAAACCCAAATTCAAACCTGCAGCATGAAGTCTTTACGAAGAATATGCTGCACTCCATGCAATGCAGATGCTACAGCATATGCATACCTTATTTCAGCAGAGAAATGACACCAACATCAAATATAAAATAATCAACCTATTGGACGGAGATTAACTAGCAATTGAAGCTTATTACTTACATCTCAAGCACCCATCCAAAGGCCTTATCAGTCTCTGGGTCATCTTTCATTCTCAAAGAAACATTCACCCATGTGGGAGCAATTTCCTCCAGCAAGGACTGTCATAGATAAATTAGTCAGTACACATTTTAAAAGTATGATTTTGTAGTGAAAGTATAACCGTCAGCCTCATGGACAACACAACTATAATTATGATGCGAGGATGATATGTATAAAGCATACATATAAATCATACATATATACATATATATATGTGTGTGTGTGTGTGTGTGTGTGTGTGTGTGTGTGTATGTATATACATGTATGGACATGACGCACAATGTATATATAGGCACTAATGCATACATGTATAAGTATGGAGATGCAGCACACATAGTAATGTATAATTAAGAATCTGCGTTTCATCATTTATAATCACCTCAATTCATAAACTACATTAGCAATACAATATTTTACCTTCGTTATGATTCAAAGAAGAATTGCCAATCTGATTAATATCAGTCACAGGACTGTTTTCTCAGGATGAATTTTCCTAATTATTTTCTCATTTCAAATTATGGTTTATAGCAAAAAGTAAAATGGTCAGCCTGATGACAAGACAAATATAGCTACAATGAAGATATGAATAAAGCACACCTACATACACACCCTCGTGCATTCACAATCACACTATGAAAACAAATGTTCCACCATGCATAATCACATTAATACAAAGTTACATTAGCAATAAAATATTTTACCTTCTTTATGATTACAGGAGAATTGCCAATTGGATCAATATCAGTCACAGGACCTTTTTCCTCAGGATAAAATTTCCTAATTATTTTCTCATTTTCAGCTGGTTTAATGTAGAAAAATGGATACCCTGCTGGACTGTTTCCATGTGCCAAGTTTGGCAAGGGATTTACAAATATGTGGTCAGGTTCGGCCATTAGAATGTATCTGCATTGATCATGATAGAGACCAGCTCTCTGATTTCATCAATGAAGAGAGGAAAGTTTTGCAAGAAGTTAAAAAGGAACAACAAAAGCTTACTCTTCCTCGATTGTTGCTTTCTCTAGCCATTGCACAAAAGCCCATGGTCTATTTAGGACAATATAGCCCTGGATACACATTAAATTTAAGTCAGAATAATTTATATTAGCAAAAAGGGAAACCCATTGCAAAAATGAACTATATGCTGGGGTTTGATGTTCAAGTAATCTCCAGTAACATACATCTCCTATGCAATTAGATTTAGGATACCAATTCATATTTTTGCATGAGAAACTTTCATTTTAATTAGAATCCGGTTAAGCTAATTAATGTGATGTAGGGCAGCAACAACAGATAGGAAGAATAAGGAACTCACTCTGGCCTTTGGCATCGCACCAAAGGTGTCCAGTAGAACAATAAAAAAAATGCCGGCATCGCACCAGCCTTTGGCATCACACCACGAAGGTGCCTTCGAATCACTCCAAGTCAACCTGTGCTTCACAAAGTTCTGTGATTTCCTGCTGGTGTGTGAAGCACAGGTTGACTTGGAGAGATCCCAAGGCACCTTCGTCGTGACGTCGAAGGCCAGTGCGATGACGGAATTTTTCTAATTTCTCTACTGGACACCTTTGGTGTGATGCCAAAGGCCAGAGTGAGTTCTTTATTTTCCCTATCTGTTCTTGCTGTCCTACATCATAATGTTATAAACCTCAGAATTCTTTAGTAAATAAAAATGACTACAATATGAATAACAAAGAGCATTTGAACTAAACTATACAAAAAAATAAAAAATAAAAGAAAATAAGTTATTGTTATAACTTTTGTCCATTATTCGTCAAACAAATATGGATGACAAGCAGATTAATTTCATTCTCCAATCTAATAATTAGGAGCCCTATGTCATAAAATGGTATGTAGACAAGCTTCATATCACATATATGTATCTTCTATGACTGACAATATTTGGGGACATTTCAAGCATATGATTGCTTCAACATCAACTTCTGCCAAAGTAAATTTGTTTATTATGTTAAAAATAGTTGACATTTGATATTTTCCTTTGCATATAAATCTGTTCCTCTGATACTGAGTAGTAAAACTGTTTGATGATAAGCAATAGAAAAGAAAATTCTATGTTATTAGCAACCCATAAATCTATGACTACGCTTTAGTTAAAGGGGGGAAACAAGTTAAGTACAAGTGTTGGCACAGCAACATAAGTACACTTTTACAAAACAATGTCAATCCAACCTGATGTTACAACTTTCATCAGTTCCTTCCTCTTTTTTCTCTTCGTATTGATGACACCTTCTGTAAGGATGAATCTGTCTAGTATATTTCTGTCCTTTTATTCAAATGATAATTTACTTACCACTTATGTAATTGAAAAGCCTTAATCAAATTGATTTGAGTCACTTCCCCCCATAATTGTGATTTTATTTTCAAATGGGGTGATAGAGGGAATTCATGTTTTATGAGATATTACTTGCATTCTTTCTCTCCACGATGAACATTAGTTAAACCTTTTTAATTTGATATCAGCAGATTCATTTCTTAAATACACTTTTGATGAAACAATCTATAACAACAATCCCTTAAACATTACATCAATCATTGTCATAGAAAGAGAATTGAAGAAGAGAGAACTAGGTCATGAGATCAATTGAAAAAATACAGAAACAGCATAAGTGAAGAAGCAAATTCCAACCTACATAAATCTAATAGGAAGTAGAGATAAGTGAAACAACAGTTGTAAAAAAACTCTCACCCGATCCAAGCCCCCTGGAAGAGGATCAACCACAACTGTTGGAATCTCCTCCATCAAATTGTCAGCATTTCCAGAATGCAAAACTCGTGTGAACTTTCCCATATCTGATCCAGGCATATCTTTTACCTTCTTGTACCAGTAATACATAATCCGACACTGCCATTGGCTATAGGGAGCATCAGTTGCTGTAAGAGCAACATGATATTTCAAATTCTTTGCGTTCTCATGCCTCTGAATCATGGGCTCTATCAACCAATCTGCCCCCCAAAGCCCCGAGTATGAAGCCTTGTTGTGTATTACCACAGTTAACAAATTATAAGATGCAAAGAAAAACCCAAGTGCCAAAAGCACCAAAAGTACTGGTGATGCACGCCCCATGCCTTTTCTCCCAATCATCTTTATGTGTCACTCAATTAGGAATACGGATTGTAAATCCTCAAAATTCAACAGAAGTCATTTCCGCTACCTACAAAAATCTTTTGAATACCAACCAATTTGGCCAAGCAAAATCCTCCACCACTTCACAGCTCAATTACAAGTATAGCAAAGCCACACTTACTGTAAACCCATTAAATGCTATCCTTTCCCAAACTTCTACTGACTCAATCAGAACCCAGAAAAGAGCAATGGACTATTCTGCATTACCATTACAAGAGAGAAACTAATAAGTCAAGGTATGGTTTGATGTTAGAAGAGCTAGAGCCACATTGCCAATAAGCAATAAAATGAATTAATTCCAAAACTACCAAAATAAAAAATAAAAAAATCAAACAATTCAGAACTACACAATCCCATTAGTTCAACCAAAAATAAAAGGAAAAAGTCATACTTGAGCCAGAATTCAGAGGATTATTAACCTGAGACACAGATCTAAAGTAAAAATAATAAAATGGACACACTTAAAACAGAGAGATAGAAGCACATAAAGGAAGATAACTGAAGAAAGTTTATAACTGAAGAAACAACTTAAAAGAGAAATGAATGCAGAAGAAAAGAGATTAACCTGTACAAACCGGGCACTTTCTAACTGAAAACACCCTCCTCCTCCGAGTCTGTTGGAGTTGGAGCGAGAGAAGAAGAAAGAGTTGGGAGGTTTTTTTCAACGCCTGCTATAGAAAGGTTTTTCTTCTTTTTGTTTTTCGGACAGAACACTACGGGAGCTTTTGAAAAGCCGGATACCGACTGACTGACTGAATCTTGCATAAAAGACTATTTGAGAGGTCGGATACTCAAATATTGTCCGTATAGTTGTGGAAAAAGAACAAAAATTGTATGTATAAAACACCATGACGAGTCAATCAAACCAAAAAAACAAAAAGAAAAGAACGTTATTACCGCAATACTCGACGGTGAACAAAAATTAAATGAATAAAATGACATAATTGTGGGCTAGGCCAATTTGTCAAGAGAATGTGTAGCTCCTTTACACCCTTTTCATGTATTAGAATAGTTAGAAGTGCTACGACAATCTTTCTAAAGAAAATGGACATATTATTTATATTTTTAGCTTTACACATGACCTGTTTCAAAGAAAAAATTATAGAATACTATGGGTAGTATGGTCATGTGGTACATTTTGTATATGTATTATAATATGGGTGGACTATAAGGTTTATTTTCCTCTTTTTAAGGAATAATATAATAAATATACACTTATATTATAACACATATATAAAATGTACTATGTGACTGTACTATCATAATACTCTATCATCACTCGTTTTTTTGGGGTTTTGTAGAGAATGTGTTACCAACCTTCGAACCCAAGACCACTAGGGCCAGTTTGGTATTGTTGTGCTGTGAAAATAATCGCTGTCAGATTTGCTGTGAGAGAAAGCAGTTTAGTGTTTGGTAATTTTTTTTTGTTAAAAGTGTTTTTGGTACTGATTTCCACATAATCAGAAAATGATTGCCGCATAATCATTAAACCTAGTGCCTCTTCGAAATTGATTCCTGCATAATCAGAAAATGAAAGCAAATAATTAGCTGGTTTCCCTTATAACTTTCTTTCACAATAAGTTATTTTCTCAAAGTTTACTAAATAGGGTGGGCTTCCCAAAATTATTAAAAAAAACTTATCACCCTAAATAAACAATGCCAAACTGGTACTAGGAGTTAGTGCAAGCGCACTTACCACAAGGGCAGGTTGAAGGCGAGTTTTCATCACTCGTTTCAAAGAGCTAGAAACCCCCTTTTTTTTTTTTTTTTTTTTTTTTTTTTCGGCTTGCATCTCTATAAAGTGAAATGTATACATTAAGGCATAAATGGAGAGATCCTTACAATAAGCCTAATTTACGTATCAATGAAATATGAATAGTGGATCCTCATGCAGATGATTGCGACTTAATTGTGGGAAATATTAAAGCATGAGTAGTATCGGTGTAAACAATTGAGACAAAAAAAGTGTTGCTACATGAACCCCTAAGATTAACTGAGTACAGCATACTATCAAAGTATTTATTGAATTACTAATTTGCTCTAATATAAAATGACAAAAAAAGATATATTGAATTATGAAACAAATATAATTTTAATAAATACACCCTACTCATCATATTCAATCATAATCTATGTTTAGATTGATCAGAGAGCTGTAACTTTATTGGTGGATCTCATGGTATTTTCAGACTAGGGTTTCCACCTCTTGTGTTGAGTAGGATTTCAAAAGGTAATATAAGTGTGAATGCATCTCAGCCTCCTCTGTCTTCTCTCGTAATTGGAATTTGGAAGCATTCAAATCCAGCAAAGAAGTCACCTTCTCATACTTGGCACCATGACAAACAATTTCCTTCAAATAAATTATATCTTCTTACATTAATCCAATCTCTGATAGGTACCGTACAATAATCTTATATATTTTCTAGCTCAACCACTTTGCAAGTGTCAATTAAATTTAGAGTCAAGATCGTTTTGTATTTTTCTTTACACTTTCACCCTCTCTCATATGGTCCTACTATCAACAACTCAACACGCATAAAAGCCTGTATGGAACAAATCATGTCCGTCTTGTATTCAATCACTTTTTCTATTCATACCATAAAGAAGAGAAAAGTAGAAATATCGCCACGGTCTGCTCGTGATAGCATTAAAACTTTTGTGCTGAAAAGATTTAACTGAGTACACCCTATGATCTAAGTACACCTTAATATTTAAATCAAAATATAAAATTAACTAAATACTCCTTATTTAACTAGTGTCATAAATAGTTTCACCATCTTCATTTCAACACTATTTATTCTGCAAATTTTTGGCTGCAATTGATTGGCTATTGTCATAATGATCGGGTGGGGTAGTCGTGTTATGTAGAAGAAAATGACATACATGGGCTTCGTAGAAGCAACAATCAGTTGCTCAATCCTCTGCAGCAGCAGCAGCAGCTGAAGCTGAATATGATTTTAATTAGACGCAGTAGCTACTTCTCTATCAGTTTGGATGAGAATGATGTTTGAAATGGAGTTAAAACTTTTACAGAAGAAAAGTGGGTGGACGTTTTTCACAGATAGAGCCGCTTCCTGAAGTAAAAGTAAAATACTTCTACAGGCTTGTACGGCAGGGATTTGAAGAGGGGGATAATGTTATGAATAAGTTTCTTAAAATTTAGTAATGGAATGAATGCAGGGATTTGAAGAGCCTGAATGAAGCCATGTAATCATCTTATTTTGTGCATGGAAGAAAGATTAAACACAACTACAGTACATGTTTTGTTTCTCCCTCTCTATTCTTCTGCATATTCTTCCTCCAGCCTTCAATTTTAGAGCACAATGTGGAAGTTAAAAGATCGTTAATAATCTGATACGGTAAGTTAGCTGGCTAGATTGTTGTTTTCGAAGCCCTTCGAGACAGAATTATCCAACAAAGCACACGATAGAACACAAAGAAGCCGAACATGATCCCCACATTGGTCCATCTGGTGTCCTTGTCAAGTCCCCTACTCTTCAACACATCATTGCCTGTGAGCAAACATTTTGAGTGGGAGTAATCTTGAGGATGCCAAGAGAAACACTCGCTTTGAATGCTCCAGTATTCGTTTATCAGCAGTGTGTCCAGTGGATACCTATAAAGGGAAACATAATACATGAAGAGCCAGTATTTAGGTATGCTCTCTTTTGGAATGAAGTAGCCAGAGAAGAGAAAGAAGGCTCCAAGAACTGTGCAGATAAGAGAATTTCCTGATATGAAGTCAGGAGAGACTGCACTCAAAAAGAGCACCAGAGAACTAGCCATCAAAATGATGAGCCAAACCACGAAAGTGAAAAAAGCAAAGGCAGCAATAGAAGGATTGAGTCCTACTAGCCAATACACAGGAACAGAAAAGAGAATTGCCACTGCAAACAAGAAGGGTAGGAAGACAAAGGTATTGGCAATCATGTAAGAGGAGATTCTATAGGCACCCCTTGAGGCTTCCTTCATTAAAACACGTCGCTCTTGAAGGTATATCGGTAGCGCCTCAACTGTAGAAGAGAGGAGAAAACTGAGACTGAAAGCGAAGAGGCCCAACCGCTCTGCTACTCCTTCTTCATCCTTCCTCACTTTCATGTATACGCTTGCCAAGCCAAATCCTCCTACAAGAGCTTGCATTGTTCTCGCCAAGAACAGCTGCTTTGTTCTATAAATTATCTTCCAAAATCTTGAGCACAAAAACATAATCTCATACAAACTAGAAAAATAATATGTACCAATCTTTCCGCTATCTTGTTGATCTCTGACAATTTCTTCTTCTGGCCATGATGAGGAGTATGGTTCTTTGTTCTCTGTCCCAGATATTTGATCAGTTCTTGAATACGAATCTTCCAGTGTCTCTATTATTTCCATGGAAAATTCTATTGCATTAAGTTGCACTGGAATTTGCAGTCCCAATTTGCTTATTGTTTCTTCGAGTAATTCAATGCTACCATTATGGACAACAGAGCCATGAGAGAGGATCAAAAAGCTAGAGATGTGATAGAGAATTCTATAGCTGGGTTGGTGTATTGATAAAACCACAGTTCTTTGCTTTGATTTGGCCATTGTAGAAAGCATCTCAATGACTTGAAGAGCTGAAGAGCTGTCTAGGCCTGAAGTTGGCTCATCAAGGAGCAAAATTGGTGGATCATGAATCATATCAACACCAATTGATACCCTTTTCCTCTCTCCACCAGATATCCCTCTGTTCTCTTCATCTCCAACGAAACTATCCGCGACATGTACAAGACGGAGCTCTTGCATTAACCTCTCTACCCTATCCTCCCTCTCTTTTGCACCAATACCTTTGAGCCTAAACTTGGCAGTAAACATCAAAGTTTCCTTCACAGTGAGCAGAGGAAGCAAATTATCTTCTTGTGCAACAAATCCACATATCTTTCGCAATTGAGCAGGACTAGTTATCTGATGATCGTTGATCGAGACGCATTTGGGATCGAAGTCATTATCTTTCACCCTCCCTGATACTATTCTTAAAAGGGTAGATTTTCCAGTGCCACTTGGGCCAACAATGGCAAGAATTTCAGAACTTGTGGCAGAAAAAGAGACAGATTTGAGAATGCTAACTGGCTTAGGCTTCTTCTGCACCAGATGACAAAATGAAGTGGTTATAAAACCCTTACTTGGGATAAAAGTGTGGGAAAGGTTTTGTACTGTGAGCTTGTAAGTTGGGTTATTGCTGGAATGGTGGGGTGGTGGAGATGAGTAGTAGAAAGAAGAGGCAGGGCTGGTGGATTCTTCAGGGGAGTTTGAGGTTGAAAAGAGTATCACTGAGTCATCTCCATTATTCATGCTTGGCTGCGGTTGCTGCTTAAAACAAGTTGCCATAATTTTTTTGAGCTCAGCTAATATTCTGCTTGAAAATGGATGAGAAAAAGAAACTGAAATTAATGTACAAGATGAGCCAGAGAAATGGAGGTTGGAGGAAAGCAAGAGCCAAAAGAAGGTGGTGTCTGGTTGGTGGAGTTTGGTTACCTATGGAAAACTTTAGACTTACAGGGCCTATGGGAAACCTTCATCAGAGTCTAGATTTTGGGTGAAGTGGTTTAGAAACCTCACAACAACCAACCTAATAAAACTTGCGTACCGATCCAAAGACAGCTCTAGGAGATGCTTTGCAGGTTAATTAGCTAGGGTTACGTCAAGCAAAAAGAAAAAACAAAACTAAATGTAATTGCAAATTTAGTGTATGTAAATAACTTGCTTTAATATAAATGAACCCATATTTAAAAAAGAAAAAAATAAAATACTTTGTTCATACATAAAAGAATTAGAGACCCAACGGATCTAGCCTAGTAGAAAAGGATTTTGACTTACAGACTAGTGATTTCATGTTCGAACTCCCATGGTACCCTGGTAGCGTGTGTGAGAAACCTCATTCTCTGTAATTTAGACTACCACTTATACTGAAAAAGAAATCGGGAAGAGAAGAGACCTACCCATCTTAGTTGAGCTACATTACCGACTTTATAAAATAGTGTTTCATGATGAAATGCTTCAAAAGTTCAGAATCAATGTTATTGTGCAAAATCCAGTCAGTAGATTTATCCCAGCAAATTCCCCCAATATCCCAAGCTTTAACAATCGGCCAACTCCTAGAGGAGCTGAAAAGGCCATATAGATTTAATTCCCATCATATAAGTTGAATTCAATCGGAAGAAAACGTCAATGTAAGAGGGAGAAATAGACACAATATTTTTTGCTGATTGATAGGCGGCTCAATAAAACTTGCAATTATAAACGGTGAATCTCTCTTTCAATCCAAATCATCATTGCCGTTATTCTTGGCTAAATATATATATGAATCAATCAAGTGAATTATCATTTTATATTTCCTTAATATCATATGTATTACTTCTTATTATCAATTTTATGTTATATCTTCTTATATTAATCTTTACCTGTGTAAAAAAGAATACATTTTTTTCTTCTTTATTTTTTATTACATTGGAGGAAATAAATCCCACTGAAGTTTGATGTGGGTGCCATAGAGATAGAGGGGAGGAGGAATCCACCACCACTATTGTGGTGGGAGCCCATTGGCACATTTTTTTTCTTTTACAATATTCTAAACTACTCTAACAATGAAAAAAAAGGAATCAAACTCGGGTGTAGGGCAGCGGACATAATGCCTTCGCCAATTGGCCTAACTCGCATATGCAAAGAATATATTATCTAAACATGATGAGCAACAATTATGGCTCTAATTACAAAGAGAAATACAAGGATGGGTTGGATTGACCAGTTATGTATGATTCCTAGGGAAATGGGTGGTTTTTTTTTTTTTTTTTTTTTTTTTTTTTGTCGAATTGAAAATATAAGTTAAAGTGACAATTTTAAAACTTTCTCAATATATTTTTGGGGAAAAAAATAAAAACTTAATGCCTTGCCTCTTTACACGTACGTACAATTTTTTCGTAGTTTACCGACTATATTTTTCTGCTCTGAATCAGATATGGAGTAGCTCTTTCTAAGTCAAATTACCACGAAATCCACCGTCTGTGCCTCTGCACAGCATCGCTCTTTCACTTTCTGTGCCTCTCTGCGCATGGTTTCACTACCACAAGCCCTCTGAGTGTTGTTTCTGGTTTTGCACAGTTACATTACTATTTCTCTATCCCTCTCTCATGGATTCAAATGAAACCCAACGACCCATTGAAAACCAACCACAACCCAATACAACTCTCCCCTTCACATCAAAATTGAAACCCTATGCGTTCTACTTATCATCCATCCTAATTCTCATCCTTGCTATCTCATTCAGTTTGACCAAAACAAACTACCTCAAAACCCAGCAGCTGAAGTACACATTCTCATCACAGCCCGCCATTTTTCAAGTTCTGTTTGGCTTTCTTCAACCAAAGCAAAAAACCAAGCAAACCCAGGTACCAAATCCCATTTCCAAGCCCCCCTACTGTGTTCTGTGGATGGCTCCTTTCCTTTCAGGTGGTGGGTACAGTTCAGAAAGCTGGTCATATATTTTAGCCCTTCATGAACACAGTAAAAACCCAAACTTTAGAATGGCTATTGAGCAACATGGTGATCTGGAGTCCCTAGAATTCTGGGAGGGCTTGCCTAAATATATGAAGAACTTGGCAGTTGAGCTTTACCACACACAATGTAGTATGAAGGAGACCATAGTCATATGCCACAGTGAGCCTGGTGCTTGGAACCCTCCATTGTTTGAAACACTCCCTTGCCCACCAACTGCTTACCAAAATTTCAAGTCGGTGATTGGCCGGACCATGTTTGAGACCGATAGGGTGAATCCGGAACATGTGAAGCGCTGTAACCAAATGGATTATGTTTGGGTTCCTACTGAGTTTCATGTGTCTACATTTATACAAAGTGGGGTTGATAAATCTAAGGTTGTGAAAATTGTGCAGCCTATTGATGTGAAGTTCTTTGATCCACTTGAGTATGAGCCTTTAAATCTTGCCTCTATAGGGAAGTTGGCTATGGGGAAGACAACCCAGAATTCGAAAGTGAAGAAGAAATTTGTATTTATGAGTATATTTAAGTGGGAGTATAGGAAAGGATGGGATGCGTTGTTGAAATCTTATTTGGAAGAATTCAGTGAGGCAGACGGGGTTGCCTTGTATCTTCTAACAAATCCTTATCACTCTGATAGAGATTTTGGGAATAAGATAGTGGAGTTTGTGGAAAAATCTGGAATGCAGAAACCAGTGACTGGTTGGGCTCCAGTTTATGTGATTGATACTCACATAGCACAGATTGATTTGCCACGGGTATACAAGGCAGCTGATGCATTTGTTCTTCCATCAAGAGGGGAAGGGTGGGGAAGGCCTCTTGTTGAAGCTATGGCAATGTCATTGCCAGTGATTGCTACGAATTGGTCAGGGCCAACAGAGTATCTGACTGAGGAGAATAGCTATCCATTGCCGGTGGATAGAATGAGCGACATAATGGAAGGGCCTTTCAGAGGGCATCGCTGGGCAGAACCTTCTGTCAGTAAGCTTCGTGCGCTCATGAGGCATGTGCTGAATAATGTCGAGGAAGCCAAGGTGAAAGGGGAAAAAGCAAGGGAAGACATGATCACAAGGTTCTCTCCTGAGATCGTTGCAGATATCGTTACTAAACATGTGCATAATATACTTCAGAAAGTGGATAAGTAGTTGCACTGTTTTCTTTTCAGATCTCAAGAAGCTCTAAGTTTGCTTGCGCTTGGCTAGGTGTTGATCATGAAGCTCAGGCTTACGAAAGGCTTTGTCAAGCCTGATTAAGGAAGTGAGGACAAATTTAAAACGTTCAAACGTAGCTCCTCTCTAAGTTGATTGGATGCTAAAATTTCAAAGCATTGTTGTGAGGGAGCGAGAAAATGAGTCTGTCTCGTATTTTATTGCAAGATTTTGATTGTATTTGAAGGGTCAGTGCTACAGTGTTTGAATTAATACTGATGAATTCAACATGTTTTCGAACACATGCAATGAATTAGATTGTTGCTCTTATAAACATATTCCTAATATACAGAGAACATTACTTCGGACCTTTCAAAGTATCGGATCAGCTGCAGTTTGAAAGGTATCTTTCCTGTCATATTCGGAGCTTTACAATCCCTTCCAACTATCTCAGCTAGCATCTGAGTCGACCTTGGCATTAAGGCATTGGCATATGGTTGACATAGGTTTCATTCAGGAAATTGACCACGTTATCTTCATTCAAAAGGTGACAGTGGGTTAGGCCAATTGGTCGAGACAGTGCGTTCGCCTCCTTGCATCTGAGTTTGATCCCTCTCCTACTACATTGGAGTAGTTAGAATATTGGTTTGGCGTCACTTGGATTGCATCTGTTTGAGAAAGGTTCCTTCCAGGGATGTGCCCTGTTAGTTCGTTTGTTTGTTCTAGGCTTCATCCTGCCTTTCAATCGAAAACATTTAATTAGAAAATAAAAAACACACATACACACACACGACTTTCATTATGCAAAATGAGAATTTGTAAGAATGGGGAAGTGCATATGTGCACTTTGAATTCTTGCACTCTTCTGGGTGGGAACAAATAACAGTTATATTATATACATGGCCAGATATCTCATTTTCAAGATTTAGTGAATTCATTATATAAAAAAGTACTTATTGACATGGTCAGATAGATCACGGATGCCTAGCAAAAACTCAGTTTTTTGCTTTTTTCATTATGGTCAGATAGATCATAGATGCCTAGCAAAAACTTGAACGATGGACAAAAACTTGCGAAAAACATTCGCTCAAATCATTCAATCAGGGTCCCTCAACCCTAGGTTATTGAAGATAGGGTGCGAAAACTGCAAGAACTTCCTTGTAGACAGGCTTCTTGAAATCCACAGCCTGTACCAAAAAATAATAATAATAAATACATGTTCAAATAATAAAAATAATATATAACGTTAGATATTCAAACAATATGTATTCTAAGTTTAACCCACAAGATCAATAATTTGTTCTGCTGACATCCATGACCACTCCCCAAACTCAGGTTTTTCACTTCCATCACCTAAAAGATTGATTTCTTCATCCTTCCCAGTGAACTTAAGAAGAAACCTGTGAAATTGCACATACATGTAATTTTGTAAATAAGACCATGTGAATATGAGCATGTCATCTCTAAACTTCAACAAGTTATTCTCTTACCTAAAAAAGAAGAAAGCAAAAGCAGAAGCAAAACTTTAGAATATGGTTTTCGAACTAATCTTGAGCACCAATTCATGCACAAATGAATGATTGCTACATTGATTGCATGCTTAAACGATTAAACTTGTATTGATAGTTAAATGAAGATGATGGGATGCCTTGTGGTTATAAACTGGCATATAATATTTGTCCCCAGACGAAGGATTAAACAGGTTGGAGCCTACGCAACATGCAAGGCATTGTGATCCTGACACTAACCACTTCTGTGCTTGGCCTTTCCAGTCTGATCCCCATTGTTGCTGAAGTTTTGCCCGAACTTCTGGTGGGAAATCATAGGTTAACCAATAAGGTACCTGAACAGGACAAAAGCCAAAAATGATCATAACTGAATGTTTTCCCACAAGCGGATATGTACCAGAAAAGGTACGGGTAATAGACAGCTAAAGGACATTATAACACACCAGATAATATACAATAACTTATTACCTATTAATCATGTAATGCAAGCATAAAAACATGATGTAACAAAAAGAAAAACATAACAAACATAGCTGCATATAAGTGTCTAAAGAAAAGAGATAAAAGATAAAAGTAATCAAACATGATTAAATTAATGTTGAACCCCAAAAACCAAAAAAAAAAAAAAAAAAAAAAAAAAAAAAAAAAAAAAAAACACATCCATTTTTCCAAAATAACTTGAAGGTTCACCAGATCTTCAGGTGGTAATCCCATTTCCTGCATTTCCAATTTCTTTCTATCTTAATGCAAACATAAACAAATGGAGTGTGTTAGTTAGGAGAGAGAATGTTTTCATAAAGAATAGGATTGGCATTAAAAATGCCAACTAAGCATCTTGTTATAAGTAGATGGAAAGGAATACTAGAATAGATCATGAAATCTGCAACCTTGACTTTCTCTTAGAATGTTATTAATAATATAAACAAGAATTACTACAATACCTCCAAGAAAAAGGCGGATTAAATAACCAGAAAATAAGGAACCAGAAGCACCCCCATAGAAATCACACTCATTCAAAGTATCATCTTTAGGTGCGTCCTTATTGCAGGAGGGGAGAATAAGAAAGGATTCATAGTCTCAAAGTCCCCCTCATTCTTTTCCTACCTCTATGACAAAGACTTCCTCTCTGATCTTCCTAATAGGGAATAGAATACTTTCGAGATTGTGATAGAGATAAGGAGTTCAGTGATATTGGTAGAATCGGAGGAGGGAAAGGTGTAACAAGGATGCTTAGGGCACTTGATCGGACTAAGATTCATTTAGCTGTAGACCTTTTAAAAAAAATAGAAACTTTATAAAATCAAAAGAGATAAACAAGGAAACATGCAAGTGGATAAGGAATTCACAAGAGCAAAACAAAAGAAAACAGCAACCTCAAGATCAAAACAAACCGAGGAAAGAAGGACAAAAACGAACAAGAAGGCCATCCAGGAAAAAAGAAAAGAGCAACATATCACTTCACAACCGCTAACAAATCTCGCATAATAGAAGAGACAGCCAAATTCTTAAAAACAAGTAACCAAAGCCCATAATGCCGCCCAAAACTTCACTCTATCCCACATCTCACCCACCCCCACACCCTTGTAGTCCAAAAAAATTCTTCTGTTACGCTCCAACCATAAGTTCCAGAACACCGCATTTAGCTGTAGACCTGACTAGGACGTTTTGGACTGTTGACAATGACAGAAGGTTGGGTGAGATGGATAACTACTGTAGTATACTCATTACTTACCCACACCAGAAGCATTCATAGTAGAGTATTGGCTCAACCCAAGCCCATGATAATAATTTATTTTATGCCATAATGTAAAAAAAAAAGGAAAAAAGCAATCCATAATATCTATCAGAACCAAAAATTTAGTGTATCAAAATCTGAGAAAATGAATTAAAGATAAATATGAAAGCGACATACTTAGCACAAATAAGATTTTATTTCCAAGATCTTAAGATTATATATAGATTTGAACTTCACATAAGATCCTAATTCAATTAAAAAATGTAAAAGAAAAACTAAAACAATTCATGATCAGTGAAAGGCGACTACATCATTAGACCCAATTGCTCGTCGGAATACAATGAGTGGTCGAGAGTTATAATGTAATAGCTAGGTAAGCTAAAGGATATCAGATTAGACAAGGAATTTATATAGAGCCCAGATAGAAAAGAGGAAAGAAATCTGCGACAATTAAATATTCCCTTTTAATTACTTATGAAGCGTAATAAAATATTGGAAATTCGACAAGGCATTCGTTCATTAGAACTTCCATGTCTAACCACGGAAACAGCCAATTTTAAGGATGGGTTCAACAATATATTTCAATGATTGCCATTGATAAAAACAAAAATTGATTAGGTTTAACCTTTTAAGGTTATTAATTCTAAACAAACTTCGTTAATATATAATGTGTTAATTGCTATAATGTAACTAACATGAACTTATAATAATGGAATAGAGTGTGAACCATAAAATTCTGGAATAGTACGAACAAGAGAGGGGAGATTCAATGAATTCTGTGACTCTATCTAACAATCTCCAGTTTAATGATTTGAATTGTTGAAGGGATAATATACATACACTATCTAGTTTGGTAATTCTACCAAGGCTAAATTTAGAGTGCAAAATTGTGTAAGACTTGGAGAAAGAAAATGTGGAAAGCATTCTACAAGAAATACCTAGGCCTAGCATAACTAATCAGTTTCATATGTGGGCTTTCGACAGAAAATTGAAGAACTACCAGAGCAGAAGTTTGCAGGGTCATTGATCAAACATCTCTTCCTTTCAGAGTTTTAACTTCAACAATTTTTTTTTCCACATCTGCTAACTATAGTTGGATTTCCACTTACCGCTCATATTTGCATTTATGAAAAATAAATGTTGTTGCTTTATCCAAACACCAACATGGTAAGAAGCATATCTAAGCTCATCCTTGAGACCACTTGGTTCAGGTTTTCTAATGCTTTCCTTTTTAACCGCTAAGTTTAATGTTTCCTTCACCAGACTTTATTGGTGTCTGATAACCAAATGAAAACAACCAACAAAATTCCAACAAAGACATACAACTCGATTAGCATATCTTTTTGCATTCTCTCATACTTACTTAACAAAATGCAGGCATAAAAATGTTTGGTGTAATGTTGCAAAAACATGAAAACAGGAATGGAAATACAAGTGTAGCAGCAGAAAAGTCCTACCTCTGCAAGAATTTCTGCTGAATTAACTCCTGTCTCTTCTCTTAATTCCCTCATGGCTGCAGTTCTTGGATCTTCAGCCTCATCAATACCACCCTTTCCAACACAAATTTATTAAATACTATTTGAATGAAAAGAAAACAACGAAATCTCACACAAGAGGAAATCAAGTAATGACTGCAGCTAGTAGCTACACTCATTGGCATGTTCCTACTAAAAACTCTATACTTTTCCTCCCTTTACATATTCAATTACTGATTCAACCAAACTTCATATAGTCATGCCCTAAACGAAAAACGGCAATCATTGATTACAGCAGAAGGTAGGCACATTATCATTAACAGGATCCTAACTAGTACCACATAAGCAATTATGGACGATATTCAATTCTGAGAAAAAAGTTTTGTAACGGTTGTACATTGGAGTCTTTCATGCCTTACACTGTTTCATTCAACAATATATTTACCATTTGGAAATCCAATACATTTTCAGAACTTGCCAATGTTCATTTAATCCTGTAAGTGGAAGCCAAACCCCACATATTAATATCAGGAGTACTGCCCTTTTAGATACTTCATGTTCAATGAAATGAGATGGCAGATCTAAGCTGCAAGTCAAAACAGTATGGCTAAACAGTTGTCAATTTTGGTACTTCTGGACCTTCTTCCAAATTGAAGATCCTTCCTTTCCTACTTGTATATAAAATGTTATATAGCAGGTAAGTTGCCTGACCATATTCAAAGGGGTGGTCATTACTTGTTACTGAAAGGTTCATCCTTTGTACCAGATATTGAGACATAGGACTGCACAATTCAGCGCTTATTAAATTTTTTGTAATCTAATTCAATGTTTCAAGTGCTTGCTTGGATGCTCCAAAGAAACTAAAAACTCGTGTATGTGCTCTGTGTGTGTGTGTGCAGGCGCAGGTTTGATGGAAACTCGAAAAAAATTATAGTTGTTATTTTAATACAGAATTGTTATTTTTGATGTTGAAAAGACTGTAATGTTATTCAATTATATTAAAAAACAAACTCCAAATAGCATATTTGACTCAATCCAGCCAACTTAGGATTGTATTGGTATTATTTTTTCCAATACAATGCAATCTAATCCTACCTAAAAATCCAATCCCCCAGTCACCAAACATCCAAAACAAAAAAAAATAGAAAAACCCAGACATTCAATCCAAACTGTTATGAATTTACCTGCGGCATTTGCCAAGCATTGGGTATATCTAACCTTGAAGCAGCAAAAATCTGCGTAGAAAAATACGTATGCAAAAAAATTCAGTCTATGGAGATCATACACCTATACACACGAGTTGGTACAGATAGATATAGAAGGAGATGAAAACCTGACCTTCTTAGAATCGTTGATGAGACAAATGCCGACATTCCTGCGGTAACCTTGGGGAGGAGCTTCCATTGATGAGGACGATGGCGATGAAGTATGGGAGGAGGTACAGAGGAGTCTAGTATGATTGATGGGTTTTGGGGGGAGGAGTGGCAGGTGTGAAAATTTGGTGAGTTTTGGAGGGCAAGTTTGGAAGGATTGAAACAGAACAGGAGGCCTGATGAGAATCGATAAAGGAGGAAGATGAAGTGGGGAATTAAGCAAAGCGAATCGGCATATATCCATTCAATTCAATAATAACGTCCAAATAGGGGGGACATCTTCCAACTCCCCTGCTTATGTATATGGCTATGGTTCCTCACTGGGCCAGTTGGTTTTAAGAAACCTTCACCAAGGCAATGCTATATCTTCAACAAACCACAATATAAAATTTAGGGTAAATTAATTTTTTGTCCTCATGCATTTTCTATTCTTTTGTGTATAGGTTGGGATTATGTTTTCTTGCTTGTCTTTATTCAACTCTTTAGCCCCTATTTGGTACAGGGAAAGGATTTGATGGGAAATCATTTTCCATGTCATTCCTCAAAGGATGAGAAATTGAAGATTCATTTACCATGTTCGGTAATATTGGGAAAGTAACCCTAAACCCTAAACCTTTTATTTCATTTCCCATGTTTGGTTTGTGTAGGAATGTGAAATAAAGTTTGTTTAATTTTTCCAATTATACCAATACTAAATTAAATAATAATAAAAAATACATTTAATGCTATATTGTAATTCTAAAGTGTTAATGAGGACAAAATGGTCATGAAAAGTGTGCATTTAATGTTGGCTTATTTTCCCAAACTTTTTTCATGGGAGGGAAAACAAAACCCAAGAGAGGAGGAGGGCTTCACTTTCCCACATACTTTCCCATGTGCCAGGCAACCATTTCCTATGCATGGACATACCAAACATGGGAAAACAATTGATTTTCCATCCCCAAACCTCATTTTCCATGAACCAAACGGGGCCTTACGGTCTACCCTTTTTCTCAATATCCCAATTCTAGCGGTTGTTAGCAGAAGTTAAGATAGAAAGAGGTAGCCGAAGGAAAGGCAATCTATATATGTCATTGGAAAGCATGATTGAGGGTTTTATACTGTAGTATGTAACTCTACATGGAATCATTCACTATACTAGGGGGCGAGACATGACTGCGAAGACTCAAGTGAAATGCATCAAAGGGTCGTGGACCAACCCTCTTATCCATCTACCCATTGGTTAGGTCATTCACACTCTATCTTCTTTAATCAATTCTAACTGTTCACTATTTGTTGACTATTCCGATGGGCTTCCTCTTTGAGCGGAAGCCATGCACTGTTGAATACAAGCGATAATTTATAAGTGAAAAGGGGTTTCCCACACACACTTCCAAAGTGCCATGAGAGTTAGAATGTAAGACCACTAGCATGTAAGTCAAGGCTATGGATGAAAATTTCTCCATGAGTAGTCTGCTACTACGAGTGATATGCAAAACAACAAATGTTAAGGAAGAACACCGCTGTGGTGTTTGCCAATGAACTTTTTTGCTTAAGTAAGATGGTGTTTATGTAAATATAGAGTGAGAGAGTGCAAAATGATTTAGACAGTGTGAACCAAGTTTGCATTATTGTTTGATGACTAATGTCTAAGTATTTACGAAGGCTGAAATATGTTAACTACTGGCAGTTGTAGTCTTGTAGATGACAGGTGGTAGGTGATGAGTCTTTGTGGGCTTGCACTTCTCTGATGTGGAGAAGATAATGGGATTATAGTAGTTAACCCACAACGACACTATCCATGTTTGTAGGATGGTGGTTGTGATCCATTTCGGATTTCGTGGCGACACTTGCTGGTGCATGTGCTTTATTGAACAATGAACAGTGGTTGAGCATTCTTCCTCACCTGAATCGACGTTCCTTGAGCCGTGCTCGGCTAATTGAGGTTGTTGCCTGCTTACGAGCCTTGCAACATATGTCTTCTTAGGCCTAGGTCTTAGGCTGATCTCCTCAACCCAAGGTGGTATAGGTGGCTTGTGTAGACCTTTTGCTTTCCCTCTTTTTTCATTAAGGGTATTTTCATCATTCATGACATAAAGAGTCCACGTGGCGTGCTCTGAGTTAAGTTGCGAATTTGTGATTCCATAAAGGCCCTTTTCCATTTTTGGTTCTCGTTATTTTAATTTTAGTAATTTTAATCATATAATTTTGTGTATTGTTTTGGAACTGAATGCCACAACTATGCATAGATCAAAATGCCTTTAGATGTGTTATTTGCATATGGCCAAGTCGAATTTCATCTTGTAACACCTCGACCCAATTTAATTGTGTAATTTAAGTTTTTAATCATGAATTACAATTTTGCCCTTGGGGGTAGGGGCACTTTAGTCACTTTTAGTTTAAGATGGATTTTGGGGAATTGAGTGACATTTTTGTGTAGGGCTCGCCGATACAAGTTTGTAGACAAGTGTCAATTCCGAGTTGTAACAATTGCGTAAAGGTTTGAAAACCGAAAGGACTTAAATGTAATTTTGAAAATTGTCAGAAAACCCTAAATACCTAGCTTTCCTCTCTCTCCCTCGCGTGCGTCAGAACCCCCTATACTCTCTCTCTCTCTCTCTCTCTCTCTCTCTCACTCCTGCAATGCCGCCACTTTGAGAGACAAGATCATCATTGTCCAGCGACCAAATTAGGCAATACTGGTCCCAAAGAACCATCTCTCTCCTCTATCTAACCTACCCAATTTCCCATATCAAAAACTAAAGTTACGCCAGTTGTATCAATTGGAAGATTCGGCAAAATTTCTCAACGTCGTCGGCAACGTTTCCGACCACTTCAGGTCACGCCACCACTTGGAACAGGTAGCTCTCTCCTCCCTCTTGCTTTCCCCTAGGTCGTGTGACGCCATTGATGGCTATTGCCAGCATTGCGAGGCTGGGAAATTTTAGCGATTTTCTAGTTTTCGACCACTTTTTGGCTCTAAGAACAAAAAATGTTCCTCTTATTAGTTTGATTTTGTTGGTATAGGTATTGTAGGGTGTTTTGAGAATTTACAGTCGCCGGAATTTTCTCAAGACACCTGCCTCTGCCGGCGGCAGGTGGCAGTACTTGGGCCACTGTGTGGCAGCCTATTTTGGTTCTACAATGTTCCCTGCGTCGTTCCAAGCACTACGGTATGCTCAAATTCGGAATTGGTTGTCGTTTGACTATCAAACAGATATTACGTTTATTATCCGATATCCAGGTTCAATAGGTTCAGATCGTTTAATCGGTTTCAATTTCATTTATGTTGTTTCCTGTACCTCTAGGATCATTTAGGAACTTTCGAATCCGAAATTGGAGGTCGTGGGCCCCAAGGGCTCGGTTGACAATTATGGGAAGTTCAACAACTCGGTTGACCGCGAGTCTTCCATGGTCGTCTCACCTTTCAAAGAGTATTAGATTGGCATTAAGAACTCCCCAAAAGTCATGCACACACTTTGAGTCATGGGATTTAGGAGTTTGAATTAAGGCTCACAGTTTAGGTACTTTTATTGATCAAGTCCCCATGTTCTTTAAAACAAGTGCCCAGTTTCCACGTATGCAAGAGGCGGGACCCTCGCTGGGTCAAGCAGCTTTGGACTATTTGCGAGTGGAAGTTTGTTTTAAATGGGCATTATTATTCTAATATGGAATTGCATGCATAAACGAGTTTTGATTGAGATTTGAGTTATTTTGGTTTGTTGGGATTATGAAACTATATTATTGTCTTAACTACGGTTTATAGTATTTTATGGGATTCTTGGATTTTAATGTGAGATTTGAAGTATATGGATATTTTGAGCTTGAGAATATGATATTGGGATGTTTTGATTTGAATATTTGTGAAAGCGAGTTTTTGGAACTCGGTTATATTTGTTGGAAAGTAAATTGTGAGAGATATGTATATTGATGACTATGGTATTTTGGTTTTCGGATTTGTACTATGATATGTACCTTCCCTGGTTCGATATGTTACTTTACCACAAGGGCGATGTTGGATTCCGACGTGTGGGCTCACATGTCGATGATGGATGCCGTCATGTGGGTTAAGATTCGGGCACCCTTGGGGGGTGTGCTATAGGCTTTTGAAGGGTAGTCTGCGCGCGTAGGACTTAATTTGGCCGTATAGACGATGTAGGATTCCGGCTTGTGTGCTATGGAGCGGTAGTCTGCAGGTTGGACAACTCATCCCTAGTTGCAGGGTAAAATGTTGATACCCTGAGGGCTAGTCAAACAATCCCCCGGTTGGATGGTTTTCCTCAGTACTTGTGATGGTGTGAGGATGATACTTATATATATAACTCAAGAAAATTTTCTTTGCATTTCGTATTTTTTGAAGTTTATACATCGACAAGGGTATGGTTACACGAAGAAAGGTTTAGCTTGATTTTTATACTATGCTATATCGGGATTATGGGATTGCTTTGGTTTTAAAGTTCAAGTATACTATAACAATGGATTTCATTGCATGATTTAGCATCGTTTTTCTAAAACAGTGGCATTAGTACGTTCGATTAGAATTATGTTCAAAACTTTATTTTTGTCCACTCACAGTTTCTATTTTGAGCCCCATAGGTCGTAGTTTACGTGACTCGAGCAATCAAGCCAAGTCTTCCTCTTCTTGCGCTTCGATTTCATTGTAGGATACTTTTGCTGCTTATTTCCTTTGAAAACTAATTTGATTGTGTAACTAAAGATTTCTTAGATTGCTCTAATACTATGTTGACATGACCCATCCTGCATTCCCCCGTAGGTAAAGTAATGCCAAATTCACCTCCAATCGATGTAGGTCTAACACTTGCATAAGGTACAAAACTAGGTGTAGTAAACAAGTTTGTGGCTCCTGGATTTATTAAAACACGTGTAAGATAACCAAAAACATGTAACATACCAATGATGACATCTGGTGTGGCTTGTGCCTCCTACTGAGTCAAAGCAAACACACGGGCCTGAGTCACTAGACGCACTTGTTGACCTCTTTGATGTCTACCACCTTTTCCCTGGAAGGTAGACTGAACCCCACTACTGGAAGAATAACCTGTAGCTGATGATGAGGCACCACTCTGACTTTGACTCTAACCATGATTACCTTGCCCCTACTAGGCTACTGCATTGTTGGACCACTTGGATGGAGACTAGGACAATTCCTCTTGTTGTGTCCAACTTGTCCACAAGCGTAACAACCTAGGCGAGTCCTCTGACTCTGCCCACCACTCTGATCGAAATGTAGATAGTCCCTAATAAAGTGTCTAATTTGTCCACAGTTGCGACAAGCTAAGCCAATTCGCTGTGAAGAATCCCTAGCTATGCTGGCAACTGATTGTTGATTGGAATTTTGACTCCAGTTTGGCATGGGTCCAAATCTTCCATTTCTTGAACTTGATCCGCGTCCCCCTGACGAACCACTACCTGAAGAACCATAACTAAATCCTCCTCTTTTTGATAGACCCTGACTTGGTCCATCAAAGTTAGACATATCTCGATGACATCTTGATGCACCAACACTAATTTTCTTCGCCACTCGGTCTGTTGCTTAGGCCAACATTCTCATTGAAGGGTAAGTATTTGCGGTTACCATAGCTTGAATTTCAATCCACAGTCCCTCTTCAAACCGTTTGCACTTCTCTTCCTCAATAGGGACCAACTCTAGGACAAACCTGGTGTTAGGCAAAAAATTATCGTATGAACCTCCACCCAACACAATTTCACTATCATCCTTGATAGACATGCTCTCGTCCCTGACAGACATGAGTTTTATTTAACTATGACCCATTCAAGACAAAGTATCTCTTAATTACAATTTCTCATTAAAAAGAGAACACCCTTTGATTCCAACATAGATTAAACTTTAAATGGGGGGTTTGTGTGTTTGTTTAAGTTTGCGGCTACACCTAGGTTGACCCTAGGTTATCTACATACCCCTTTTGAGGGATCAAGCCACTTGTAGTTCTTTAGAGAATTTGATTGGACTTTCAAAGAGTGAAGGACCCCTTAAAAGAATTTGTGGTGTGGGAAATATTTTATGGAATATGGGTGAATGTGGTTGGCCCAGAGATTCAATTTGATTTTGTGGTTGGAAAAGTGTTTGGGGCAAATTTGGTTCAGGTAAACCAGGGATTTTGTTTAGACTTGCAGTTTTATCTGGATTGAATTTCCAAATTGCCTACGTATCTTTGGTTGAATCAAACCATACTTAGTTCCTTTAAATTTGACTTGCAAGATTTTGTACCATTTGAGTTTTGGCGTGGTTTTGTACTATTTGAGAAATTTGGGATTTTCATATCAATTATTTGCTAATTGATGCATTTTTATTTTGAATGGAATTTTGGACGGACCAATTTTGATTTGAGGAAAAGGTCCATCGAACTTTATTTGATGGTTATACCAATTATTTGTTAACTGGTATTTTCTAGCACTTGAAAATTGACAATGGTTGGCTCCATTAAACATGTGGGAGTTGTTATACTGTTTGAACACTTGAATTTGGAAGATGACCCACTTGCCCTTCATCCTTCTTTGATGTTTTTTGGGGAATTGCCTTGTCCCACTGATTAAGCATTATTTTGTTTTGTGCTTCCCAAATAGATCAAATTGGTGTTTCAAGAGTTAGACTTCTTCCATCTTCTCTCTTTGATAGATAATAATTAATTGTAAGAGGAGGGAGAGAGAGAGAGAGAGTGTGTGTATTAAAAGGTCTTTGGGGCTTGTTTCAACTTTCGATAAAGCCACATCTTTTCCTTCTCCATCAAATCCCTCTTTCCTCCTCTGTATTTTCTCAGTCCACCATACTAAACACTACTTCACCTTTTGCTTCTTCTTGGATATTTGGTTAGGAGCACCAGTGTCTGCATGTCCGGCAAAACCAATTGGTTGGGCTTTGGGTTTGCTATTATTACATCTTTATTAAGCAACAAACTCTCCACCCCACTTTCTTCCTCTACTTTTTCCTTGTTTGAATTTTGTAGCAACGACCTGATGCTTTGGTACATTCTTTTCTTTCTGATTTCGAAAGGAATTTCTAAAGCTTTGCATATTTCCATTTGCAAACTGACATCATTTGGGTGACTAATTTGGGGCCCTGCCTTTGCTCTGCCTTCTGGGTTGTCGTCATCGTGGGAAGATGAGTGCCTGACCAAACCATCTTCACGGGTTTTGTTGTCATAAGCGCTGACCTTCGATTTTGCTAGAAAGGGTACTTCTATTTTGGTTGCTGCGAGTAAGGAAGAAGTGAAAATGGCAGTGATGAATTTCTCTTGCTTAGCACAAGATAGTCATTTGCTTTTAATTTTATGTAGGTTGCTAGACTGTTAAAATTATTTAAACTCCTTTGCTTGCAGCCATTTTATGTGTCTTTCCCATTGATTTTGATCACTGGTGCATGTTTGCTTCTGTCTTTGGTTTCATTTTGGGTGTCGAGAGCCATTTAGTTTTCGTGGCCTAGACATTCTTCCATTAATTTTATTCATTCGCTGCATAATTGAACAAGAATCATGGCATTCTGTTTGGCTTGATGTTTTGACGTCGCCGTATGCTTCAAATGCTTCTGTCACCAAGCCATGTGCCTTCGAACACTCAATTGGTGTTTTGGACACTCAATATGGTGGGGTTCTTGCGAAAGCCCATTTGCATATTTTCACAACAGAGAGGTCCTTGTGAGAGCTCTCTTTGTGTAAAAGTTGTGCAATCATCTCGTCACTAATTTGAGAAGGATCAATTTCTTTGGCCTGCAGCTTCTTGAGATCTCTTTGACAACAGGGAACTTTTGAGACTTCTTTGACAGTAAGGACATGGAAGAATTTCGACGACAAGTATTTTCCCATATCATGTGGCTTCTGTGACCAACCTTTGAGCAATATTGTTGTCCACTTCAAATGGCTGTAATGTTGTTGCCTGTAAATGAGTTCAACCAAAAGAATGTTAAACTGACAAATAACATTATACCTTGCCGTTTGTTGTTCTAAGCCAGGCCTTGCTTGTTAAGGGTCGTTTTCGGCGGTTATTCTTCTTATATTTGGTTGATGCGGGTGAAGATTTAGCCAGCTTCTGATTGCAGCAAGTGAATTGCTCTTTGCTTGGCGACTTACCGAGACGGCGTGGCTCCATACTCTGAGATGAGGGACTTAAACAAATTTGCAACCATTCATTATTTCTCTTTTTGTTTGCCTTTGAATATTTATAGGACCTCGAGAGGGTAATGGAAATAGTCTTTTGTGTAGTTGAGCCTAACTCTTGGCAAGTACCAGGTCTCAGGGATCCCACAGTGCACATGGTTTTTATTGGGTGATTCGGGACTGGCGATAGGGAGTTAGACAAGATGACTAACAAAAGGGGAATTATGGGATAATTGAAATAGGTGTTAGTTCATATAAATGGGCATTCGGGACCAAGTGGTATAAGCATGGTATGGGACGTGTAGGTCTGCATTGGCTGTGTGATTGTATGTCACTTAATTTAATTATATCAATTTCCTGTAAAAAGGTTTATGTCCCTACTGAGTTGTGGTTTTGCTCACCCCTTAACAGATTTTGCAGGTACCGAACCTGAAATCTAGAGCTTATGATGATTTTGGCATATCTATAGAGTGTATTGTATACATAGCTTGTGGATGAATAATGAACTACTCTTTTAGTGAACTCTCGAGTAGTTGTAACTTGTAAAATAATGTATGTAAAATTTTTAAGATTTCCGACGTTGTCATTTCTGTTGAATATTTTATGTGAAATATTTGTTTTATTTATTTAAATGTTTCTTCACATTTTAGTTATAGTTTTTATTAAATTTTATAATTAAGGTGTGAATCACTTCTTAACCCAAGGTTACGTAAATCCGTGGGTTGGGCCATGACAAGTTGGTATCAGAGTGAGTTTTACGATTTCATTAAATTGTTTTGTTACTCACTAGCCTGTTAAATTAATGTTTAGGATGCAACCTGATCATAGTGATGATACATGGTGAGGGTTCCAAATGGGACTCAATGGCCTCATCCCAGTACACGAAGACATATACCACAATCTTCTACGCAACCAAGCTTATGTGGACGTATTTAATAAAATTATAGATACAATTTATAGAAGGATGTTTTATACTCCAGAGATACAGAGACTGGTTGTTCAACATCGGTTGCAGGCCCACAATATTAGGAGTCAATATCAATTAAATATTGAAGCACATTCTTACAACCAAGTGTTAGAAGATGTTGCAATTATTGCTGATATGTGGCCACCACTAGGGATAGACTTACCATATGCTCTAGAACCACAGGAGTTAAACTTACCCTATGTCCCAGACCCAGAAGATGAAACATATTTGGAACTTCTGGACCTTGATGATCTATCTGTTGAGTCTATTGCATCAGCTGCTTCAGTGGTAATCATTGAACCACAAAAGTCTAATCCAACTATCATCAATCTAAATTTTGATGATGAAAATGAATATCCCGAGCCTGTTATCCCTCTCGTTGAAATCATAGATATTAGTTTTGATGATGAATAGATTCGTTCAAAAGTTTGACTAATAAAATAGGTAGTGTGAACCTAACAGGCTGATTTTGGTATGGTGGATTTGTATAGTTTTTGTGGGCAACCTTGTGGAGGTCTTGGAATGAGGAGTTCTTTGTAACATAGGTTTGTGACTGTTTTGTTAAATTTTGTGAAATAGGTTTGTAACAACTTATAAATATTTAATATGTATGCTTGATTTTCTATAATGTTTTTTTAGTATAATTTATAAATGTTTAATATAATTTTTTTAAAGATATATATATACACATATATATACATATATATTTTTTAATCTTATGGAATTATTTGGTAAAGGTTCAATTGTTAAAGATGGCTGGACTAGAAGGACAAAATGAGAATGATGTGAGTGATAGTATGAGAATAATGTTAGCCATTCAGGATATGGCCTTTGTTATTCGTGAGACAAATCAACATAACCACAAACCCCATCAGGAAACTCAAGATGATCAAATAATGAGAATTCAAGGAGAATTTCGTAAGACACGACCACCTGTGTTCAAGAGTGATCCAAACCCTATGGCAGCAAAAGAATGGTTAAGACAAATATGGAGAAAGATGAATGAACAAAGAGTTCCTGGAAACCTGAAAGTGACCATTGCTTTTACCTATTTGGAAGGACATGCTTATCATTGGTGGGAATCTGTCTTGGCTATGCCTGATGTTGAGATTACAACTTGGGTTGCCTTTGAGACAATATTTCTAGAAAAATATTTTCCTGAAACTATGAAAACCATGAAGGTACATGAGTTCACTAATCTTTATCAAGGTGATATGACTGTGGGACAATATCAAGCTAAGTTTGAAGAACTAATGCGTTTTGCTCCTTACATGATTCTTAATGAGTCTGCAAAAGCAAAGAAATTTGAAGAAGGGTTGAGACTAGAGGTCAAGGAGAAAGTGGAACTTTTTAAATTGAAAAAGTATGCTGATGTTGTTGATGCCGTAATGGCCGAACAAAGGATACTTGGTTCTAAGAGAGTTTTTGAACCTAAGAATCCTAACTCGGGACAAAGTAGATTTTTCCCATCTCATTCCCAGTATCAAAATCTGAGATCATTTGAGGCAAATCAAAACTCAAGATTTTGTTATCATTGTCAACAGATAGGACATTACCGAAGGGATTGTCCCCAGCTACAATCATATTAGATACCTGTTGTTCCACAATCACAACCACAGTTTAGTGCACCACAACAACAATTTCAAGCTTCACAAACATAGTACCGTGCTCCGTACCAGGCCCCATATCAAGATTCACAGAATCAGTTTAGAGGTCCTGTTAATCAAAAGACACAACGTTCGAGGGGACAACCTACACAACAAAGGCCTAGGGCACCAGGAACAGCAAGGAGACCTGAACAACTCACTCAAGGATGAGTATATGTTGTTGGACAAGTGACAGAGCAGAATGAACCTACTGTGGTGGAAGGTACATTTCTAGTTTTTAACTCGTGGGCTAGAATATTGTTTCACCCCGGTGCTACAAATTCATTCATATCTGTGTTGTTTGCATATATTCTTGGATTAGAATATGAATTTATGAAATCCTCATTGATGATTGGATCTTCATTGGGTAAATGTGTTGAAATTAATAAGTTGTGTAGATCCTGCCCAATAGAGATAGCAGATCATAAACTTGTTGTTGACCTGATGATATTGGAATTCATGGGTGTATGATGTAATATTGGGGATGGACTTAATTACCCAATTTAAATCTATTCTTGATTGTGGTAGAAATATGGTGACTATGACTCTCAGTGAAGGGAAAACATTTAGTTTTTATGGAAAGAGGAATAATTGCAAGCTTGAATCAATCTTGGATAATATAAATTGTAATTATTTGAGATTGATTGCTCACATGGCCAATAAGGATCTGGATTATCCCAAACTTGAGCTTATTCCTATAGTGAAGAATTTCAATGATGTTTTCCTAGAAGAGTTATCTGGATTACCCCCAGAACATGAAGTGGAGTTTTCTATAGATATTTATCTTGGCACATCACATATCTCTATACCTCCACATCAGATGGCACCAGCAGAGTTGAAAGAAGTCGAAACACAACTTCAAGAACTTGAAAGAAAAGGTTTCATTTGTCCTAGTACCTCACCATGAGGTTTTCCTGCACTCTTTGTGAAGAAAAGTGATCAAAGTTTGAGGATGTGTATTAACTATCGTCAACTAAATAGAATCACCATCAAGAACAAGTACCCATTACCTAGGATTGATGATTTGTTTAATCAACTACAAGGTTCCTGATACTTCTCAAAGATTGATCTTCTCTCTGGTTATCACCAATTACAAGTAAAAGCAGAAGATGTATCGAAAACTGCATTTCAAAAGCAATACGGACATTATGAATTCCTAGTAATGCCTTTTGGATTGACAAATGCTCCCGTGGTTTTCATGGGCTTAATGAATCAAGTTTTTCGACCTTATCTGGATCAATTTGTGATTGTGTTCATTGATGATATTCTCATTTATTCATCATCTCAAGAAGAACATGAACAACACCTGTCAATTGTTCTACAGACGTTGAGAGAACACAAATTATTTGCCAAGCTAAGTAAGTGTGAATTTTGGTTAACAGAAGTAAAGTTTTTAGGTCAAGTTATTTCAAAGTAAGGCATCACCGTGGATCCTGGAAAAGTAGAAGCAATGTTGAATTGGAAACAATCGAAAAATGTTCATGAGATTCGGAGTTTTCTTACACTACAAGAAAACATGCCTTTTGTGAAGAGGGGTAGTCGTCACTGAAACATGGAATTTCGTCACAGTTGAGTATATGTGACGAAATTTTAGCGTCACAGCTTTCGTCACCTATACCCCGTCACTGATTCTCCCACGTGACGCTTTCTCTCTTCGTCACATATACCTGATATGTGTGACACATACCGCGTCACTGTACGTCAGATTATGTGGCTATCCGTTAGTCACTTCTTACGGCTATTAGTGATGCATGATTTGGGTCACGGTTTAGCTGCATCTGTGAGGAGTTATTCCTCTCCTAAACTTGGTATAAAATGCTCTTCCTATACAATACGTGACCCTTTAGGCGTCACATATTTATGTAGTGTGTGATGACGTGCGCATCACATATTTGTTTAATGTGTGACAATGCACACGTCACATAATTTTGTAGTATGTGACGATGTATACATAAGATGTCTTTTTAATTGTGACGATATTGGCATCACATATTTCTTTAGATTGTAATGAGGTCTGTGTCACACATGTTCCATACCAAGGTACCTAATTATGAATAATATGTGCAAATCCAATCACAATTCTCAATTCTCATCTTTTCAATGTATAGTATAAAAATAGATAATCGCATTTCCATTAATAAAAGTAGGTAATTACATTGTATGTTCCAAAATAAAGATCCCAAACTAAGTCTACACTTTGTACAACCAAAAGTAAGCCTAGAGCAAGTGTGTTCCAAAATAAAGATCCCAAACTAATTCTAGACTTTGTATAACCAAAAGTGAGTGTAGAGCAACTGTGTTTCAAAATAAAGATCTAAAACTAATTCTAGACTTTGTACAACCAAAAGTAAGTCTAGAGAGCAAGTGTATGTTCCATATGGATATAATCCCTAAATCAGTTCTCATCAAGATTCTGGTTTGCTAGTTCATCGTAATAGTCATCATCAGAATGGACACCATTACTACCTCTAGAGCTGGTGCTAGTATGGCCATGAGATGCAGTCAAAACAGACCTCAATTGGGCTCTCAAATCTTCATTCTCCTTTTGTAAAGTGACAAGATTTGTTGTTGCTTCCAAATATCCTGTCAACAACAGAACCATAAACTCCAATTTTTTTGGTATTATGATCAAGTAGGTAGTTGTGTGTGTAAATTAAGTTTACCTTGACATTCATCAATTGAACCACCAACTTATGTTTTGACATGAGCTTTTAGAAAACTGTTGTTGCTCCTGCACCACCAGAGAAACTAACGCAATTTCAGCTACTGTGTATTAAACTTTAAACTCAGAATTAAACACCCTAAACTCAATAAAAATCTACCAAATTACATGCATCCTGAAGCTGATTAAATAAACTTTGAAACCATATAAAATTTGACAGAAATGGTGCGCTCTAATTTATAAGCTAAGGCAGTCCAAATAAGTGTCTCAAAACTGAAACTGCAGCCCCTGTTTTTGACACATTTTGTAGTCATAAGCTGCACAAAAAACCAGATTTATACAACTAAATCGCAGAGCACAATCCAATCAGTCTACAATTATAACTTCATGACCCTCCAAAAGTTCTCTAAGGCCATATCAACTTCTAAAAAGTCAGCTTTTTCAAAGAAGATCTTGTATGACCATAACAGTTCCAAGTAATGCCCATTACCAGCCTAACACTTCCTTCACGGTTGGAGCCACCCAAATCATACCAATCTAAGAAAACATGAATTTATGGATCAAAGAGTTATCAAGACAAGATCAAATGACTAAATGAATTTGATGAACAACCCATTTTCAATTACTTGTCCTTTGCCTCAGACATGCTGTACACAATAAGAAAGAAGACAACCCATATTACCTTGATCAACATATATCACATGAAAATTGAGTCTTCCTCCTCTTCATATATGGCTGCAGAAGTTATAATGGGGCTGCTGATTCCGGTTGCCCTACGGTTAAATTAAACCAAAACAACCATTTCAATAATTTTTCTTTTGTAAATAAAATACAAAATAAGTAAAAATGGGGAGCTCACCCCTCTATCTGCAGTACAACACCAAGTGAACATCCAATTGTCAGTAAGTTGCATTTATTTGCCTTGCAGTTGATGTACACCAGAAACAGAAAGCACAGAGCCAAACATTGCAGAGACTAAAAGGAAACTAAAGAAACTATCGGACTAAAAGGAAAAAATTGCAGAGACCAAAGGAACGTGTATTGGAGAAAATGGGTGAAGTGGGTGGCTGAGATTAGAGAACCCAACAAGAGGTCTCAAGTCTGGTTCGAAAATGAAAAATAGAACTAAGCAGAAAAATAAATAAAACAAAATTAAAATTCAAGCACAAAAAACAAAGAAGTGTAGAGGAGCTGACTTTTACCTCTTTCCCACCGTCCTCTCACCCAAATTTTTCTACAACCAATCACATGGCCCCTCTTCTAAAAACAAACAGAACCCCCAACTTAATCGATGGTAAAAACCACAATCAAATAACCTATAATCCACAACAAACCAAAATCAGAAAAATCAGTAGACAAATTAGAGAACATTCGAAAAATAAAAATGAAACATTTAAAGATATATACCTTCAACTGAACCAAAATAATGAAAAGAAAGTAAAGAACAGAGAAAGGGTTTCGGTGGGATTTTCTAGGAGAGAGCCAGAGAAACAAGAGAGAGAGCGAGAGAGAGAGAGAGAGAGAGAGGCTTGCAGTCTGAGATTGAAGAAAAGGTGGGGTGATGAGTATCAGGGGAAGTTTCGCCATTGTTAGTGGTGGAGGGTGGAAGGAAAGCGTTGAGCAGAGAGAGAGAGAGGCGCAGTCTGAGAAGAGATGAGAGAGGATTTGTATTTGGGGGTTAGGGTTGGAGACTATAAAACATGCACCAAACTTAAATTTGGAGGAACAAAAAGAGCGGCACGCAGAAAAAAGAAAAAAAAATTGGGGGAAAAAAAGAGGCTTTCACGGCGTGCATGAAAAGCACGCCATGAATGGAAATAACATTTACAGCATGCATTAAAAGCACGCCATAAATAGTATTAAATTTTGTTTACTTTTTACGGCGTGCATATTTAGCACGCCATTAATAACAAAAAAAAACAGCGTGCCATAAAAAATACTAGAAAAAGGTCATTTACGGCGCGCACTAAATGCACGCCATAAAAACTATCCTTTTACGGCGCACAATAGATGCATGCTGTAAATACTTACTTTTCTTGTAGTGATATGAGAGAGAGAGAGAGAGAGAGAGAGAGAGAGAGAAGAGATGAGAGAGGATTTGGGGTTAAGTGTGAGTTAGGGTTGGAGAGAGTATATGAGGGTTAACATGCACCAAACTTAAATTTGGTGAAAAAAAAAGAGCGGCATGCAAAAAAATTGAGGGAAAACATTTGTGACGCCCTAAAATATTATTTGTGACCCCCCAAGCCTCATAAATAACTGGTGGTCTCTCCTGCCCAAAATCGCCAAACTATTTTTGAGGGATTTGGCCTTCCTCCAAAATTGCAGATGTCTTTGTTGTCTTATGAGTGACGACTTGATAAATTCGTCACAAATACCTATTATATGTGACGACTTTACAAGCCTCACTTTCTGTAGTGATAGGTGACGCTGCCAATCTTCACTGAATAAAATTTATGGGCATTTGTGACGAATGTGCATTATTCGTCACATTTAGTAAAAAAATTGGGCGCCAATATTTCCCGCTATTTAATATGTGACGACATCAGAATTATAACGTGACGAACATGGAGTGAAAATTTTTCTACGTCCCTTCAAGAAGTTTAGGTGATGACTTGCAAAATTCTCTCACTTATACAAGCCAAATGTGACGAAATTTTCAACACCACGTAAAATTTGGTCACAGAAGGCCTATTTTCTTGTAGTGTTAGTTTGGCTGGCTATTATAGGAAGTTTATCAAGGATTTTTCTCGAATAACTAATCCAATGAGCAAGTTGACACAAAAGGGAGTTAAGTTTATTTGGGATGATAAATGTGAGGAAGCATTTCAAGAGTTAAAAACTCAATTGACATCAGCTTCTGTGTTAATTATACTAGAAAGAGGTATAAGTTATATAGTGTATACTGACGCATCATTGCATGGTTTAAGATGTGTTTTGATGCAATCTGACAAAGTTGTTGCTTATGCTTCTTGTCAATTGAAATCACATGAGAAGAATTACCCGACGCACGATCTAGAACTAGCAGCCATTGTTCACGCATTGAAAGTGTGGAGATATTATTTATATGGGAACGTTTTGAACTCTACTCGGATCATAAGAGTTTGAAGTACTTATTCACTCAAAAGGAGTTAAATTTAAGACAAAGGCGTTGGATAGAATATCTAGAAGATTATGACTTTGATTTACATTATCATCTAGGAAAGCTAATGTAGTGGCAGATGCTTTAAGTCGAAATCCCCAAGAAGTCGTAGCTAGTTTATATGATCAAATGTAGAACATGGTAGAGTCTCTCTATGATTTTGACTTGTACGTAGGTATACATGAGGATTGTGCATATCTATGTAATTTAGTAACTCACCCACTTTGATTGGAAACATAATTGAGGCATAAGAATTTGATTCTATGTCTAAAAACATTCGAACTAAGATTATAATTGGAGAGACACCAGATGGATGGAATGTCCATGCAGACAGGGGATTAAGATTTCTAAATAGATTGTATGTACCAGAAATTTCTGGTCTGAGAAAGGAAGCTCTGAAAGAAGGACATCATTTGTCCTATACAATTCATCCTGGAGGGATAAAGATGTATCATGACCTGAGATGTAACTTTTGGTGGAATGGCATCAAGGGAGATATAACATTTTTTTGTAGCAAAGTGTCTTACATGTCAGTAGGTAAAACCTGAACATCAAAAACCATCAAGTCCATTATAGCCATTACCAGTAGCAGAATGGAAATGAGATCATATAACCATGGATTTTGTTACAAGTTTACCTAAATCTCCAAGGGGACTAGATGCAGTATGGGTTATAGTGGATCGTTTGATCAAATCTTCACATTTCTTACATGTCAAAACAACATATTCCACTGAAAGCCTTGGAAAACTTTATGTTCGAGAGATAGTAAGATTACATGGGATTCTTATTTCGATTGTTTCAAATAGAGATTCCAAGTTTACTTCCAAAATTTGGGGAAGTTTACAAAAAGCATTGGGTACGCAACTAAATTTTAGTACTGTTTTCATCACCAAACTGATGGATAGTCAGAGAGAACCATTCAAATTTTAGAACACATGTTGAAAGCATGTATTCTAGATTTTGGGGGAAGTTGGGAAGATCATTTGGTGTTGGCAGAATTCGCCTACAACAACAACTATCAATCTAGCATTCAAATGGCACCTTATGAAGCTTTATATGGAAGACCTTGTTGGTCACCTGTATGTTGGACTGAAGTAGGAGAAACTGTGTTGCTAGGACTTGATTTGGTACAAGAGACAACTGGAAAGGTTAAACTTATCAAGCAACGTCTCTTGACTGCTCAAAGTCGACAAAAGAACTACGCTAACCAAAGAAGGAAACCATTAAGTTTTAATGTGAGGGATTTTGTGTTTCTTAAAATCTCAACTCGAAGAGGAGTAAAAAGATTTGGAAAGACTGGAAAATGAGCACCATGGTTTATTGGACCATTTGAATTCTTGGAAATGATTGGTGAAGTAGCTTATAAGCTAGCATTACCACCTCAACTTTCGAATATACATAATGTTTTCCATGTTTCTATGCTTCAAAAGTATGAACTTGATCCAACCCATGTTCTAGATAGGGGAGAGCTCAACTTAGATGAAGAATTGTCATTTGAGGAAAGACCAATACAGACTTTGGATCATAAGGAACAAGTGTTACGTACGACAATAATATCATTGGTTAAAGTTCTTTGGTTACATGGGAATACCAAAGAAGCTACATGGGAATTAGAAACTGAAATACGTAAGAAGTACCTAGAATTGTTCTCTGATTCCAGTAAGTTTTTAATTTTGAGGACGAAATTTCTTTTAAAGAGGATAGATTGTGAAGACCCCTATTAAAAATATATATTGGTTATATTTATATGTGTAATTATCTTGGTACATATATGTAAATATTGTTGTTATACTTTTATATTAATTATTATGAATACTTATATATTTCTATGTTTATGATAATATTTAGTTTCTTTGATTATTAAACAAATATATAAAGAAGTTTGTTATCCATATGTGTCCTTCACTTCATGCATGTTAAATGGCTAAGTTCAAAGGTGTAGTAATCCTATTACATTCGCTAAACATCTCCTGCTATTACATTTTATACCTAGCTGCAGTCTTATATTCATTACATGCATTATCACCTTGAGTTTATCTATTTACTTTGCAGAGTATGAGATACCTCATGCTATAATTTTAGGTTGCTGGCAGCCTTATCTTGTTAATATCATGCCAAATCGACAACATGCTATTTTGTTAGCTACCATAGGTTAGTAGCAACCGATTTTCCCTTAATATAAATAGGGTATTCTACAATTGAAATGAGAGAGAGAGAGAGAGAGAGAGAGAGAGGAGAGAGAGAGAGAGAGAGAGAGAGAGAGAGAGAGAGTAGCTTGTGTTTTCTTAAAATTTTGAGCTAGCTTTGGAATAGAGGCAGAGAAAAGTAGAATTGTTAAGAAAAAGAGTGGGAGACTGAGTTTGTGAATGCAGGGAAAAATTGGGAAACACCTTACATTTCTAGCAAAAGCTTTGGTGTCAAGGTAAGGGTTTCTTGGGGGCCTTTACAGGGATTGATCTAATTAAATTTCGTGAGCTCTATATTATGTGTGATGTTATAATGGATGTTCTTGATATTACAGTTTGGTTGATGTTCCTTGTATCGGGTGTTTACGTATCCTTAACTATTTGAACAATGTTAGCATAATTGTATATACATTGGTGATGTTTTAAATGTAGGAGAATTTGGTCTATGGATGCTACTTTTCATGCAAACATCACAAAAAATATATATTAGAAAATTATAATTTACATTGATATAATAGATTAAATAAAATTAATAGAAGTACTATAAAATACTTATCTTTTGGGATGTGGAAGTTGGTCTCCATTGATACTTGAGTAGAATAATAGTTTTAGGTTGAGGCGTGTAGTCAATGTCCTTAAGAGTAGATTTCACCCATCAGAGACAATGTCTCGGTGTAGTAAGGTTGTATGGCGGCCTACCCTCTAGGATACAACTATGACCCTCATAAGCGTACACTCGCAATACTTGGATCGGATGAACAACTCGAATCTTTTCCTTGATAAAAGAAAACAAATTGGAACACAAACTCAAGAATGTGGAGGAGAAAATAATGAAGAAAGGTGCCAAAAATCTCTCAACAACGTTTTTCTTTTTGGTGTATATATAAGCTTATTGACTCCAGTGAATGTTGGGTTATTAACCAAGCAATTAAACCACATTTGCACGTCAAGAACAAAACTAAAGGCTATTGCTCAAATAGTAAAATTTGATCCCAACTAAGCAATTAACTCATGCAATAAGCTTTGGAATCAAAACCTTCAACCACTATTGTAAAACCAAAGGCATTAACTTATTTAAATGATAAAATAAATTGATACAAAAAGTTAACGGAAATAAACCAGACCACAAAGGAGATATCAAAACCGACAACAAATTAATATCCAATTTATTCAAAACCAATACGAAAGAAGTTTATAATTTTCATAAAATAGAATTAAATCAAACATGTAAAATTTCACTTTCAACATAAATTAGATAAAATAATTTTGTATTTTGAAATACTCACAAAAATTCCAACATTAAATGGTTACATTGTTGTGAGATACATGAGATATGTGAAAGGTATAATTATATCATGTCATGGAAATTGGTTGGAGCTGTTGGATTGAGAAAATAATGATGGAAAAGAGGGTAATGGAAATAGTCTTTTGTGTAGTTAAGTCTAACTCTTGGCAGGCTAGGTCTCATGGATCCCACAGTGCACATGGTTTTTATTGGGTGATTCGGGATTGGCGACAGGGAGTTAGACAAAATGACTAACAAAAGAGGAATTATGAGATGATTAAAATCGGTGTTAGTTCATATAAATGGGCATTCGGGACCAAGTGGTATAAGCATGGTATGGGACATGTAGGTCTGCATTGGCTGTGTGATTGTATGTCATTTAATTTAATTATATCAATTTCCTATAAATAAATAAAAAGGTTTATGTCCCTACTGAGTTTTGGTTTCGCCCACCCCCTAACAGATTTTGCAAGTACTGAACCTGAAATCTAGAGCTTGTGATGATTTTGGCATATCTATAGAGTGTATTGTGTACATAGCTTGCGAATGAATAATCAACTACTCTTTTAGTGAACTCTCGAGTAGTTCTAACTTGTAAAATAATGTAAAATTTTTAAGATTTCAGATGTTGTCGTTTTCGTTGAATATTTTATGTGAAATATTTATTTTATTTATTTAAATGTTTCTTCACATTTTAGTTATAGTTTTTATTAAATTCTATAATTAAGGTGTGAATCACGTCTTAACCCAAGGTCACGTAAATCCGTGGGTTGGGGCGTAAACCCATGTAATTTTTTGTGTTCAACACCTGGATAACTCATTAAACTTGTGCTCATACTCCAACACAGACATTGCCCCTTGCTTCAACCTTAAGAACTCGACTCTCTTCGAATTTCAATAGGAGCGAGGATAAAACTGCTCATAAAAGATACGCTGAAACTCAACCCAGGTTCACTTTCCTTTGGACTTCGCGCTTCTTTTGCATTCTTGAGACTAATGACTTATTGTAGTTGTAGTGCGAAGTCTGAAGGAAATTGAACCTGGGCGGAGTTTCAACTTATCTTCCATGAGCAGTTTTATCCTCGCTCCTACCGAAATTCAATGAGAGCCGAGTTCTTGAGGTTCAAGTTGGGGGCAATGTCTATCTTGGAGTATGATCACAAGACTTGACCTCTTTCAAAAAAGACTTGATCACAACATAAGGAAGTCTTAGCTCATTTCTTAGCGGAGACACGTCCCTTGCCTGCGAAGTATAGCTTTCTCTTTGGATGACCTGGCGTCGACATTCCTTTTTTTTGGGGGGGTTTGGTCAAGGACTTCTCCCATTCGACATGCAGATTATCCGAGTATGGGCCATACTGCTTCCATCACTCAACATCCTTGGCAGGGGGTAGACTACCAACTTTCTTCCGATACTCGCTCAACAACTAGTGCCATTCGTGAAACCTCGCAAGGATGTTCAAGGAACGACGGACCTTAGCCATGTCCAGCTTGAGATCCAGCTTCTTGCTGATATCATTCTTTGTAAGCAGAAGATAGAAGTTAGTTGGTCACACATCAAAGAATTCTGTCAAAATTGAAGCATATCAATAGAGTATGACGTACCATCGCAGTAAGTGAGGGGACCAAGTGGACCATCGTCAACCTCGGCTTCCCACCGTCTGCTAACCTCCAAAACATCGACGTGCCACACATGATCTCCTTGGCTGAGATTGTCAAACAACTTGGCTTTGCATACACGAGCTTGGGCATACTTCTTGTAGTGCCTCACTTCGAAGAAGTAAAAGAACTCCCCCACCGTCAAATCCAGCTTGAAGACGTAGCTTAGATTCTTAAAACACATGATCACCTGGTAAACGTTTGGAGTACATTGGTTGGGGCAAACTCCATGGCGCAGAACACCTTTTTGAAGAATTTCGACAACAAGAACGTGAAGCCAGGCCTGCAACGCACACAAAGAAGAAACGGCCATAGCCGCCACCGCCAGCAACGACAGCAACCACAGTCGCGTTGTCACCATCTGACCTATCATGTTGCTCCAACTTTTGGTTACAACAACAATCGGCTAGTCATGACCAGCCGGTCCTCGCTGCAAAGAAAAAGCAAGAAAATAATAATAATATGAATTTGACCTACCTTGGCATGCACGACGACTCCTATCCTCGACAAGCAGTATACTCCTTCAAGATCTCTCTTACAAGTTAGAAAGTAGAGGATGACAAGTTTGCAATCTGAAGAGGAGTGAAGAGAAACTTTGTATTTATAAAGGTTGGGCATCCTAAGTCAATGAGGAATCACAAGCCTATTCCCATTGGGAGCCCAGCTCGCAAAAGGAGCCTAACTCAAAGAAGAAAGCCCAGATGCAATTGGAAAGCCAGATAAATATTTATCATCTCCTCTATGCCTCACAAGCGCCATGCAGAAACTGGGAGGCATTTGTGGAACATATATTTCAATGGCCAATAAGAAGATAACACGTGGAAAAGGAATATTCCTTAGGTGAACTAATTACTCTAATTAAATTATCTTTGATTTAAGATAGGAATATCTCCCCAAATCAAGGATCCAATTTCCACCAAATCTCTTGGAGTAATTCCTATCATCTTTTTGGGGAAAGAATAATCCTAACCAAATAAGGATTATTCTCCCAAAACCTAAGCACACAAAGAGACTATAAATACATAGATACACAAGACATTCAAGGAAATTCTAAATTCCTCTTTAAATTCTAAAAACCCTATAGAAATTTCTCACACACACTATCTCTCTATCTCTCTCTCTCGCCGCCCCGTCACTCTCTCTCTATCTCACACGGCTAAGAGCCACCACACATGGCTAAGGCCACCCGACTCTCCTTGTGAGAGAAAACTTCATCCACTTTAGCTATTGTCGTTGTTGAGACCCAAAAATTCACGATTGGGCCCGAATAAATTATCAAGCCCAAAATGACATTATACTAAAAAAAGGCGTAAAGCGGAGTATACAAAACCCACCACACGCGAGTTACAGTTCACGTGCCACGCTAAATAAATAATTCGTCATGCTAGGAGTCGAGATAAAGTATGCCGGCTCTACAAGCCCATGCTGAAATTAAACATCGCAGTCCTTCCCAAGGATGATAAAATTAAAATATGCCAAGTGATATGCCATGCCAAGCACGCAATCGTTATTTCGCACTTAATCACACTACAAGCCTAAGTGGGCCCAAGCAACTCAAAATGCCCGGGGCTTGCTTGAGTGGGTTGTGGTATGAATGGTAATAAATCAATATAAGGCCCATTGATGGACTGAGAAATGGAAAGTCTCGGGTTACTTGGGAGCCTCGGGACTCAAGCCCATTTCTTAGGCCCAAACATGTGGATGAGTACAAGGGGGAAGAAATAGCCCAAATAGCCCAAGCAAAATAGCCTATTGACTCAAAAGCCCAATGTTTAATAAAATAGCCCACTTATTTAAATGAACCACCTTGGCCCATACAAAACTTCACAATAAGCCACAAAAGCCTCAGTCCCTTGCTAGAAAAATAAAAGCCACGAAGAGAGAGTCGGAAGATTCATTGAATAAGGGCTGCTGGGAGATGCTAGCACATGGGGGGAGCAAGTTTCAAAGCCAAACAGTCAAGGAACCAAGGGATATTAGCATGTAAGCTGCAAGAAGAAGGAGCACCCTTCAAACCATCATGCACACCCATTTGATTTCCTTCATCAGAACTGGCCAGGGAAGGAGGAAGGAAAGAAGAAGAAAAGTGGCTAAGAATGGAGCTTCCGCTGAACAGCTGCGGGAAAGGGGGCCTTGAGCTCCCAAAATTCCTGATTTAGTGCAAATTGATGGAGGAAATATCACCAAGATAGGAAAGTCAAGGGAGAAGAGTAGAAAGGAAGGAAAGGCTTGGCCAAGTTGGGAAGAAATCATAAGGGTTTCTTTGGAAATGATAGTTTCCCACAACTATAAAATGAGGCTTCTTCTACCCAACAAAACCAACCCACATTGAGAGAGCAAGCTTCCTCTTCTATCTGCAAAAATCTAGCAATCTCGTGCACTATTCACCCTTCTTCTCCATCTTCCTTTTCTGGCAGACAGAGTATCAGTCAAGCTGCCGGAAGAGCATTGTTCTTTATTTCTCTTTTCTTAGCCAAATTTCTTACAAACTTCTCCTTTCTTACCTTAACATTTCCTTTTTCCCCAAGAAAGCCTAAAATTTCCCCTTAGTGCTAAACACATGTTGATTTTTCTTCCATGCCACATACCTTTCATGTCAAGCTCAAAAGTTTATCTGTAAGCTTGAAGTAATTACTTGTAAGTTGCCATTGTTTTGGCTGGTGAAGGTAACCAAAATACTTCCTAAAACTCTACTGCCCTTTCGAAGCATTTTTTGGGCTTAATTTTTGAACTCAGACAAAGGGGACAATTTCATCAGTCTGCCCTTTAACGGCAACCCAACCCATTTACAGCAGCCGGAAGAAAAAGTCTCCTACAGTCGTATATTTATTAAGCTCTAATTGAGCTAACTTAGACATCGGAAGGCCTTTCGCCAACACCCCCGAGTGTGGTTTATTTACTCCTATTTATTTCACAAGAATTAAGGAAGAGAGAGAAGGAAGATTGAAGATTGAGAAATCAACTTGCGAATATTCTCTCGTGCGAAATTTTGCTCAAAAAACTAATGCACAGAATTGATATATAACTAACTACCTCAATCTTTTTTGCATTCAAATTCATAAATTTGAGCTCCAGTTAAATAAATTTTTAATTTTTTTTATCAAGTGAAACCCTAAATAAATAAAATAAACTTCTGATAAGAATAGGTGAACGGCTTGCCAGAACTATCAGAAAGACTTTTGATTAGGTATTCATGACGTGGTGGGAAAAATGGAGAGCCGGGAAGCTGACCCCACAAGACCATTTAAAACAGAAATATGTCTTTCAGAGTAGGGTCTAATCTGTAAGAATATGGATATGGAGTCAGCAGCAGATCACCCTCTCCAAAAGTTGTGGTGAAATGAGCTCCAGCTAAGATCAAATGTTTTTTCTCTTTTTTTTTCTCCGACCTCATTTTTCTCGTCCATTTGATTTGCCACACGGTTTTTAACTAAGAATATTGTTCGAAATTTATAAACTTATAGTAGTTCATTGGTCAGATTCATGTATGAGAGAAATGTGAATAAATTAATTTAGTGGTTCATGATTCATGTATCTAGTCTTTTTTTGTAAATTAATCTAAGCGATATTAGGATAAGGGGAATCGAAGTTATCGTGTATATCCTATTATGTGTAGAGGACACTAATTGTGAAGGTATTTGATGTAATGTAAAATTTAAAATACAAATTTATAAATAAATCCAATCCTAGACATGTATTTATAGAAAAACCCAAGTACTATTTAAATATAGAAACACACCCAAAATCAACCCCAAAGTCAACTTTTTTGGTGTGTTTATAAATGAATTTTGAGTGTGTAATGATGGATTTTGGGTGTGTTTATATGTTTAAATAGTGCTTGGGTTTTTTTATAATTTAAGCCCCCATTTTGGATGTTTTAGTGAAACTCCCAATTTAAAATAGTGTTGAATAAAAAGAGTTCTTAAGAAGATTCAAAGTTTCCATTACAGGCTAATGGTCGTACATGTTTCGACTCACACGCCAAAATAAAGAGTTAGTCTCCGTATATTATTTTGTTCATAATTTAGCTCACCCTGCCCCAACAAACATGAGATAAACCAAAATGTAAATTTGTTTTCACAAAAAGGGGCAAAACTCATCATGTAGTATCTGCATTCTGAGCAACTTTTCATTTTAAAAATTTTCTAGATGTACAAGTAACAAACTGATACAATTTTTTTTTTTTTTTTTTTTTTTTTTTTCCATTTTTCCTTTATTTATACTATCGTTAAATGAAAATTGAAACGAAATAATGGAAATCCAATATCATTTCCTGGTCAGTGATTTTTTAAGAGCAAGAAATGATATTCCATTAAAACCATAAAACAACATAGCAAGAACCAGTATGTTAATGGCTGTCTCGTTAAAATTTTCCCAGAGAAAATCACATGGGACAAAACCCGGAATAACCCATATTATCGACTAACAAAAGAGTCAAAACTCACACAAACAAATCTCACCCATTTCCTGGTCAGTTGATTGTATTCAAATTCTTGGATAGTTATAAACTATAAATAAAATGAGAATTTTTTTATTATAATTTTTTAAACGGTGATAGCGATAGGGATTCGAACTTGATACTCTTCCAAGTACAAACTAGACTATCATGCGAATTATTCCAAATCCCAATCCATTACTGCCCCTGAAAGGGAATGCAGAAAACGTTGTACACATTACAACAACATTAACCTTGTACACAACATTGGCATGAAGTTATATTATAAATAACCTAAAAGAAAAAGAGAGACAGCATGCTTCATAGCATCAAAATACACTTGGTTAAACAGCATCACTGAACTAAGCACAGAAAAGAAATTAACAACAAGAAACACGAGAAAAAAACACAAGAACAGAAAAAACAAGAACCATTCAAGTTCCAGAAGGTCTGGGGGTGGGGGGCTTCTTGTTGGGCGCAGGAGAGTGAGTGGAAGAATCTTGCCCATGGGCTTTTGGTGGTGAGTTTTTTGAGCTCTCAGTTGTAGTAGTTGTTGCTGTGCCAGCAGCAAGTATGGTGCCTTGGGCCAAGTCATGGAGGTCGTCGCCGGCTATGAACTCCGGCGGCAGGACTTGCGAGAGCTGTCGGCGGTGACGAGACTCACGTGACATTGGCAAATTATTGGTTCTCTTTATGTTTCACAGAGAGAGAGAGAGAGAGAGGCAGAAGAAGTGGTGAGGTTTTGGTTTTGTTGGTTGGTGGTGGGTTTGTGAGGAGAAATTGGTGAATGGGCGATTATTTATTTATGATGTCGGGAGGGGAGTGAGTGGGTCTCTCTCTCTCTCTCTCCCTCGCGTGGAAGGAGTGATTTCATTCTGCCCTTCACGTGCCTGGCCACTCAATATCAGTCACGCCTACTTTTCGGTCAAACTTGTCTTTCTTATAGTAATTATGTTTCTAACCATGCATGGAGGCAATCAACTTCATCTTGTTGGGCTCCTAATAGACGAAAATGATTTATTTGATATTATGGATTACTAGTTACGGAGGGACCATTTCGTTTTTGTAGGTTGGTCTGGCCTATTTCTCTTTCGTTGTGCCTATAATCATCCTCTCATCTTTCTTCTCTCCTTCATTCTACTAAAAAAATCTTCTAAACAACATAAAAAAAAAAAAAAAAAAAAAAAAAAAAAAAAAAAAAAAAAGGGTAATTTAGATTTTCTTTGGAAGGGCTCAATGTTGGAGCTTTCAAGCTCCATCGCTAGTAGTATTATAGATAAACTCAATGATATGTTAATGCAATAGATGATGTGCACTAAAGGGACTATTAAGGCGTAAAAAGGTGCAGTTGCAGCTCTTCTTACTTGAAAAGTCATTGTAAGTGTTGCATATTGCGCTTCTGCTCAGCCTAGGAGACGCACTCTATGTGTTTGACTAAAAGCCTAAATGAAGTCTATGTTGCTTTGTTGTGTTGTGTTGCGCAGCTGCACACATCGCCCTTGTTTTTTTATTAAAAAAAAATCATGACCAAAACGACGCCATTTTGAACCAAGATTTAATAAATAAATAAATAAAAGAGAAAATCTGGGCTGCCATTTCGTGGCCTGCATATAAAAGGACAAAAGGCTTTAAACTTTAGGGCTTTTAACAACAAGACTTTCTTTTTCTTCTACAACAATTGTAGGTTATTTGTAATGCTATTTTTTCTATGACTTATGAATGATATTGGTATTGTTTAAATTTTAAGGATATTTGATTGTCAATTTTTTTATATATAAAGCTTTTAACCTTTCAAATTGCATATCCGCTAAAAAATTCATGGGTCCGCTAGTGATGATGTGCGTTGTTTATTTCATATTAGTTGGACCCAATATCTATTAAGTAATTGGTTCTTATTAGGTTTGGACGGATTCCTACTTGTGTTGAGATTAGGGTTTTTCCTTGATGGGTGGTAAATCTAATTGACACACTATATAAGTAAGGTCTCCTCAATAGTAACTATACGAATTAATGTTATCACCATTGTAGTTGTGCACACTGATTAGTGAGAAAGACTTTGTTGGTGCAGTGTCAGATTATTAAGGGTGAATGCTCCTTCTCAAGTTAATATCTTATGTTGTATGAATATCGTACTCGTACTAACTCAAGTCATGATAGTTTCTCTTACTTGTCCCTCGATTTAAAATGAATCTCTTGGCAATTGAATTGATAAAACGTGATTAAAATAAGAGAAATGCTAGCAATTTTCTCTCTAACCTTCTCCTTTGGGACATTCTCCCTTTTTTGCTTGACATGTGTCATTCTCCCTTTTTTGCTTGACATGTGTCATTCTCCTTACACTTAAAACAATATCATTAATATATTATAAAAGATAACTTTTGCTTTCCAAATTTACCCTTATTAAATATATTCAATTTATCCACATACAAAAATTTCACAACTTTCTTACCATCTTATTAATTATGTTTTTAAAAGAAAATGTCTGCTTTTTAAAAAAAGAAGAAATGTCAAATTTTTTTTTTTTAACACAAAGGGTTTAGATAGAAAATAAAAAGGTCATTCACATCCGTAAGCACCCCAATGGTAGTTAAGATTATCATATATGATTTATTTGTGTTTATTACTAATATATTTGTATTAATTAAGGTGCATATCTACTATATGTAACAGAGAAATTATAATTTATGGACCTCAGACATGCATGAATATTTTGTTGGTCAAGTTACACCATATGGTATTGTTATAAGGACTTTTTTTCTTTCTATCTAAACCCTTTGTGTTATAAAATTTAAATTAAAAAAAAAAAAAAAAAAAAAGAAGGGATTTTCCTTTTTTTTTTTTTTTTTTTTTTTTTTTTTTTATTTAAAGCACATTAAAAAAAAAATCAATAAGATGGTAAGAAAGTTGTGAATTTTTTTTGAATAAATTGAATACATTTAATAAGGGTAAACTTGGAAAACAAATGTTAGCTTGTATAATATATTAATGACATTGTTTTAAGTGTAAGGAGAATGACACATGTCAAGCTAAAAAGAGAGAATGTCTAAAAGAGAAGGTTGCTAGCATTCCCCTTAAAATAATTTTTAAAAGAATGGTATATGATAACTTTTTGGGAATGCAAATAAGACCTCCCTGATCTTAACATTTTATTTTAGTATCATAAATAGTAAACACGTGTGTGCACATTCTCTTTTTAACTGCACTTGTAATAGGAAATTTTGGGTTTTTTCAATAACTTCAATTTCATTGGAAATATTGACAATTTTTTATTTTAATTTTAAGTTTATCAATTAGTTTATCATTTTTCTTGTGTGTGTGTTTTTTTTTTTTTTTTTTTTTTACAAAATGATATTCTAAATTATTCTAACTAGCCCCTTGGCATCACGCATGTGACAATTGGTCTTTTTTTTTAATTTTTTTAAATTTTTTAATTTATAGAATTAAGAAAATATAATATGGGTAGTTATGTTTCATAAAAGTATGACATATTATTTGATTTTGTTTTTAATTTTAATTTTTTTTAATATGAAAAAGTGAATTTACCATATTATCCTCATTTAATTAATAATTTTAATTCTTAATGTTTGAATTAACTACGGACATTTTCTGGTATTTTGAATGTTTCACCATTCTCTGCCTTTTGCTTTATATATATAGATACAAAAAAAGAAAAGGATGCAAGGAAATAGACACATTATTTTACCCCAAATTCGTACCAATTTTATCTCATTTAATAAATATTTTAACTTTCTCTTTGCGGTAGGACATATCTTATTTATTCTACCTTATCTCCTCCTCAGTGACATGCCAAAAGCCTGAATCCAATATCACAAGGTACCCTTACGGATGTACCGCGGGTGACAAGCATTACATTCCAAAACGCAGTAAATTAAGATGACAAGCATTACCTTCCACGAATGGCTACTATTAATTTCGTTGCTGAATTGCACAGATATTTTATGACTTTTCAGTTTGGACCAGTCAAAAATCTGGTGAGATATTTTAAGACTTTACCCCTAAATTGGCATGCATTTGCTTTCCATTTGAAATTAGGGCTTGGCAGGACAGGATGCTTAACCTAATTCATCCAACTGTAAAACACACCATAGAGGAAGAGGATGCTAATTAAAATGTTCTTTACTGATGGAACTTCTTGACGGTGGGGATCATGCTTCCAAAGAAAATTTCAATGATGTTTGCATTTTCTCGAATTATCCACACCCAAAAAAAAGGAGGAAGTACTGTATAGTTGATCATTATGCATGCTAAAATAGGTATTGGACTTATTACAAATTCCGGAAAAATTAATTATAGAAATAATTGATGTCTTGCCCATTTCAATGTAATATATTGATGTCTTACCCTATTGTTCATTTGGGCAATGGACTCTTTATGCATGCTAAAGTTACCACTTTGGAACAGAGTTTTAATTTAAAACCTACTTTTAGTTTGGCGAAGCAAATTATCGAGGGTATGGTTGCTAAAGAAGGCGTTGCTTTTGCAGTGAGCGCTGATCAATTAGAAAGTGATTTTCTTTGAAAGGGTTTGTAGTTCAAGTGGTTAATAGCATTTACTCTTACATGTGAAGTTTTAGGTTCGATTCCCTCCTCCTTCAACATTGCTTGTGTTATAAAAAATAAAAATAAAAAATAAGTAATTCTTTTATATCATTTCTGCTATATTTATCACTCGGATTCTATTTGTACTATTTTTCCTTTTTGAACTGGGAATTCTATTTGTACTTTTGTGGGGTTGTTTATGTTAGGAAATGAGGACCTTTAAGACTTTTTAACTATTGGATAAATTATTTGGAAAAAAAAAACTATTGGAAAAATTCATGATAATAATGATTATCACGAGGTATATTAACTTTAAATGTACAGTGTATTTAGATGATAAGGGTTGTCACATCTATTTAATGCATTAAATGAATGCATTTGAACAATTTTTGGTGGGTAGGATTGAATTTTCTTGGCTTTTCCAATTTCAATAATTTACAATCATATTCCTTAGTTTTTAGTTAAAATTTAACTAAAAACACACAAAAGTTATTTTAGGAGCTCTCTATAAAATTTGAACTTCAATCATATATATTCCCTAGTTTAGGGATTCAAATACTATAATTATTTTTTATTTCAATATGATTGGTCAATCTCTATAAAAAATTATATAAAAAAATAGTTAGCATTAATTAAAATTTTAAACTATGAATGAAACAAAACAGCATTAAATTATAAGGAGCCACTATAAGTCCTTTCTCTTTCCTCAGATTTAGGAACTCCTAGAGATCTCCCTATTTTAGGAGATGGATAAGGAGCATGGTTGAAGTTGTATTTTTCCAACTCCTCCCTAAAATTTGTCTAAGGAGGTGGTTTAAGGAGTCCATTGTGGATGCTCTTATGCATTGTATATGGCAGTGGCGGATGAATATTTCATTATCTAGATTAGGTCTGTAAAATGGGTCACCGGATCAGCTCAGTTGTGAGACGAGTTTGTTTAGGCCGTACCCAATCATTAAGGTTTTTCAACCTTAAAGGATGTATGGGCCGGGTTATGCCCACCTTATTTTAAATAGGCTAAGCCTAGGCCCTACTCAAGGGCACTAAGAATTTTCGAGCTCATGAACGGGCCAATGGACCAAGAATTTCAAGTTTTACCCTTATGTCATTAA